GGAGCCGCAGATTTCTGCCGCTTCATTTTATCAAAATCCTGTGCTAAGGAATCCACTTTCGCTGCCATCGTGGCTTTCCATTCATCCATTTCTTGCATCTTAGAAGTGAACGACGATTCGTGCTTCAACAGCTGCTGTGTCACCAGGCCAAAAGCCGAGTTAACGTCCTGCTGATGATGCTTCCACCGATCATCATTCTTTTTCTCCATCGACAAAATATCCTGTTTCAAGGAGTTACTCATCGTATTCATCGTACCAAGTATATTCCTCTCAAAGGATGTCAGCACATCTTTCAACGCGTCAGCAACACTATCCGACATGTCAGCAGGCTGAACTGGTGCACTGACATTCTGTACAGAAATGGGAACCGTACTAGAAATGGGATGCATCTGTGCACTCACCGTATACGTCGAGGAAACTGATCCTGATGAAGGAACTGATGTGCTGTAAGTGGTGGTGACAGTAGGCAAAGAAACCGCTGAGACCGTCACCGGGTTTCCGAAACTGGAAGTCACAATCATCCGTAATGGAGATGATGTCACCGCTGGGGAAGTGCCAATTCCACTCGAACTGACTGGGGCCTGGAGAGAGGCTGGCAATGCCAAGCTATTGAGCACAAACTGATTCACCACCGGAAGTGTTCGGAGTGGAGATCCAATGCCAAATGGAATGGAACTCGGAAATGAAAAATTTCCAATCCGGTTCTTCGACGCCGAAAATATCTGATACGGGTTCTCTCCAAATCCTACGTCCGACTCCAGGAATCCCGTATTCTGTAATTCATTGCCATCGACTTCATCTTCTGCATCAGAAAGTCCATCGGAAATAATACTGGGATCCGCTGCTCGTTTCTTCTGAAAGAGAGAATCCACTTCTGAATCGATACGAGTATTTCGTTCCTCTGCTGTCTCAGCAGGAGCGGCAGGGCAAGAGGTTCGTCGGGCAACGTTTCAATTTCTTCCTGAACAGGAGTCACAGCTTTCTTTGGCGGGCTGCGGAACATCTTACTGCTTCTGGAGAAGATATTCACAGATGGCTGAATAGAGTCTGCAGGTGAAAACACAGGCACAGGAGCTGAGACTGCACTCGTAGTCACAGGCGCAGGGATACTGAGCTTCTTCACGTTTCCTGTCTTAGGAACTCTGGGTTTCCGGACTTTCTTCACAGGAGTTACTCTGAGAAGTCCACTACGAGTACGAGGACGATCGCTCGCTTCCATCCAGGAAATACCACAAAACTAACTACTGTTCTCTCCGAAAGGCGATAAATTCGTACTTGCCAGGAGCGCCAAGTGTAGTGGTTTGCCCCGGGACTACACTAATCCCTTATACATGGGGCTCATAATTATGATGATAATTATATTTCTTATAAGAATAATACGAAACGAACGAAAACCGAGTCACCTTTCCCACTTTCTTCATCAAAATAACATCCAAAACAGCATTTTATTAAAAGTAGCCAAAATCATCACAAGGCAACTGATTAGTGAACATTCATTCTAATACAGAATTCTATGAAGAAGTACAGTAATATCATCAGCAGCGCTACAACCACATAACTTAATTTTGAAGCAGTAGAGTAGTGTGTCACTGTGTAGTTATAGCCAAGATAATTATGAATCGACATAAAGAATAAAAAAATTATGTCTATGTTTGTCCAGCATTTTTGGCGGATAACCGAGCCGATGCGATTATCACCAAGTTTAATCAAGTGCCGAAGTGCGGTAATGAAAATTACTGTACTTTAATAAAGTAAATAAATATATTATTTTATAATATTCTGCTTTCCATTATAATATTCCCACATATGAGATAAATAAATGTTATGTATAATATGGCTAACCGTAAGATCTAACGTACGTACATGTATTACGCGTATACAGGCGTCTTATATGGTTAGTTTTAAACTGCAGCGCACAAAATAAGTGTATTATGTGTTGAAATGATGAACTGCGTTATTTTGCGTTTAACCCAATAAAGTGACCCAAAATAATAATTGTGGTAATCGACCGGAGCGTAGCGAAGGTCCTCTTAATTCAGCTCCATTGCAAAAATGTATCTGTGTCCGTTACGAAAGGTTGTTACGAAAGGTCATCACGAAAATGTTACTGGCTGGTTATGTTGTATGTGCTAAGTTAAAATTACTGATTATGGTAATTGTTAAGAGTGCTACTGGTAGCACGTTAAAAAATAATTATGCGCACAAGCGAAAAGCTGCTGCGCTCCGGTCTGCCAGTGCACGCCAACGTGCATTTTTCCTAGTATGTATTGTAATAATGCCACAAAATAATAATTATGGTACTTTTTAATGTTATTGTAAATAGCGTATAATAATTATTGTACATGGGACAAATGTCGTACGAAATGTCTGTATTGCGGAAGAATAATTGAACGTTTCAGCGAAGGACAACGGCGTAAGAAACTTAACCGGTGACGTTAGGAAGGTCACCATCGTTTAACCCTGTACAGTTCGTAGGAACTCCATTAAGCCGTAATCACAACCGGAAACGAGAGCGCCAACAGATAAGATAATGCTAGAACAATACCGCAGCCCAGTTAAAGGTCAACACGACGCTAATCAGAACGGGCGGAGAAAACAATAGTGCGTGTAAACATACTCCGCGCACTTTGCACCACAATTAGCCGATAAATTTCCCCCCGCATCGCTGCACGGGCCATTGTCATTGGTATTCTGTGTAGGAATGCGCCAGCTCACGTTTCCGGTTGATACGATAAGCGTTAATTACCAGTCAACCGAACAACAAACTGATAACATTGCCAATTTCCAAAGGGTTCGCAAAATAGGCAGTTTCAAGTTTAACATGCCGGTTCGGCATTACGTACCAGCTATTAAACAATTTCCGTCATGGGAAGATCGTACGGCCTTGACTGATGCTATTTAAATCCAAATAAATTTTTTTGATTACATAACTGCGTAATAACCATTATGGGGCTATTTGCCTAATAACGTAATAACTAAGCACTCACTTGTGAAGTTATCATTGGTTAGAATTTATTCAATTACGATCTATTCTACTTCAAACACCGAGAGTTATAGAATTTGGATTCTTAGGCGCTCGTTTTGTTAACCATACTAGAATCGCACCTTTTATACGTCATCCATATTGGCGATCTACTGTTGCACAAGTGAATCAAAATTTATTAGTGAAACAATGCATATGTTACAAGTTCTTAACGCTTACAGCTTCGACATTAACTAGAACACGTTGTTGTCACCGTGCTTGGTACGTTTTCGTCAGACGCTGGCCTTTTTTATTGAAAAACTTGATGTTTGCTGTAAAAAGTTTCTAATACGTGTTGATAATACCTGCTAAACGCGTTATCTGCGCGGGAAAGGAAATACTTACGTTGTAATTTATATTGTGCCGGTATACATATCTATAGATATATAATATGAGAGTTTATGGTACATACACCGGAAGTGGCGCTTTTGTGCACTCCCAGAATACTTTGTTTGCATTGTTTTCTGAGGTTCTGTAGCCGAATGATTTGTATACGTTGGCGTGAAAACAGTTTGTGCGCGCAGCCCCCCGGCTGGTGAAATAAAATTCCCAAAAGCTTATAATATGCAAACACGTCCACCAAAACATCTCATTATGGACCGATCTGTTTCAGATTTTGCTACATAAATAATTATAGATCGTGCTTAATTTAATTTAATTCTTACATCCTACCAAGGTTCTAGCGGTACGTTTGAAATTGTGTAATGGACTTTATTTCATTTCGAAAGATTCCAAAGGGTGCGGGAACACATGTAACGGATCCCGTGCATTACATTATTTGTACCTAGAGATATTAAAATTATGAAAAATTAAATTGAGTGGTTGTTGGTAGCGTGTACGTTATTTTTCTTAATACGAGTAATATCCGTACTTAGTATCATCGTGCTCCCATTTTATATTGCTGGCATTTTTTATTTTTATTTACGAATGATAAGCATTTTTTGTACTCAACTATTTATAACTATAAATGATTGGTTAAGTCGTATTTTCTGATTTTATTCATAGTATCACTATTTTATTTATATTTTTTTATTATATTATTTATGTCTCTGGCGTCCGCTACGCGAATCCGTATTGTGAAAATGTCCGGAATGCGAGAAAAACGTCAAAGTAGGGTAAAACGACACGATGCAGCTGCAGTGTGTTGTTCAGTGAATCCCGGCTAAATCCGTGGCATCCCTCAAAATTCTGACAAAAGTTTACGTTTTTCCACAGGAATTCAAAACGCAACGGAGAAATGCACCGGTCAGTCGGAGCGCTGGACAGACAAATTAAGCTACAGGCTTTTTGGCTCGAAAAACATTTGCACAGAACATCGGTTGTACCGGTATTATTTTTTCTACATGTACGACGACAGTTGACGACAATCACGAAACGACGCTTGTATCAACACGGTAATTTTTACGCTAATTTTTTAAAGGATTTTTTTTTTGTCAGTCTCTCCATTATCCACGATTTAAACGCTGCGGAGCATTTTTTTTCTCGTTCCTTCCAGGACTTTCTTGATAAAATCTACACCAACCAAAAACAACGCTGTTAAAACCGTATAAAAATGATCTGGGAATTTCTTTGAATTTTTATCAGCATTTATTTTTAATTAATTAACAATTCTGCATTTTTAAAGAAGAATGGGCACCGTCGTATTTTTATTTTCCTACGCCCAAAATACCAAATAAATCAAATTACTTTATAGAAATATAAGATCAAAAACTGGGAAAAATCGTTGTTAATTTTCCGGATATTTTGCAGTTAATACCTTCATATTTGGTGTTGCCCTCGGTGTCCTCGTTGCTGCAGAGCTTGAGGATCTCATCCACCTCGCCCTCGGAGAGCTTCCTCTGGCCTGGCGCCCGGGATCCGTTGGATCTTAGAAGTGGGCATGAACGATTGACCGTCTTCTGGCCTGCTGGTTACGGGTGCATTACTATTGCTGTACTGGATGCGCACGGCCGCAGGCACTGTACCGGCCTTGCGGTCATTTCATGGCGCGCAGGACGTCGGCGGTCTTCATGGCGTCGATGGTGCCGTTCTCACCGAAGAACATCTCGTACACGCCAAACGCCTCCTTGCAGTCTACATCCAACGCAGTACATTTCAATTTCATGTATCGCTTCTCGAAAATAAATCGCAAAGAAATTCGACTTGCACTCAAAGATAACGCTAAATGACATACCGACCGGCCAGCAACAGCCCAGTAATAATTTTTAAAAATTTTTCTTCAAAGCGGGAAACGATTACGATGCACAAAGCAGTCTTCAACTTGTATAGCCGATTTGTTTTGCGAAATGGCATCCTAGGATTACAGCCGAACTAGCCAGCCACGGCCAAATTCTACAGTTTTCTTCCCGAATTGATCTATTACTCCACATTCGGGCGATGAAGGTTTCTTTGACGAAAGTCAATTGTCGTAATTTCTTTTTCGAAGCGGGAAACGATTACCCTGCCCGTATCATAGACCGGGATATCAGCATAAGGTATCCCGCCAATTTCTAAACATTTTCCTCCCGAATTCACATCTCCCTCTGCCCTCGAACTAGCCAATTTTCTCCGACAGGAATGAACTGACGATTTGATCATAGCAAACTCTGACCAGCCCATAACGAGCCCAGCCGGAAGCGGAATGCCATAACCCAGCCAGCGTGGCAGCATTTCGCGGATTTTGGCAGGGGCCAGCTGCTAAATAGGCGCGACTAACTCGCAGCGGATGCTGCGTATGATCAAGTGCTGCAGTTCCAAATATGGCATCCGTCCGCCGCGACGCGTCTCACTCACTGCCACTCACACTGCCTCTCTCTGCTCTGCTGATCATGTAACCACGAATCACACCGGCCACTACGTCGCTGCAGCGAATACTCCAAACCCGGCTAAAAATAGCCCCCACCGCGGTCTTCTTCTTCCCCTCGGATTTTCTTCGCAACTAACCAACGGTGGCGCCACTTTCTCAACGCCATCTGGCAGTGGGATGGGTATATGTTACAAAAAAATTTCCAAAGAAAACTCCCTGACTAAACCAACTGATCCAGAAAAAGGGAACTCGACGGGAAGTTGGAAAAAAAAATTGAATTTCAGGAAAAATAAATTCAAATTTTCCTGATGAAGCCTACCTAAAAAATTCGCGAAAAGGAGATTTTTCTACTGTAGAAGAAAAAACCAGCGAAAATAGTTGGCTATTATATCTGTGTTTCATCGCATCGGCTTTAGTTTTACCTGTGAATTTTATTTAATTATATAAGTACGTATGTTAAAACAGGATTTCTTAGAAGCGCTGATAACCGGCGATATATCGTTAACATATTGGCACTTACGTTCAACTTCAGCATCGCCGAGTTTGGCCTGGAAAAAAAGTAAATGAGTTAACGAGAGAAAAATTATTTTCTTCCAAGATTGACTATAAATAATCCTTCTTTTATTGCCAGATTTATTGGAATTAAAACAGAAATAGGATTAAATAGTTCGAGGACATCCAAGGCAGGAAAATCATACGTTCACGCTACGTCAAAAATACCGGCGCGTCGCTTACCATTTTTTATTGATGAGGAATCACGGAAAGAGGAGAAACTCCGCTGGAAGAAATACTGGAGAAGATGGTGAATATTCCCGTTGCCACCAAACTGCGTATTTAATCCACAAGAGCAAGCGAGCGCGGATGGATACCTGGGATGGATGAGAGAAACGACCAGCCAAAACGACGATGTTACCAACGAGAGAGAAGCAGCACACTGGATTCCTCGCCCCAACCAACACAACTCCCGGCTTATGACATTTTCGCTAACACTTTTTTCAGCGCAGTGCAAAGCCCCGCCCACCGCAACTAAAAAAAGCGGGGCGTCACACGTCACCCGCGCTCGCCAGTGCGGCATGCGGCGGCGGGCTAAAATTGTCCATTTCGTACCAATGCCAAACGCTTGAAACGAACGCCAGTATGTGATGATGTAATACACTGAGCTTTAATCGTTCAATTATTTCGTACAGTGAGAGGACATTATTAAACGATATTAGGGTTTAGAAACGGACTTGACCTTGCTGGATGGCCGTGTATGTTTGAGGTGTTAAGGGTCGGTATTGAAAAGATTTCGTCTCAGCTGCTGTCCCGTTTACGCGGGAATCGGGAGACATATTGTGTAAATAATACAATTTATCAGAACCGATACATGACGGATTAAAAGCCTCTTTCTTCAACGTGTTCTTCTGCACGCGGAATGTTCCTACAAAATTAAATCACAGAAAAATCACCGATATTTTCTATTAAATAAAAAAATGCGATAAATCGTCCATCGTATTATGGATAAATTATTAATTAAGAAAATAAAAATGCGAAGAAACAGATAGATATTTTAAAATAAATCGGTTTTAATTGCCCGCAATATATTTCTTAACAAATACCGTGAAATCTATCAATGTTACAGCAACTTCGGTACGCCAATGCAAACATCAAACTGACTAACTGTTGGAATCGTTCAAAAAACCTAAAATGAATATTCAATAAATAAATATAAATATTATTAAAAAAATTTTTCGCCAGTATTTATTTCAACATAATCGATATCAATTTCCACTGGTGCATTTTTCAATACACTACTGCAATTTTTTAACGATCATGAAGTAGTGTCACCGCGCTTGCAGCTGTTTGCGACCATTTAAAAATAACAATTATTTCAAAAAATATTAAGAGTATTAGCTAGAAAAAGCAAATGGAATAAAAATGGAAAATTCGAAAGACGTACTGATACGATAATTTCAAGACGGTGTTTCCCTACACAAACATCAAGTTACCGGTCAGTTGGATGGCGTCGTGGGCGGTGACGCGGAGAAACACGGGAATGGCGTAGGACGGCAGATGCCGGATGATTTCCGCCGGCAGATCGCGGACTTTGTTGTCAATCTCCTCCGGCCGCACCTCCATGGCGTCGAAGGCGATGGCGGCCATCCCGGCCTTCCCTTCCGCACCTGTCACGACATGGCTGTGTTAATTTCGCAGCCAGCCATATTTCCCATTGAATAAACAACACGCACATCCCATTATGCCATAGTTTATTGCATTACTAATAATTTATGAACAGAAAAATCTTTTTTAAATACGGAAAAAAGAAAAATATATTTTTCCACAATATTTGAATTCCGTTTGTATATGTTTTCGTAATAACAAAAATGTTTTCGAAAAATAACAAATATGTTTTGGTCATAATTGAATTCGAGTTGTAATATTCACAAGAAACATAACGAAAAACGGAAACAAGGTTTTCGAAACAAATAAAATTTGTTTTCGTACTCCTTTTTCGTAACAACTAAATGCCGTTTATTTATTGCATGTACTTACTAAAGCAATTATTTGTCGTAACACATAAATGCCTTTTTTGTTGCAGGACTAAATCAAAGGGTCACCTGGAACGTCGACGCCGTAGACGGCGACATTACTGTGTCCGCACAGCATACTGAGAATGCCCTCCACCTCCGTGCTGGACACATTCTCCCCCTTCCACCGGTACGCGTCGCCCAGCCGGTCCACGAAGAAGACGAAACCGTCCTTGTCCACTCGCATAATATCGCCTGCAGCAAACCCACGCGATACATTATACGAGAAAATTAAATTGAAATAAATTATTGTAACCAAAAATAAGTACTAATTAATCAGTTCGTGCACTTAGTTTCTATCTTTCTGAATTTATTTTAATGTTTCTTAATTTCCGCCAACACGAGAAAATCTCCGTTGCTTAACCCTCTGCAGCAACGCGCTATTCGGATAAACCATGATGTCATGGAAAATCGTAGTGCAGTGGTTACACTCCAGGTCACTATTTTGCTGGTAAACATAAGCAAAACTACATATGGTCTTTGAATGTGCAAACAAGAATTTGCCTGTGCAACTTATTTAACAAAACTAATAATAATAGTGCACAACATCTTTTCATATTTTATTAATATTATTTTTGATACATATTTTTCCGTATTACAGAATTAGTTGGTAATTAATTAATAAGCAACGAAACCACGGAGCCGTAATTAAGGATTAAACGACACCATGCAACTTCGAAATGCCTGGCGAAAATCGCATGTTACGCAATCACCGCTGACCCACCCGAGCGGAAGTACTTGTCGCCCTTCTGGAAGACATCGTGCAGCAGTTTGGACTGCGTGGCTTTCTTGTTGGTGTAGCCGTCGAATTTCTTCAGCGGATCCCAGCTAATCTGACCCAGCAGTTCGCCTTCCTCTTCTGCCAAGACAAAACAACTGTGACACACCCAAAACCAGACTTTTCACATAGAATTCACTGTTCACCATCGCGCGTCGAGTAAATGATTATTTATCCGAGGAAAACTAACAAAAAAAATGTTTTTATAATTATTTCTCCGATTTTTACAATTAATTATTTTCCTAATAATTTATGAATTTAATTTATCCGAGGAAACAAACGAAAAGAAAAACATTTTTAAAAATTTTTATAAGTTCAGGTTTTATTATGTACATACTAGTAGTCTAGTACGAACGCCTGCAGTCAATGATGCGATATGTTGATTTCTTTCTTCCCACGCCACTGCACCACGAATACCGACGCTTTTCTATTCTGGACACGATTAAGCCTGCGTACAATCAATAGTTTTAATACGATACTGTGTAAAGGATTATAAATGGAGTAAAAATTTTAAAACAATTTCCAGTCTTGTTAATTAAGTAACAAAAAAATTGCCAAATCTACAAAATATTCTGAGATCTACACTCTACAGTGTCTGAAAATTCAGAAAATTTGCAAATTTACACACATCGCAATTGGTACTTTGTGTCATTAGGTTACAATTGTAGCAATTTTTTCAACTTTTGCAAACGGGTTGGGTAAACAAACGGGTTGCCATCTCATACAAATCAAACCAAAAAGCAGTATAAAAAATGTTCTAAGGGACGCTAAAAACATTTTCCAATAGCCTGGTAAGATATCTGGCGTTGGCTACTGTAGTTGGATAATAGTAATGATAATAATAACTGCAAAACATATTTATTTATTCGTTAACCACTGGTTTCGTTGAATTTGTAAATTTTTAGGCTACTATCGATACATCAACGCCGATTCGTACCCGGCTGCACTTTGACGCAGTATCCGTTGGCGTCGCGCACCACCTCGCCGCTGTCGCGGTCCACCTTGACGACCGCCTGCGGGTGCAGGGTGTGGAGCACCGGGGACAGATAGCCGACGGCGCCGGTGATGCCGTGCATGTTGGCCAGCCCGGTGTTGCCCTCCGTTGAGCCGTACATCTCCACCACCTTGGCCACGCCGAAACGCTCCAGAAAATGCCGCCACACGGAGGGACGCAGGCCCTGGCCGTAGAGTAAACGCAGGCCGTGCTGTTTCTCTAACGGTGAGACGGGCTGGGCCAGTAGGAACCGGCAGATCTCCCCGATGTACTGCGCGGCCTATATATGCATTACCATTAGCCGAATTTCTAATTTACCAAATTATTTAATTTAATTATTATTTATTGTATCAGTAATTAATACTAATTAAATACGTCTAGTTTAAGAACTAACCAAATTATTCGTTTAATAAATTCTTTAAGAATTCTTTATTAGATTAGCAATTATTAGTCCGTTAAATTTTTCAGGAATTAATTATAAAAGAAATTCATTTATTGTAATACTGAATTTTGTGAATATCTACTGCGAAAAAAATATTGATCAATTTATTTAATTTAATTATTATTTATTGTCGCAATTAAATACGTCAAGTTTAAGAACTAATTAAGTTATTCGTTCATTAAATTCTTTAACAATCAACCATTAATTTTTCTATTAACCCGGTCGACACCATGCATGCCAATTGGCACAGTGGGGAACTTTGTTGTCTGTAGCGGCAGGAAGTACAATAAGTAAAGTCTGATTGGTTTGATTGTAAACTAGGGATGGTGAAAAGCATTTCACAATATAAGGCACTGAGCAATTGGACACTGGTCGTATCCAGTGGGCGACTGAAGTTGACCAAAACCGAGCCAAAGGGGTTCGCCGGGGTCTTAGCTACCGGCCCAGAAACCCCCGCATCAAATAATTATGCAAAAAAACCAGTTCAAATATGCACAGGGTTTCATCTAAAAATGAGTGGGTCACATACATAAAGGTGGACACCGTCCGGCTACAGCACTTACAAAAATCTGTGCCAATTTTGACACGCTTGGGTTTGGCACTATTTTATAAAAAAAATTTAAAATTCTGCATAAAAGTAATCACGCACTGCAAAAATCAACATGTACAATTAAAAAATCTCACTGAAAATGCTGTTTGTAATGACCATGTTTGAGTGGTCATCGAAGTGACCACTGGCCACTTATGGTACAAAAATTGTAAAAATCACTTTTCTGACGAGTAATTTGTACCTCAGAGACAAATACTGTTAGCAAAAGTTGTTTTCTGCAATATTTCAGCATAAATTGTGCATACATGAAGCTGTATTGTATTGTACAAAACATAAACAGCAAGTATATAATAAGACGCTCATACTGCAGATTTGTTATGCTAATGCCGCATCGGCACATCAGGCGAGCATGACCACAGGCAGGCAACCTGTGTATTGCAGCCTCAATGTTTCCCCGATTTTATGGAGTTTTTGGACCCCAAATTTTGTTTTGCGAAGTGGCATCTCACTTATACAGATACAATACTGCCACGTGTAGCGCTACAAATGTACTCTTGTAATGTACCCCGATTTAGTCAGTACTGAATGTACAAAAACTTCTGGTCACCAACAAACAGTGCCGATTTCGGCAGCTGGCAGCTGCAAGTGCTGGAAGCAGTGTTCTCAGTGCTAAATTAGATGCCGCGAATTATTGCAATGACCTATTGCTAAAGGTGCTTCGCTATAACTAAAGAGGGTTTTGCATAAATATAAGCAAAGTAAATTACCACACTGTAAAAGTTAACATCTCCCTAGCTACAGTACCGCTAAGGGTTTGGCGGCGACGTTTGGCGCGTTTGGAGTCTGGACGCAGGCGCTATTGCTGCAGGGTAACAATAGCTTTCGAGTGCGTAACGACCATTTTCTAAAACGGCCCACTATACGCATTTCTGTATGGATGCAGCTAGTTGAAATAGTATTGTTTATTGCTGAGCGCGCTTTCTTGAAAACAACTTTTTTATAACTGGCACCCGGCGGCCTGAAGTAGTTGAACTTGATCCCTACGCGTTTCTATTTGTTTTTTTGACTATATGTCAAGCTCTATATGCATTATTTGTAGTGCGTCAGCCCTATTCAGTGGTTTTATGCATGTTTCATTTGTGTTGACCATTGGTCATCTTGCTGACCATTTGAGTTATTTAGCTGAATAGTGCTCTTCAAGATCTTTTGTTTGAGCTACACTAAGCTATTATACGATTTGTTTTTGAATTGTAATTGCAATAAAACTACATTGTGCCAATTGGCTCAGTTCCCATGCGTGCCATTTTGGCATCGTACTGCCCTGCTTGACCTATGGTCACGAAAATTCCAGAAAAAATAATTCTTCTTGATTAGAATTTTTGGTCGAGGAATACCAATTTTCAAATCGGTATTCCCATTCCTTCTAGTACCCGGCGTTGGTGGGTTAAGAGTTTTTTAAATTCTTAAGAATTAATTATGAAAGAAATTTATTTTAATTTAGCGCTGAATTTTGTAAATATTTGATTAAAAAAATTTATTTATTCATTTCACTCCGCATTTTCCTCACTGTGCATTTATATTTGATGATGTCCTCCCAGAAGGAGCTGGCCGAGAATTTATTGCGCAAGACCACGGTGGATCCGTGCATGAGCGCCTGCCCCACCGTGGCAATACCTAACCGGCAAATAAATCACTGAATTTTTCGCATAAAAAATATTAAAAAATGGAAAATAGTTCCCAATTCTCGGAACTGACCGCCGGCGGTGTGGTAGATGGGCAGGGGGCAGTAGATGACGTCGTCACTGCGCAGTCCCACCACCAGATGGATGATGCGGCTGAAGCCCATGAAGCGGCGCTGCGTGATGATGCAGGATTTGGGCGGGCCGGTGGTGCCGCTGGTGAAGATGTAGAACAGCGTCCGGTTCAGCGAGGACGCCGCGTCCTCGTAGCTGCGCTGCCACCAGCGCATCTCCGCGACGGATTTATCCTGCACCACACAAACCCCTCAACACCACCACACTGCTACATAATTTGAAAAAAATTTACAATCTCATTACTTAAGAAAATAACAAACAATTACTTTAGAAAACAAATAACTTTAGGATATTTTACATCATTTAAAAATTTAAAATATAATAATAATGAAAAATCTTTTCATACAAAAAATTAATGATCTGATGAAAAAGAAATAAACTAGACAATTTGAAAAGCTGATAAGTGATAACCATAGTCAACTATCGCTGGGGAATATAACACATACAGGCGCCCTGGAAAACAGCCGCTACACTACAATGTATCACAAATACGCTACGCCGAACTGAACAAATCAATGTAAAACTTTGCCTGGTGATTTTTTCGATTTATGTTACATCCACCTGTGCAGCCGCAACCGTAGCGAAAAGAGATTTTTTGGACTTTAGAGCGATACGCAGTTGGACAAATCAAACACCCAATAAGCCGTTAATTATTATTTTAATTATTCAAATTATGGCAGGTATATTTACAGCTTTTACGTTTATGTGCAGCCTCTCAATATACTGTAAAAATGATCTCGAACGCGACTTATACCGGAATTTTAACATAGAAGTTTTACAAATACATTAGTTTTTATTTTCATTTTTTCTCATTTTGCTTTTTTCCTATTTTTTTTATCCTGATTTCGTTTTAGAATTTCTCATTTTCTGCCGTTAATTATAATTACAGGAATTCTGTTTGCTTTAATGCAGCGTGGAAAATCTCGCTGTTGGGTGTGCTTTTTTTAATGGCAGCTGCAGCGCCGGAAATCTCACCTGTTCGATTACCGGCGCACTGCTGTCCTCTTGAGCGATGGCGTCGTTCAGCACACCCGGCTTCGCATCCGCCGTACCGGCATCCCCGCGTGATGTATAGTACATCACCTGCGCGTCCGGGAAGTCCCGACGCACCGCTTCAAACTGCGCTTGTAACTGGGTGTCGACGATGATCAGTTTGGGACTGGCCACTTTCAGGCTGTTGATCAGAGATTCCGCCACCAGATTGCTGTTGACCAGGGCGCTGACGATGTTGAGTTTGGACAGGCCCAGCCAGATGCCCACATATTCTACACTGAACAGACGCGTTCTTATTTATTTTCTGCTCATTTTTTCCTTCTATTTTCCCACCTTTTTTCCTTTATTTTTTGATTTTTACAATTTTTTTACAATTTTTATTTTTTTATCCCGGCTAATTTTTTGAAAAGCGCTCACTGTCAGCCAAAATAATATACGTCGTAATAATAATAATAATAATAAAATTAATGGGCGCATTCCACGTAATACTGTAAATTTAAAAATTAATATGAGGTGAAAGTAAAACAAAATTGATCTTTTAGTATACATAATTCTAAAAGAAAACTATGGTCAAGTTAAATCATCACACAGAAGCTTATAAACAAAAACGGATGACTGTTGGATATGTATTTGACAAGTAAATATACAGAGTCTGTAACAACAAAAATACTGGAAACGAATGAACTAAAAAATTATTTTGAAAAAATAATTTAAACGAAATAAATCTTCACCTTGAAGTCCCGAAAAGTGCGACCACATCGCCGCTGGCTAACGCCTTAATCTGTTGGAAATAATTAGCCGTCTTGTTGGCGAAGGTCTCCAATTCGCGAAAGGTCATCTGCCGACCGGATGGCGCGATGATCAAGGCCGGCTTGTCGGGATACTTTCCGGCCATCGCGTGAAACAGCGATGCCACGGTGTCCTGACGCCGCTTGAAATTCCAGAAGGTCTTGCGTAAATCCAGAAAAATCCCGACCATTCTGGTAACATGTGCAAAATTAAATGTACATGTACAAAATACAAACAAGGTAACATGTACAAAATTAATACTGGTAAGCGGTAACAATACCAGTAACCTGTACAAAATTAATCTTTTACAAGAATGTAAACGGAAAAGTTATCACTCGCTTATTAATATTTTCATACCATAATTAACGTAAGTTTACGTAACCGAAATAACTATATTTTATTCAGTGCAATTTAAATGGAATATATATATACCATTCTACGCCGGAATATATACATATAGACGGTCCACAGCAGAAAAACCATGCTTTTAAAGAACAAGACCTATGGAAAATAACACCGTAGCTTCAAAATTATTATTTAATTTATTATTTAATTAATTTATTTCGGGTCCATCAACCTAAGAAGCTTGAGATTTTCAAAAGAGAAAACTGTACACGGTTAGAGACTAATTATGATTCCGTAGAAAAGCGTAGTGCAATGGCTGAACGTATCCTGAATAACGTACATATTTACGTGCAGTTCAAAATCAAAAGCGATTTGGTGGTTGCTACAATTTTAATATTAACAAAAACGATCTTTTCCATAATATAAACTTTTTTATCTTTACGGTCAGATACCGGTGCACGGTGAAGACATTTGTAAAAATAAAGTACCGAATAAAGTCATTTCCGAATAAAGTCATTTCTCGTTTAAAAAAAATATATTCAACTGATCAATGGTCAAACTGACTCAAACAGTCATACTTGACATCGCGTTTGGCGATCTCCAGCAGCCGTTGGAGGCGCGCCGCGAAGGGCGGTTGGTCGGGCGACGGCGGAGTGCGCAGGGTGTCCGTTGTGCGGTGTTTGGTGACGGCGGCGGACGGTTCCGCCAGGGAAGCCGGCGAGAACAACGTCGCTTCCGCGCGGGCCACCGTGTTGGTGTAGCGCAGACTGGCTAGCGGACGGCTGGACTTCCGAGACAGCTGCACCGCCCCCCGCAGAAGGCCACACGGTAGACGTGGAGACAGCATTTCTACCAACATTTCAAACGTTCCAGTTATTACTATTACTTATATTAAATGACAATTATTGTTGACAACTTTCTTCTTAATTACGATTATTTATAACAAAAGTAATATTGATTATCAACGACAATTATTAATAAAACTATTTTACTATTAGACAACAATTATAGCCAGCAAATTAGAAAAATAGACCATCACGCATTTTACCAGGTAATTTCGTGTCCGACCATTTCGGCATAGGGACAAAATATACAAAAAGAATAATTTTTTGCGAAACAGTAGTACGCCGAAATGTAGTATGGCGAAACAGTAGTATGCCGGTAATTTAGAATGTTTTTGTGCATGTGGTCGGATAATTTCTAAATTAATTAACGGTTATTATATCTACGAAATCATTCACTCCATAATGAATAATCCCAAAGAAAATATTTAATGACAGTAAATGTGTTATTCTGCTTCTTGTTGTGGATTTTACAAATATTTCGCATTCTTTCCTCGTTTAACCTAATATTAATTAGTGTTGCACCGCAAAGGAGACTGGGAAAAAGTTTGTGGTAAACATTCAGTTTTGGTTAAGTGCAAATCGGTCGTACCTTGATAATTCGATAAGATAACAAATTAAAAGTTCCCCAAACAAAATCTAACAGTTCAATTCCCGAAAAACAACCGTTTGACCGCAAATTTATCGGTCAAAGATTAACAACAACACGAAATCGATAAAAAATCGGTAGGAATGCTTTCTTGCATATACTCCATAAACAATATTTTTTTTTGTGCATATTTTAGTAATTAAAAGCAATTTATTAATTAATAATCGAACCATCTTTCAATAATTTCCAGTAGCTATACAAATCAACAGAAGTTATTATTCATAGGAGAGTTTCTTTACTTATTTATCTATGCAGCATTTCACACCACATTAAACATCTTAAAACTCGCAGAACAATCGCAATCTACGGAATTCGCAAGCCAAAACGAAAACAACTATCTCCAAAAGGACCGCGTACATTACAGTTATTTGCAGGCTGAAGATGCGACAGGCAGCACCGCAACAGCTGCAAATGTAGCTGGCACCTGGATGAGCGCGATCGCTTACCTGGTTATCAACGAGTGTCAGCACTACAACGGAATCACACAGCGCGGTGCATGCTTAGATCTCAGCGAGTAATGGAAGAATTCCGGGCAGAACTTTCTTCTTATTCCGCCAAATGCCAATAAGCAGTAACCGTGAATGTAGATTACGTCGTGCAGCTGCAAATCCGATCCCGCAAAGACGGAGAGAGAAGTCGAAAAATTTTTGGCCAAAAAAAAATACGAACTGTGATGAACTTGAAAACACGTCAAAGCAGGTACTGTACAGTGTACCAATTGCGCATAGGCGCATCGCGCACTTACTTACATCGAATTTCACCAAGCACTTACATACAAAGTAGGCAAAACCGCGCCTTTTTGCACAGCTAGCGTGTAAGTATGTACGGGATAAACCTGACCGCGTGCGCACAACAGCCATGACGCACATACTTCGATAAAAAAGCTGCGCTGACAACGTGTTTTCAAAGTTCTCCCACATCATTATCATATTTTAACCGTAAATAGTCCTATAGGTAAACCTGCTGAAAACACCCAAACAAATTGCAATATGAATAATTAAAATAATTAAGAATAAGAAGTAAAGTTTCACAATTAGATTTAGGAACGCTTCTGGGTAGCCAGATCAAGCGGGAATCCGCAGCGCTGCTATACAGTGCAACATATAAACTTCATGTCAGATGCAGTCAGACAATAGTCCATTACATGACGATGCCTTCCCGACTGTTGCCGGGTAAACTGTTGGGATTAAAGTCCACTGAGATAACGCAAAACAACCATTGCCGTGGTAGCAGATGAACTGCCATGACGATAACTATGAACGCGACGTGAAGGTATCTATGTGGAGCGAGCTGGCATCTATGTCAGAGTGCTGTGCCGAAATGAAAAGCAAGTCCCGACTTGCTTTTCATTTCGGATAACGTTTTCAAAGTTGTGTGTGTGGCCTATTTAATAGGGCAAATCACAGTTGTTGCGCTTATCTCAATGGACTCTGATCCCAACAGTCAAACCGTCAACAGTCGGGAAGGAATCTTGATGTAATAGACTAATACAGAAAAAAAATCCGACCAACTCATAGCCTCATACTAGAATACATAAATTTGAATTATAAAAATTTAATATTTGACTTACCAAACTTTCTACAGGGCTGTCCAGCAGTATGACTGGCAGTCGAGTGTTAAGTCAAATGACTCAAATTCAGCAAAAAACACAAAAAGCAGTACTACGGCTGGGTAGCCAGCAAGCAGGGTTCCCTGCGATGCGATGGCAATAAATGTCAATGAATATTACAAATCACACAGAAAGCCACATGGATTCTAAAACCTTGTGGCCTTTCTTAGTTAATTCGTAATACTCCTGGCGATAATCAAGGACAGTGTTAAAAGATAATTAAGACAATCTGATGTGATCAGAGAGAAGGAACGCATCTGGGACAAGCAGCAATATTCGCCACTAATATTCTGGGATCCCAGAACAGTAGGCTTTCCTGCACTAGGACCTGATAAGTTAAACCTACAGTTACTTTAAAAAAATTATTATAAATAATAATTTTTAACAAGTTTAGAACAAAAGTTTCTAAAGAAGGCAAGAAAACTGGTCCTCGCATTGCGATAAATCCATTGCTAATTCGAAGTATGGGGAAAGAATCACTTGGTTTCGAATTTCGCTATTGGCGGTGGGCAGCCTCGATCTAACTCAAAATGCTGACCCAACAATGAAAATCGCAGAAACGCGAAGTTTGTAAGTAGCTGGGCGTCGCTTAGACCCGTTACAAGGTACGCCTATCTTCGTAACGGTTTTTGTTGACGCCCCCCGACAGACATCGAGCAAAAAGCGACTTACATCGAAGCCCAGCCAATCGGGACTTGGTACGCCTATTTCTCGCTTCGATGTAAGTCGCTGTTGCTCGATGTAAGTCCGCGTTTTAACTCTGCGCATCCTTTCTAGTGTACGGCGCAGCAGCTCACACAGCTGTGGGTGGATTGGTAACCCATGCCCGCAGGCGGCCAGCGCCGGAAACGGAAGTAAGCCACGTGGCACGTACTGTATCTACTCTGCAGTTTGCTCAGGTTTGACCGGTAAAATGTACAGTAATAAAAGTCTTGACCATCGCTCAGTCTTGACCATCGCTCAGTCTTGACCATCGCTCGCACCGTGCTGCTCGCTTTCGGTTAGACTGCTTAACTTCATCGTTCAACGTGTGATTGCCCAATATTCGGCGTTTCCGACGGAAATTTGCCAATATTCCACCCAATCACCCTTGCTCTCCCGTTCGTGATCATCCGATCATATTATTATTATTATTTGTATTAGCGAATTATTATTTTTAAAAAAAATGACTTCCACTAATAGCCGCACTGTTAACTATACCGTTGAAAATGTAGATAATTTGTATCATTTATTGTCCGGAATCATTTCTAATGACGATCGTGCACCAAGTATTGCCCAGATTTGCCAGGAAAATTGTTCCCGTCCTAAAATCCTTATGCCTGATTGGGAATCGCTCTCTCCTGAAGTTTCCGTCAGGTTTGAAAACTTTCTGGGCGATATTACTTCTCGGCTTAAGAATGCTGAACTACTGGGTCATATTTCTGCATCGGATAATATTGAATTGTTAACCTGGTCTCTTGCCAGTTATCTTATTAAAATTCTTAACTGTAAGACTGTTTCGTAAACAAATTTTTTTGATAAAATTTTGAAGCGATCTGTTCCTCGTGAGTTACTTGACGAAAAATTTAAAATAACTGGCCGTATCACCAAAATTGTTCGCAAACGTAGGCGACTGCAGGCACGTGGTTTTCAGTTACCTGAAGAGGATGTGTTCGCTCTACAGCATCTCCGCGTCCTCAGTAAAAGGTTATGTAATCAGATTGCTGAACTAAAGAAAGCTTCTGAAATTCAGTCTAATGAAAAGTTTTTTCTTAAAAATCGGTTTGACTTTATAAAAGAAAAGTTTTCGAAATCCTCAGGTATTAATTCAAATTGCCTAAATAAAACCGAGATCGAATCGCATTTCAGGCAGACGTACAATCCGGATAATCTCGAAGCGCTCGATCTGTCTTGGCTGAATGAAATTAAAATGCCAGAGGTGTGTGTTCCTTTTAACGAATCTCCAATTCTGGGCAGGGAAGTGAGCAGGGCACTGCTTAAAAAATCAGGGCGCACTGGCTCCGGTCTCGATGGACTCGGCTATGGTATTTTTAAAAACTTTCCAGTGTTACATAATTTTTTAGCTAGTATGTACAATAAAATCGTATCGTCTGCTAATCCACCAACTTCGTGGAATGTCGGTCGCACCGTTCTTTTGTATAAAACTGGCGACGCCGCTGATTGTTCTAACTACCGGCCAATTACTCTGACCAGTTGTTGTGCTAAAATTTTGCATACAGTCATTTCCAACCGGATCCTTTCGTTTGTTCAAAAGAATAACATTATTGATGTTTCAGTGCAAAAAGGCTTTATCGATTGCATGAACGGCTGTGGGCAACACTCTTTAAAATTACAACACATTATTGAGAAGCAACGTAAACTGAAACGCGCTTTACATGTAGCATTGCTGGACATCGCGAATGCCTATGGTTCAGTAAGGCACGAGCTATTAAAGGATGTTCTCTCTCGTTACGGAATCAGTGCATCTTACATAAAGTATATTCTGGCTTATTATGATGGCTTATCTGTGAAAGTTCAAAACAATGATTTTATTACTGATCCTATCCCTTTTAAGGTTGGCCTATTTCAGGGAGATTCAATGAGCTGCATTCTGTTCTTGCTTTGTTTTAACCCTGTGCTCGAATATCTGAAACAAAATAACAATTGCGGCATTGAGATCGATGATGAAAAAGTTGTTGCGCTCGCTTTTGCTGACGATTTGACTTTAATAACAAATAATAAGCTGTCTATGGATAAACTTTTGCGTGATGTAAATGTACGAATGGTTAATATGGGCCTTTTCTTGAAAGTTTCGAAATGCAGATCTTTTTCTCTGACGGGCGGTGTTGCCTCTGACTATGAATTTTTCATTTACGGAACTGCTATGCGCAATATTAAATCGGAGCCAATGAAATTTCTCGGCTCATATGTCTTCTCTAATAACCAACGTCGAAACGCGCAAAAAAGCATTAACAATTGTTTAATGGATCTGCTTTTAAAAACTGACCAGCTTTCTTTGCGCGATGAATATAAGCTATGGATTTACAATAACTATATTGTTCAATCAGTGCGTTTCCTTCTGACTGTGCATGACCTAAATACTGCAGCGATCAATAAATTGCAAAGCTTAACTAATAAATTTTTGAAAAAATGGCTTCGTCTTCCTCAGTGTGCGAATACTGATTCGCTTTTTTTGCCTCAAGGCGCTAATTTCAAATCAATTAAAAATATTGCTTATCAAGCCAGAAGTGGGCTGATTGTTGACTGTTTAATCTCCAGTGCTGACCCAGTAGTGTAGTGTGCTGCCGATGAAGTGTTACAATCGCCTTCTAATCTTATGCACCAATTTGCGCCAGTAATCCAGTCCGAAGCTCAGAACGCCCGTGCCGCTGTTGTGGCCAGTGATGGCAGTAACACCGCAATAAACAATGCCCGTGCCGCCGCCAAAGACAGTGTAACCTCCCATGTTTATTCCATCATTACTTTGGAGCGAGAGCAACACGTGGCCAGTCTTGTACAACAAGGTGCCTGGCTGCGTGTTGCTAATGAGGAAGACGCTGATAATTATTGGTCTTCCTTGAAATTCGATCTCCCTCGCAGCACATGCTCATTTCTTTCCCAAGCCCGGCTGAATGTTGCCCCTTCTTTTACTAATCTCCATAAATGGGGCAAATTGGTGTCTCCTTTGTGTTCCTTATGTGATCAGGCAGCGGGCACACTTGGACATATTCTTAATGGCTGTCAAGTTTCATTACAGTCTGCCCGTTTCACATGGAGACATAATAGTGTTGTTAAAGCGCTGGTTGATGGTCTAACCGCTGCAATCAAGGACACCGACAAAAACACCGAAGTCTTTTGCGATCTAGCGCCTGACTGCTATTCCTCGCATGTTGATACTATTCCTTCAGATATTCTTGTAACTAACGTCTTCCCTGATCTGACTGTAATTAATAGATCTTTGAAACGTATTGATCTTGTCGAAGTAACAATACCTTTTGAAACTGTTAAAAGTTTTCGCAATGCTGATTTAAGGAAAAATACACGATACGCTTCCCTTGAAAACGATCTCGCGGCATTAGGGTGGACTGTTAAACAACATCACATTGCCGTGGGATCATTGGGAATGATTCCCAAAAGGACGAGCCATAATTTAACCTGTTTATTAAAACAAATATCTGGCTGTAACACTAGTACTTCATCTTTATTCTGTAAGAAAATGGCTAAAATTGCTGTTTGTTGTAGTTATGCGTTATTTAATAAACGATCCGATAAACTGTGGCTCCCACCTGGCCCGACTAAGCTTTTCACTGTATAAGTAGTAGTGCAAAATAATTTTAATAATTAATATTCCATATTTTTTTGAAATTTCAGTTTTTTTCAAAACTTAACTGAAGTCATATTTTGGTGTCTGACAAATAGTCTTATAGTGAAATCTGAAAAACTTTCACGTTTTCATAAGTTTATGAAGAAACTTCGATGTAATGTTGGAAAAATCGGTTTCGTTGCTACATTGCTACATTGGAGAGTGTGCGAAAGTTAAATCGAACCTTATGTTTGTCGTAATCAGCTAGTGCGTTTACACTCACCGTAATTCCACTGCCGTCGAATCTTTGACTGACTCTCTCTGTTCTACGTCTCTCTCGCTTTCACACTGACTCGTTTTATCCCTACTCGCTTCTCGGTAACAGTGTGCAGCCGACGTAACCACCAAGCGCAAACCACCCAAAGACGCTCCCGGTCTCCATCGAAGAACGGTGCATGGATGTGTGTTTATTAATTTTGCTCATTTTATATGTGGTTGGTGTGTGTTGCATTGTTGCTTGCCATACACCCCGCATAATTGTATTGTGATCGTCCTTTCCACATAATATACTCTTATAATCTCTGTATTCTATAGCTCCTTCTCTAAAACTACCAAAAAAAAGATTCATGTGTAATGTAGAGGAGAGCAAGCGGTCTTTTACCTTATTGATGCTTCCGTTGCGCGAGTTTTGTTTACAAAACCTTTAAAAAAGAATAGGTTATGCGTGCCTTTTCCCCTAATTTGTAATAGGGGTTTTTTGCCGCATAACAGCAAACGGAACTCAATAAAGGTTGATATATAATATAAATACGATATAGATACAGTACAGTACTTATTATTATCTAGTTCTACTCGTAGTTATTTGAATACTGAATATCTGGGCCAGGACTTCGGCCCCTGTCCTTTGAGGCAAAGCATCTCGGCTTCCACTTCACCAATTTTGTTGCTTTAAAGTACTAGTACATCAAAATTTTTTAAGTGTAGCGGTGGATCCAAGATTGATGACTTTTTTCCAAAATCGCTTGTTTAGGTCCAGTGGTCAATCTTAAGCTTGTTACCATGGACACGATAAGAAATGCACACTGTTCTAGCACAACTTGACCCAGAACAGTAGAATTAATATTATCTGAGCTGCCACTTAACAATAAGTACGAGTATACAATACAAGTAAAAAATTCATGTCACTTAACACGTTAGTCATCATTGCAAGTTATATACTGTATGTACAAGGAGACAGTTCGTGTTTCGATTAACTTATGTAAAGTGTATCATAATATTACTAAACATACGTACGGGTTTATTGATAATATTATGACAGTCTGTAAGCGGCCGCAAAAGCAACACATCCTTGGAATTACTTATTTTTTAATAGTCATCGGCCAATATCCATCCGTGCTGGGCTTGTAATATATTATCTACTGGTTACAAAATAACTTCTGCTCTTAGTATCGCATCCTTAATATGTTTGCTCATTTATTCATCAATAATAATTCAGCCCGATGATCGATATTCTATCATAATTTTTATTTCCTGCGTAAAGATAGAGAAAATACAAACACAATTCGCAAGGAATTAATCATCCGGCTTGTACTCTGTACATGCTTTTGGTATCACTTGATTTATGATTGTAATCAGTTTGAATTTTGTGGCGATCCACGTCGGTACCCAGTGTCTCTCCTAAATCAATGTATTCCAACGGTTAGCGACGAGTAGAATAAGGCGACGGCAAGCTGTTGCAGCAAGGAGCCGGGACACGCCTTTTACATGCATCAGATATGTACGAGTCAGGAGGACATGCCAAAGACACTGTACTAGTACTTCGAAAAACTACAAATCAACAACACAAGCGAATTAGTGAACCCTTTGGGGGTTGGCTTCCATTGCTTTTTTTTAAATTTATGCTTAATTGTGAGTTTCTAGCAGCCAATAGGCACATAAGGTTTTCAGGGGAAAAAATATGTTTTGATATACCTCTATAATATTGTCTATATTTCTCACTGTCAGTCGTTTTTACGGTGTCTTTTCACCGGAAGAGTGAAGTGCAATGCAACTGTCTTGCTTGCAGAATACTAAGATAGCATTAAACAAAAATAATATAGTAATAAAATTATAAAAAAGTAATAATATGGTAATAAAACAATTTATTATTATATAGAAATAGGCAGCAAAATACTGTGGCAAAATTCCGATACCGCTCGCAAATTTATTATTGGAGATATTTATTGAAATGTATAGTAATATTCAGAACAAAAAATGCCAGAATAAACGCCGCTGACTGCCATCCCCATCCACAGGAACATGATGAATCGACAAGAACAACCGACCCCAATCAAACATAACCGCCACAAGAAAACCGAATTAATAACACAACAAAACAACGCCAACACCACCACGATCTACGTGCTCTTCCGTTTGGCCGCCCGGCGCGCCCGTAAAAACTCCCGCACATTCTCGTAGGTGAAATCCGTGGCGGGGATGTCCAGGTACTCACTCATCTGCTTCTGCACATTGTGGGCGAACAACTGCGGATCCTCGCGCTCCTCGGGGCTGGGATGGTACACCGGCTGGATGTGGATGCGCGCCGTGATGTGGGGCTGCAGGAAGAGGTAGAGGATGCTGACCCACACGGGGACAGCGGGGTCCCAGGCCATGATCAGGGGATTCCAGGTGGACATGCAGCTGCGGTACTCGATGCTGGTCATCTGGATGGGCTGGCCGGGGTAGAAGGCGCCCAGTTTGAATTTGAACAGGCACTGCCCGTTGGAGGTGGTGCCCTCGGGGAAGATGAGGACCGGCGGCCAGACGCCCTTCTCGTCCGAGCAGCGCTTGATTAGCGTGTCTTTGGTATTGGTGCGGCTGTACAGGAAATATTAGATATCAGCAAAAATCTTATAACAGCGGACATTGTTGGTGAAAATTGTAAATACGAGTACATGTCATCATATGATTATAAACAAATTCAGGGTGTCATTGGTACTGGTGCGGCTGCAGAGCAAAAATGAAAAATTATTAGTACAAAAATAATTGTCATTGTTATACAGAAAATTTATTAGAAAATGTGAACGTACTCAAAACAGAAAATCAGCCGAGCGTCGACGTTTTTATTGCAAACTCAGCTAAGGCTGGCCGCAGTGCTGAGTGCACTTGAATAACTCAAAAAGTATCAAATTTCCTAACAAGTGTCTTAAGGGCTTTACCCAAACCGTAAAACTTCATCAAATTCTCATTTTTATATTTTATATTACATGGAGCATAAGAAGTTAATCTGTTAATGTATAATTTTCCAAAATAAATTTCGCAAATAAATTTTAGAAGTTTTTCTGCCAACAAGGCAGTAACACTGATTGCAGATAAAATGAGCACAAAACAGTTTTAATTGCACAAACACTGTCAAACAGCATGTTTTCTCGTTGTAGTATAGAAATACGATTCCAAAAAGTAAGAAGCCAAACACAAAATAAGAAAAAATTATAAACAGAAATAGGCAGCAAAATACTGTGGCAAAATTCCGATACCGCTCGCAAATTTATTATTGGAGATATTTATTGAAATGTATAGTAATATTCAGAACAAAAAATGCCAGAATAAACGCCGCTGACTGCCATCCCCATCCACAGGAACATGATGAATCGACAAGAACAACCGACCCCAATCAAACATAACCGCCACAAGAAAACCGAATTAATAACACAACAAAACAACGCCAACACCACCACGATCTACGTGCTCTTCCGTTTGGCCGCCCGGCGCGCCCGTAAAAACTCCCGCACATTCTCGTAGGTGAAATCCGTGGCGGGGATGTCCAGGTACTCACTCATCTGCTTCTGCACATTGTGGGCGAACAACTGCGGATCCTCGCGCTCCTCGGGGCTGGGATGGTACACCGGCTGGATGTGGATGCGCGCCGTGATGTGGGGCTGCAGGAAGAGGTAGAGGATGCTGACCCACACGGGGACAGCGGGGTCCCAGGCCATGATCAGGGGATTCCAGGTGGACATGCAGCTGCGGTACTCGATGCTGGTCATCTGGATGGGCTGGCCGGGGTAGAAGGCGCCCAGTTTGAATTTGAACAGGCACTGCCCGTTGGAGGTGGTGCCCTCGGGGAAGATGAGGACCGGCGGCCAGACGCCCTTCTCGTCCGAGCAGCGCTTGATTAGCGTGTCTTTGGTATTGGTGCGGCTGTACAGGAAATATTAGATATCAGCAAAAATCTTATAACAGCGGACATTGTTGGTGAAAATTGTAAATACGAGTACATGTCATCATATGATTATAAACAAATTCAGGGTGTCATTGGTACTGGTGCGGCTGCAGAGCAAAAATGAAAAATTATTAGTACAAAAATAATTGTCATTGTTATACAGAAAATTTATTAGAAAATGTGAACGTACTCAAAACAGAAAATCAGCCGAGCGTCGACGTTTTTACTGCTAACTCAGCTAAGACTGGCCGCAGTGCTGAGTGCACTTGAATAACTCAAAAAGTATCAAATTTCCTAACAAGTGTCTTAAGGGCTTTACCCAAACCGTAAAACTTCATCAAATTCTCATTTTTATATTTTATATTACATGGAGCATAAGAAGTTAATCTGTTAATGTATAATTTTCCAAAATAAATTTCGCAAATAAATTTTAGAAGTTTTTCTGCCAACAAGGCAGTAACACTGATTGCAGATAAAATGAGCACAAAACAGTTTTAATTGCACAAACACTGTCAAACAGCATGTTTTCTCGTTGTAGTATAGAAATACGATCCCAAAAAAGTAAGAAGCCAAACACAAAATAAGAAAAAAACTATAAACAAGAAATTCCACACAGTGCAGCGAGAAGAAGGCTGTCGCGAACGCCGCGTGTCAGCGCCGTTTGAAACCCGCACCACAACATCGTTCTGACAAAAATTCCGGTAAAAACGTCAACAATTTCCCCTACGGCGCAAATTACGATCTGCCAACTACGTCTACTATTTTGTCCACGTTGAGACAAACTACTTCTCTATAATTCCACGTATTCCATACGTAAACAATCAGAAATTATAGCGATAAACATTTTTAAAAATGTGCGCAAAAACTGCAAAAATCATTTTGCAAAATTGCAGAAAATTCTTAAAGCCACTCAATTGCAAAAATAAAATATAAATAAACAAATTGTATAAATAAAATATCTGCCATTTATAACTCCCAGCAGTCCCAGCCAAAGTTTAAGAAATCCAGATAAAAATATTAATAAAAAATCGGAAACAAAAAATAGGACAATATTAGAAAATTAGAAAAACTGCAAAAATTAATTTGTTAAATCGCCAAAAAAATCTTAAAGCCACCCCATTACAATATAAATGAACAAAATTGCATAAAATATCTGCCGTGTACACCTTCAAACCGATTTTTAAGAAACCCAGATCAAAAATATAAATAAAAAAAATTGGAAACAAATATAAAATGCAATTAATATATTTCTGTACCTTTCGCGAATCTCCCGATCGACATAGATAGGCTGCAGCGCGGTGAGAAACGGTCCAAAGAAGGGCGCCTTGGCCGCCTGCGCCTTCATCACCGGCATGATGGACATGACCCCCGAGATGAAGGCGTCCAGGTAGGACACGTGCGGCGCACAGATGAGCACCGGCGCCACCGCCGATTCCTGGAACTTGGTCTCCCCGACGTACTCAATCCGCTGGATGGCGCAGGCGAAGAACAGCAGGCGCGCACAGGCCAGGATGATCACGCGGCAGCCGTGACGCCAGCCGGTGAAGGGCGCCGCGTTGGCCACCTAATAACGCACAGGCGGAAGTGCATTAACAGGGAATAACAGGGCATGTTGACGCCGTCTGTGTGTGTGGTGATATTCAAGCTCGTCTGGCATTAGCATAACGAGCGACGACTATTAGGCACTTTCCACTCACTGGAAAACTGCTCGAGCACGCTTCCGCCTCAGGAGCGATCAATACATGCGTCATGTGAGAGAGTGTAGCTAGACAGACGGACAACAACACTTATCCCGGAAGGATAGAGACACCGCAAAAACCTTTTCCGCTTTTGACTACCGCCTCCGCTTTCTCTCATTTTCCAAGACTAGCGCTTGCAAACAAAACCCAACCCGATTTTTCCCTCTCAGTGGAAAGACTACGGTCAAATCGTTTAAATAAAATCAATACGGAATTAACGCGCTCCGTCTTGTGGAAAATTTGTACACCAGACGAGAATTGTATACATCTGCACAATTAAATATTCGAAATTCCCAATTTTACTGTTTAACCGTCCAATAAAATTCTCAAGCCATCCGACAAAACCATCCTACTGTTTTTTAATACATTATCTGCCTTTTCTCATAATTTAAAAAACTGCTAAGTACTTGAATTTTATTTCTTAGCCTTTTTGTCAAAATGCAGTACTAAGCCGCCCGACAAACCCATCCTTTCAGATATTTTTTTATAATCTTTTTAGTTTTCTTTTAAATGAAAAATTTGCTAACAAATTGTAATTCCCAACCTTACTCAAACACAGGCATTTTTCGCTTTTTCTTATAATTTAAAAAAAAATGGTAACAGTGTTTTGGTAGCTGAAAAAATCACAAATAAATCTCTCACCAAAATTTCCATCTTCTGAACGGTAAAATTAGAATCCGAAAACTGAAATCTGCGCAATAACAGTACCTATAAAATTTACTGGTTATTTTCGAACATTTTATCCCTGATCAACGATCTTAATTACCAGAAGATATCTAGCTAAAAAATTCCCATAATTCAATTTTAAAATACCAGATAATTCCGGGATGTCTCCAGGCGTAAACCAAATTGTCATGTAGTTTTTTTAACAGGTAAAACGGGGTACTCACTTGGGGCGGCATATTGTAGAGCGCCGCTTTGGCCGCCAACCAGGCGACTAAAATGGCGATCCCGGCCAGCAGCATGCGCAGCGGCAGGATGGGCAGCATGGCGGCCATGATGAAGAAGTCGGCGACGGAGGGCTGGTAGTGGTAGGAGAAGGGCGTCACCACCGTCTCCCCCTCCCCGCCCTCCCGGGGCGGCCAGACGAAACTGTCCTCCCGCTCGAGATCCTTGAAGGCCAGCGCCTTCTTCAGCTTCTTCTTCACCACCTTCCCCACGTTCTCCAAGTGTCCGTTGAGGAACTGCGCCATTCTCAGCGGCTGCCACTCTTCGGGGGTGCGGGGCAAGAGCATGGGAGGAGAGGAGGACGATAACCGGGCAAAGGAGGGGGATATCAGATATCAGCGAGGAGTGAGGTTTCCGCGCTTCCCAACGAAATTATAAATTCCCTAAAATTTAAAAAAATATTTACAATCTATTATTTTCACTGCAAAAACATGTTTGACTTTAGTAAACAAATATGCAGGAATTATACTGTTTAAAAAAAGTCAAGAAGCGGGAAATAACACAGAAAAGCAGAAAGCTGAAAAAATAATCAGAATTTAAAATAATGACAATGTGTGGTAAATCTAAAACGGGCAAAATTTTTTACTTATAAATCATTTATTATTTTTCTATTACTGTATATAATTTAATTAATATTTCTCAATTTTTAACGAAGATTTAATACAGATATATAAACAAAAAACTGGCACAATTTTGCCCGTTTTCTAATTAGTATTCATTTCCATTCATTACACTGTAATTCATTACACTGATTACAGACTCCAGTAAGATTGCTATCTAGAAAGACTAGAATAGTAGAATTAATTAATTAAAATTATTATTTATGGATAACATCATAATTATAATTTTGATATGCATTCAAAATACTGGAATTTATTATGAAAAAATTAACGTAATCAAGAAGCAACGACTTAAAGATCTGAGAACCCATACAGTCCATACTTAATCAGAAAATGATTAAAGGACGAAATATTTACGAATCTTTAATAAGTTTAATACCGTCAAGCAGTACGAAAATCATTCAAGAGAAACTCGAACAAAATGGCGGCCATCGTACCTGATTAGGTTTCGGGAAGTAAAAAATCCGCGCAATTAGAGGGAGATCAGATCAAGAGACTAGCAGATTCCAAGAGCAAAGACCCCGCGTCAGAAATATTGCAGTGCCAATCACGAACAAACCGTTGAAACATCGTGTAAGGTTTCCCGTTCCCTTGATAATTCCATGATGAAGAAATTCATCTAATTAGAGCAGCACTTCCGTGTTACTTCGTGGATGATTAATAGGGAAGAAAAAAACATCCTGGCGTATGCAACTGTTCATCAAGTTTTCACGTTTTTGCGGGCTGCCAGTCTGCAACGCACAGCTCGCGCAGTCAGCGGGCGGAGAAATGCGGTTGCGTCATCCGGATATGCAACGCACGGCACGTGTGCCTGCGCAGGCAGTGAAATCCGGCGCACGCAATATCAAAACCTGTACGACTGGTACGGGTGACATGGTTGGTAACAGGGATTTGGAGTTGAAGACAAGGTTTAGTCGCCAGATGAGGTACAAGTGAGCAGCCAACGCAGCCGTCCCACGTGGCGGTTAGTCCAGATCTTAATCACCACAATAAATCAGATTAATTCAACGATGCCGGTCAGGCGCAGTGTGATCTCGTTCGTCCAGGTATATTGCACTATGTGCTCATCTGATCTTGCTCAAAATACAGTACATACTCTTATCATCGTCATATCATAATGAGACAACAAAAAATTTGGAACATCAGTCAGATTTGTTCATCGTGGAGCTTAAAATGAGAGCGTCAAGCAAAACAAATCCACAGAACTACTACTGTATGTCCGTTGTTTTCCTTTTTTCGTAATTACTACTAGAGTGCTAAGTAGTGCAGTAATGTTGCTTTGAAAAATATCCATGATCTGTTTCTGTTCTGTGGCCCATTTCCGTAGTAGAGATACCCCGACATTCCTCATATATCCTGTGTGACTGAATTTTAAATATTTGCCAGTAAACATATTTGTCAGAATTATATGAATTTTATTCACAATAACTTAATTCAGCGTAGGATTTTATTTTTTTTTTGCATTCCGGACATTTTCACCATGTGAAATTCGCGTACTGAACACCAGGGACATGATATATTCTCCGCGTTGTTACACATGACAGAAAAACTTTCAGAAACTGATTACGTAATAATTATTGTCTTTAAACTAGCTGGTACACGAGAATCGAGATTAAAAATCAACAAGTTTTCTAATGTGGAACAACACAGAGAATACCATGTCTGGCTTACAAAAGTAGAATATACGAGCACATGAGGCGTACAAATCAATGGAAGTGCTTTAGAATATGTCCTAAAACAATGGTCGACAAAAAGTCTTTGAAATCAAGTGCGCGAAAGCAAGAGTTACGTACCTTACCGGCTTACCGCTCATATACCGTACATTGACATGATGTGGTACTTTGTACCGCCAGCAGTCCCGGTACACTTCCTTTATTACCGTAAATTAAATACGTAATAACAATACTTTACTTGCAATATTTGCAAGCATCGCTTAAAAAATACGTTCAAAAGAAAAATTTGTCCCAGTTGGCACGAAAAGGGACCGTACGTACATAACACCCTCATGATCACGGCATTCCCACGCACTGACTTGGGATGTAACATGCGTCTATACGGTGGCCTTATCGCATATCTCGGCAACATCCGTGCGAGCTGGAGCAGCAGCGGCAAAGGCCGAACAAGATAAGGTAACCAAGTACCAGAACATAACCCATGTCTACTTATTCAGCGCTTTGGGCTGCGAGACGCTAGGACCCAACGGACCGGAAGCTACCCGCCTGCTCACGGAAGTGGGTAGGAGCATACCGGCAAGAAACCGGCGAGGCACGAGCATCGAAGTATCTACGCCAGCGGATCAGCATAGAAATCCAGCGCGGGAACGCGGCAATCCGTTCAGGGAACAGCTCCACCGGGAGCAAATTTAGATCAGTTGTTCTCTGTTCTTAGACTTCCCGAGGCTGTTTTCGGCTGATTGAGTGCACTGCGTTGTGATGTTATTGGCTTTTCCTATAAGCGGAATGGGTATAATAATACTGAACTGCTGTTCCCACGCATTATTTCCCAAACTTAAACGCTGAAGCAAAAAGCAAGTAGAGCGACTGTCGCCCGCCATTAACTATTAAATATAAGTATACGAATGCGAACGCTACCTAGTACTGTACTTCCGCTGTTTCCATCGAAATTCAGATAATGCGAGCAGCAGAGTGGTTGTGTCAGCGGATCGGCATTGTCGAAGTCCAGCGAGGAAATGCCGTATCCACTGTACAATGAGAATAGCACAACCGGCGCGTCGAATTTAGATGAATTTTTTTTCTGTTATTCGACCGCCACTGTTTGTACCGGTAGATATCTCGCTATCATCCATTTTTTGGCGATTTAAGTGTACTTTCAAAAAATTGTTCCTGTACCGGAAATTTAATAAACTTGCCGTCATCGTTACAAGGCGGATCCACAACTGATTGCGTAAAGATACACTTAGTACCATATTGGCCTTGTACCGCGTTCTGACGGTTTCAACGCTGTTTACTTTGTTTTAAGATGTTGATGTTTAAAACTTCTGAACCATAAGCAAACCAATGAATTCAGTTGGCGCTTACAGCGACAGCCACTGCTCTAAACATTCAGCGCAACTCATAAATTTGTGTTTTTCGCTGTACCTTCACGCAACCCATTGTGAATATCTGGCTCGTACAATACATGATGCTGACATGGTCGCTATGTAACTAACTGACGACTGGCTCGTCCCATTTGTCTGCAATCGGTGTCTTGTATGGTAGGTTTTTTTATTATTATTATCCAACTGCAGTAGCCGAACTACTAGTACATTCATGCAGATATTTTACCAGTCTATACCGGGAAAGTTTTTTAATAATTTTGAAATTTTTATTTGTCATGCAAGCGAGAATCATGGGTAACTCCCCTCATGTAGTACTTACTGTCTCTGTTCAAAAAATCAAGTTTGAGTAGAAATTAAAAACTCGCCACCGTAAAAATCAAGTGGGGCCAAATACATACGTGGAAATCGGCCCCTAACCACTTGGTCCGCGGCTCAATAGTTAAAAATAAAATAAAATCGTTTGCAACAGAAACACGCTCAATGCGCATAGCTGATAACCAGCGAACGGGGCTCGAACACTGAAGCGCTCTGCTTGCAGCGCAGTAGCTAGACTCGAAAGGCACTTTAAATTCGTTCTGTAAGATCACACCGAGAAGTTCTGTATCTTCTCGACTGAATAGAGTGTTCACTCAAATGTATGCAAATATTTTTTAGTGGTTTTCTGGTTTTCTGGTTTCTAATTGCCTTTGTCTAACTTTCTTTAAATCACTACGAGTAACGCCTGGCCCAACGCGTTCCGCGCTCTAGGCAACCACAGTCTTCGGATGATACAAGTCCGGCCTTTAAACATACAAGTCTATCAGTCTATGAGTGATACTTCTAGCGCTGATTGTTCCAGTTTTGAAATCACTGATCCGCAATAAAACGCTACACTAGCTAAAATTAAAATAAACAACGCCTATATCGACCATCTATTTGTGAATAATCATTTTGTGATGTGAGTGTGAAACTCGCTGTACGCTGAAAGTTTCGACCACATAACTGGAAAATTTTGAGTTGTGGTCTCGTTGCTCTGTAACGCTCTGTAAGATTAAGCGCTGTGCCATTGGTAGATTCACTTTTACAGAACTCCCGGCTCTGTATCTTACAGAACGCATTTAAAGTGCGTTTCGAGTAGTACTAGTATCTATAAAGTATCTATATTCTTAAAACAAAGCCTTTACAGACTTTGTTGCACAATGTAACTGACATGTTTTTCATGGTACGTTGCATAATAATTATGGTGACCTTTCCGCACATACCTGTAAAACACTTTAAAACACGCTACGCGTAGATTGCGTGTATTGCGTACGTACGTCTTGTCTGTTCGGTTACGTACGACTTTGCTTTGTTCTTACGAGTATGTATGATTAAGTATCTGACGCATTTGATCACTAATTCCATTAGCAATTCTCGCTGAATGTTCCAGTGTGTGTTGGAGTCTTGTGTCTAGAGATTGCGAAGTTAGCTTTCACTAGAAAGTTGGTGTGCCCTTCTGGTAGAAAAAAGTTGGGTTGTTCTGTTAATTAAACATTTGGGAAATTCCTGAGTGTCTTGGTTTCGGTAGCTTTCGTTAGGCACACCGCTTTATCTAGCAGAAGTAGGAGATTGCTGTGTACGACCACTCATCGGAGTCTATAGCCTATTCCCACTTTACCGACTTTGTATGGTTGATCTTTGTATGGTTGATCGCCAAGTACGGTAGCTGTGTGCGATTTCCGTATAGCATGTCACAGTGTTGACCTTTATTGCAAATGCCTCGCTCCGACAAAAACTTTCGCTGATAAGAAGCCGGAGAACATGTTAACATTCTTGCCGGCTACATACGAGTACAAGTTTTTTTTAACTTTTGTTGCGCGAATTTGTCCCATAACTGCTATAATTCAGGTCATCCGTTATTCTGATGACAGCCAACCAACAAAATGTAAACGGTGAACATAAATTTCTTTTACCGGTACAAGTTTCATCGCTGTTACGATAGATCTATGTTCACAGCTGGAATTATTATGTAGTTCACTTTATTAAGTCGTCATCGATTAATGGCAAATCAGAAGAATCAACGCAGGCTCATTAAGCTATAAGAATATCGGATAATACGTCTCAAGTTGTTCTTCCGATGTTTCAGTTTCATCGGATTCAATCGGTGTATTGTCCAGCGCGTGTCACCCATCAACATGCAATTGTACGATTTTTATACCCCCTAACAAATATCTATAGACAAGTCAACTCGCTTTTCAGGTTGTCGGTAATTGATTGGCACTTCACTCTGCAGCATCTCCTAATGAAGGCATCAAATACGCTGATATCGCTATACGCTGAAGAAGCTGAAGACGGCGCCGATGACCTTAGGCGCTTCCGCATCAATGGAGCACGCGCGCCGCAAAGTGGTCCAACATGCGATGTACTTATCTATGCATTAGCGATTAATATTCTCTCGTTCCGAAAACTCACTCTTCTCTACCTGCATCGCAGAAATTGGTGTCAGATTGTGATCACACTCTACGGAGTTGCATCTCAGCGTATGTAGGTAGTCAAAGTGCCATTGTGACCCCATCGACCGGCGCGTGAGGTTATAACGTTCAATCGGTAGCGGAGTTGCGGCCCATTACTGCTTGTGTGGGTCAGTGTTGTTGATCACGGTGATGATGGCGCAGCGAACATCCCTGATTATTCTGGCGGCATTATGCAGGCTGCAGCTGGGTGCGGCGCAGTCCTATGGAAGCAGCTCCACCAGCTATGGATCCAGCTACAGTAGTCCCTCTTCCTCCTCCTCCTCCATGTCGGCGTCGCCGGCTAGCTCCGTCTCCTATCCTTCAAGTTAGTGCAGTACCCGTTTTCACCGTTTTTCCTAAGAACCAGTACAATGTAAATTAATGCTGATTAGTATTAATATTTCGTTAATCCGAACGAAACGCTTCTGATTGGTTGATTTAGCCTAGGAAATATTCCACTGCATGGTTTCTTTATTTAAATATCTTTCTGTACTACTGCATTTTTTACCGTAATTAGAGTAAAAATATTTTGCTTTAAAAGAATGCATTGTACATTTTGGACTTTCGAACGCTTATGCCGGCCACGCGAAAAGTGTCCGGTTGGCGGACAAAAGTAGAGTTTTTCAAAAGTTATGCTGTTGCCTCCAGAAAATTGTAAACAAAAGTGCAAAAAATTTTTGCTTCATACTGCGCTAGGAGAGCGGTCAAGAGCTGACTGGGCTACTTGAGATCATCATGTCCTTAAAAACTGAACCAAGCCAATTGGCATCGCGAGCGTAATCCAGCAACCGAAACCAGCAATTGATTACATCGAAAACATCTCCCGCATCAAATTATGAAGAGATTTGTTTACAGTTTAGTTTTTCTTAATCATATTGTTTTAGCTTAGTCTTCTATAGTATGCATTTGTTTATTTACCCAATGGAATCCATTTAGGTTGTGACATGAGAAATCCATTACTGTTTCCGTGTGCCAGTGGTATCAGAAAAAATTAATAATGTTGACTAAAATCTTGGACAAAGATCGCCGAGGCTTTATTAGGTCACACAAACATTCGGCCGACGTCGACGCCGTTCTACTTGAGGTCGGCGATAAATCAACGGCTCGTGCCAATCAGAATCGTATTCAGCGTTTGAAAATATTATTTACCGTATATATTACGCTGTGGTACTTGTATTAAAACGCCGCGAATTAATACAAGTACCAGAGCGTAATACATACGGTAAAAGTAGTAGTACTAATGCCGTGGACCGGTTGAAGTTTGCCGGTATCAAGTTAAGAATGCGGGGAGTAATTAAATAATTATGGATAACCTTTATCAAATAAAATTGCTATTAGAAAAATGCGTAGAAACGTGCTTCGACTTCGACTGTTACGTAGACAAGCTGACGTAGTCGAATACTACTCTAGACATAATTTTGCACGACTAAGCTGGATAAAAGGAGGATATGTGATTTGATGCGTATTAAACCGTTTGATAAGACGGTACTGGATGTTCAGGTATCACCTCCTAGCCTAATTAATTTTACAGCAGTGGTATAGTCGTGAGAATTCTGAATCGAAGTATATGAAATGCTTCGATGCGATACCGCGCAGGCTTCGCGGCCTGGCGGTCTCTTCTTATATTTACAGCTAACGTTGTGATGACTAACGTAAGTTGTGATAAAAGTAATCAATAATAATTAATTTTAGTAACAAGCGTGTACTGTTTTCCGGCAGGAAACTACGTAATAAACTATCAAAAACTCAGTGGCACTTATTATAAGCAGGATAACAGTAATAAAAATAATGAAAGGAACAATAATAATAATGACAGTAGCAACAATAATAATAATAACAATAATTATTAATAATTTTTCCAGTCAATCTGCCACTGCTCTCCGTCCCGGTGACCGTCGGCAACGCCAGCTACACCCCCACCGGCGTGGTGAGCACCGTCACCAACACCTCGACCGGCACCACCAGCGTCACCAGCACCAACTTCCTCTCCTCGCTGCCCTCGTCGGCCGTCTTCAACTATGCCGCGCCCAAGTACCAGTACGGGGTGTACGCCAACGACTACGACGCCAGCCGCGACTACTACTACAACCACTCCAACTTCTACCCGCTGAACACCTACGTCACCCCCGTCAACGGGGTCGGTGGGGCCCTCAACCTGTCCAACGCCGTGGACGTGGCGGCCGCCGCTTGGTGGGCACCTTACCCCTACCGTCTGGCCTCGTGGGGCGACGTCACCACTTCGACCAACACAACCAACACCACCAGCAGCACGTCGGCCACCACCGTCTCCTCGGTATCGACGGTTACCGTTCCCAATCTGTCTGGATTGACGGTGCTGAATTCCAGCGTCTTCTATGCGGCTTATGGAGGTAAGATGACCGACATGCTATGTTTCGTGGCGCGGATTGGTCTTGTTCTAATAACTTCGCTCCCTTTCGAACCCGAAAGAACAAATTTTTTGACCAATCACCCTTCGGCATATTGTACGACCGAAGTCCTAAAAATCAGACGCTTCGTTTAATGCATATCGCTGTTCGAAATCGGTGCTGACGATTTTGCGCATCGGATGTGTTCCTGTTGCACACTTTTTGTTGATTTTATTATTCAACTGAAGCATAGACCATGTCCGTGTTTTTTTTAGTTTTACCGCGTATTGATCTAGTTTTTAAACCAACTGCATTAAGCTCGTTACAAAAATTATTTCAGGAAACATTTTTTGATGCAGTTGTTTGCTAGTATTTGTGTTTGTGTTTGCTAGTACCCATTATTGATTATTTTCTCAAATAATTATTTCGAGATGTTACCTGGCTTTAGCTTAAACTGAAAATTGACCAGCTGTGCAGTGAAAAATAATTTTGTTTTTGTCTAACATTACAGGAAGTATCAACGGTTTGGGTCAAGCCGGCATCGGTCTGTCCGTGCCCGGCCCCGCCCCGGCCAGCGTCGTCTCGCCCGGCCTGAACGTAGCCTATGCCGTGCAGTCCAGCCCGGCCGGATCCACCTCGACGGGCACCGGAACCATGACCGGCACGTCCACCGGCACCATGACGGGAACATCCTACTCCTACGGCTCCTCCCCATCGCCTTCGCCTTCCTCCGGCTACGGACGCCGGCGTCGTCAAGTGCTGCCCCTCTTCCGGTGAATGTCAGAAAATTTTTATGATCGATCAATCGTATCTGCGATGCGATAACACAAGGTCAAGCCGAATAACATGTGGGAAGTAATTTATTTGTAAGATTTTGGCGACTGAGCTGGCTCGGTCAGATATGGGTATAGCTTGAGATGCAATACTGGACTTTTGAAATGTTAAGTAATTCATTCTAGCTGCGTTTTTCGCTAATGTTTTTGCAGTGTTTGTTTGCTTATCAAGAAAAACAGATCATTGTAATCATGAACCAACTGGGAGCTGGAATACTCGTATAATATTTATTGTGCAGTTATCCTCATTGTGTATTCGATCGTGTAACAGCTATCGCTGGCTTATTCCACAGTATTGCTTGTACAGCGAATTACGCCATCTCACTGCATTATCACGCAATGTCCCGCGCTTGATTGATTCAAGTGTAGTTAAAACCACCGGTAATGAAAAAAACCATGCAGCAGCGCTAACTCCTTGCTCCCAGAAATAATTTAAAATACATTCTTCCTAACAAACTGAATCGACATTGAAGTGAAAAAAAGTTGTGAAATGTTAGATAGCAACACTTTGCAGCGTGTGGTCATTAGTAACGGCTAGCGCGGAGAAAACATTATCCTGCTAACGGCCACCTCACTACGATATTTTCCAATCCACGTAATAATTATTTACCATATATTTACTGTACAATCGGGATTGGGGTAAGAATAAATCTGGCAAAAAACTCGTTCACTCCGGCATCCAATAGGCAATAATCAGTCCCGTTTTATACGCAACGCAGCCATGAGTGATTAAAAAATATTCCACTGCACAATGCACGAGTCTACTCAACGGAAAACGCTGACCTGACTTTTAAGTTTTAACCCTAAAATTCTCGATGCCACTTCTGTACCTGCCTTAAAATTCCTACTACTTTACTGCAGTTTAACATTGACCTGGAAGTCCGTTTTGGGTTGTTCTGCTCTTGTACCGTAATAATAATAAACCAGTATTATGTTAGTAGCATCTCAGCGGCTTGAGCGCGTTTATTTGACACCAATAATTAATGGATACACAGATAGGTGGTTTAATAACGTCACGTTCCCTGAAAGTTCGCTTACGGAAAACATCCATTTTTTATCAAGAAAGCATCGAGACGCTGTAAGAAAAGCACTACGAGTACTTCGACAAATGCCTTATCTGGGTTCCCTAAATACATGTAGAACAGAGAACAGGCGTGAATGCACGGGATAAATTTTCGTACAACAATCAATGATCATGGTTGTTTTTTTAACGTTTAAATTTCTATCATTTTAATTCGTGTGTACGTACTAGCGCTGGCTTTTTAATCTACGAGGTGGCCATTGCCGAATAAAAGGAAAATTTTAGAACAGGCGCATATCTCTAGTTAAGGAAAGTGGCCCGGTACATGGTACCAAATTCGTGTACATGCACGGAAACTGTCACTTTCGCGCACTCGCAAGCACATTTTTGTTTCGGTTTGTGGCATTCTGTAGCCAGATGATTTGTATACACAGGCGTGAAAACAGTTTGTGCGCGCAACATCCGGTTCGGGAGTTATGGCTGTTAGAAAATTCCAAAAACTTTAAATGCATTCCGGTGTACCCAAAGTCTCATTACGAACCAATCTCTTTCAAATTTTGCACGTAAATGCACATGGCCATGAAGATCGTTTTTACACCGTCCAGACTTCCACGATTTTTTTCAAATTTTAAAATTCACCAACCGGATGTTGCGCGCGCAAACAATTTTAGGGCCAGTGTATACGAATCGTTTGGCTACAGAATGTCATAAAACAAGAGAAAAAAGGGTTTGGGAGTGCGCGAAAGTGAAACATTTCGTGCATGTACACGAACTTGGTACCATATGTACCGGGCCGCTTCCCTTAAAACGGCTAAGAAACTGCAAGTACTAATGTAACCGCGCAAAAGGTCGGTTGCGCACACTTCCGGCAGTATTGACAGTATGGGCAACCGCCTTCGTGCGCGGTTGCATTAGCACTTGCAGTTTTGCGGCTGTTTTAACTAGAAGGGAGCCCAGATATGCGGCTGTACTCTAAAGGGAGCCCAGATAGGGCATTTGTCGAAGTAGTCCTGCAGTACTTCGATGTTTATCGATTCCGGAGTTTCACAATACGGATTCGCGTGCCGGATATCAGAGACAGGGTATGCGTACTTCCACATTAGAAAAACTGGCAATTGTTTATGAATCTTGCGCACACGCTTGTATAAAAACAATATTTATCACGTAATCAGTTTGTGAAAAGTTTTTGTCACGTGGAGCAATATCGTGCATCTAGTGCCCGGTAAGCGGATCCATAGTGTGAAGAATGCCTGGAATGCGCGAAAGACTTGACCTTTAAAGGGCATTTGCTAAAAAATCTTAATATTCCGAAAAGTTTTCCACAGCATCGCTGTCACTACCGTTTTAACCGCTCTCGATCGGTGCAGCTTCTACTGGTAGCCACAATGTAAGTGAGAAGGCCAAGAAGGTGTTGCTTTGAAAATAACGGAAATACTCGCACACGATGGAACACTGTGCACTGGCATAGTACACTGTACAAGTATAATTATAGAAAAATCAAAAATGAATATGAATGCACAGTGTAGTTGAGTTATCGCGCCATCGAACGGACATCGAAGAAATTCTTACAGAAAGCAACGGACACCGAAGAACGATCGAATCTGTCAAACGCTGCCACACACCGCTGCGCCTGCACATCACTGCAGTGCGGCTGTACATTTTCGTACGTACTCCGCGGAACAAATAACTACCGGATTAAACTTTAAAATTCTACCCGCGCAGCAAAATCAAACTGTAAAATTCACACTTTACGCATTAGACAGGTAGAAACGCACAGAACATTATATAACGCACACCACGTGGTCATGGCAAATATACACGACAGAATCCCTTGATTAATACCGTGTGTTCCGTGCTCGCCGTTCGTACCGGCGTCCGTTTTATAAAAGGACCGCGGTGTTTTGTCGCCAGCTTGTCCGAACGCTCTGCAATTTACACCGAGGCGTCAAGTTCAAGCGCACACCACGGGTAATTACACTTTAAAGTGGTTAATACATTGGTAGAATATCTATTATCCAGCTCACGGCTCATGGTGTCCTAGACAGACCGATCTGAGCCTGACGATTCTTTTCCTGTTTCCGGATTACTTTATTCAAGCCGCTGTTTCCTCACACCGGCATCCGGAATTAACCGTATTCGTTACATTTACTCACGAGGAAAAATGGCATCAGTATTAGTGATATTAATCCTTGCGCTGGTTTCCAATGGATTTTGCGGTAGGCCCGATGACCTTTACATAGAAATACATGTGTTTTGTATGTTGTACAAATGTACGGTATACATATTAATTTTATTCTTTTATTATTTTATGAAAACTGATGTATTATAACGCGCATCGTTTTAAAGTAATATAAGGCAGTAATGTATATGTATTTTTGATAGGCAGCAGCCATCAAAATAGCAAAAAATTCAAGCGCAGGCACACTACTTCCCAGTTGCAATTATAATTATATACAGGCGTACTAATTTGTACGTTTTACAAAAAATTTAAATTTAAATCGTTTAAGCCTTCAGCTTTAAAATATGAAAATATGCAAAGGTATACATCAAAAAGCCAAGCAATTCCAGTTTTTTAGGTAGTATTTACTGGCGCGGCATTTATAAAATTTGTTAAAATCTATGGGAGGGTAGAATTTTTTTTATCGTGTGAACGCCTCCGTATGACATATAGACAATAGACATTGTCTTCGTGCGAACATCTTCAAATAAGGTTCACACTTTCTAAAATTTTTGCAGATAATTCTTTCCTGAACTTTTTCCGCCAGCCCCGCCAAGACGAGAATACGTTTGAGCTGAACTCACTCACACCGCGGCAGACTAGCTTGATGTCCCTTCTGCTCCAGCAGCTGGCGCCCAATCCGGAACCGGAGGAAAAGGTCGTCATTCCCGCCGAGGATCCCTCCATCCATGTCGTCCGCCCCGCGGGCGGTGATGTCCTGCGCGGGGGCGCCGGGATCGCCGGTTTGGATTTGGGAGCGATGGCGGCGGCGGCGGCCACTACGCAGGAAACCCCCACCACGACAACGACGACCACCACAACGACAACCACGACGACGGAAGCGCCCACAACGGCCGCGCCTGTGAAGAGGTACATAATTCGCTTCATAAAAATCACTGTTAAAAATTTTTGATTGATCCGCTAAATTCCGTGTATGAGCTTCTTATAAGACCCTAAGGCCTCTTTACAAGATCTTAGATTTTTAGTTAAAGGTCTCTTTTTTAAATGCTTCTTAAACGGAACTTTATAGGCTCTAAAGGGCTCTAAAGGGTAAAGGTCATCTAGTGTAGTATGGGTTTCCACCAAGAAAATCAACGGAAGATTGTTCCAAGCAGCTAAAGAAAGGTCATGGATGAACTGATAAAGTTTCTCAGTAAAAAGTCATTTCTAAAGCCTTAATAAACGAAATTGATTATATTAAGGGTCGTTTTGTAGTTAGGTACGGTAGAATTCACTTTGTATAGTAATTTTGCGCCAAGACAATTAACTGATAATTTTTTGTAAACAGTGAGGAAAAGGTCTCGGAAACCAAGGTCGCCGTGGACTCCGGCGCCGGCGCCCATGTCGCCGAGGAAGCCAAAGCTAACTCCAGTATCAGCAGCCACCTGAACATCACCGAGACGGAAGCCTTCAAGAAGCTTGTAGGCGCCTTGACCAAGGTGATCGGGGCCATGGATAAGCGCAACGCCTCCCACAATGCCCCCGCCACCAACAAGCAGGCCGTTGTCGCCGTGGCCGCCACCGTGGCGCCCACCACCGCTAGCTACTACGCGACGACACGGCCGAGCATGGTGCAGACGACCACCATGGGCTACAGTTATGGAGCATCGTATGCACAGTCTTCCGGTTATGGCAGCAGCAGTGGCACTTCGTCCGGAACGTCGGGAACGTCGGGAACATCGGGAACATCGTCGTCTTCCGGCAGCTCTTTAGGTAAGCCACACGAATGATTAATTTTCCATACGTTACAGGAAAAGCTGGCTCTGCATTATCTCGAGTTAGCCGTAAAAAAATTCCGAAGTTATCTGAAATAAAAGTCTTGACAAGGGTCTTAAGTCACCTAAAATAAAAGTCTTAATAAAAGTGTTAAGCCAGGTACCTTGTACCTAAAATAAAAGCCGTGATAAAAGTTTTAAGGTACCTCCATTTTGCCGTGATTTCCCTGATTTTTTCATGACCTTTATGCTTTATGTTCATGCACTACTCGTAATTAGCTAGTGAAATTAGGCAAATGAACGTTACGGTTATTAGCCGGTCGTTAAGTTCGTGCTGCTTCCTCAACCATTAATCGCCCACATGAGGTTTAATCGAAGCATATTATGCCAAATGACATTATGTATTATGGCTTAATTCATGTTCTTTCAAAAGGAGCAGACAACATACAACAATAATTAACTCTGCATCCGATTGCTTCTTATGCAGGTGTACCGTACGGCTACTACAGCCAAGTGCAGTACTTCCCGTACGCACAGAATGCCAGCAGCCAGTTGACATCGCCGCTCATCTTTTCACCATACTTACCAAGTAGGTTGACAAATTAGCCGCAGACGATTGACAGCTTAATTACCCGTATCCATATTACGTTTGTTTTGTGCTCTTGTTGCAATAATTTATTACCATCATCGCATTTCCCAGATTATAATGCTGATGTCCGATTTCTTTTTTTTTACAGTTCCATCCTATATTAACAAGTACTTTGGATTGAATTTGCCGCTAACATCGGGTCGCCGATAAAGAAGGCATGCGGCAGCAAGCGAAGGAACCTGTGATTACTGCAACCTGTATAGAGAATTAATCATGTACATAGTGTAAATAAATCTTTTCTTGTTTACCGGATAAATGTAATGTTGATTGGTGATTAATGTACAGTAGTGTATCGGTTACGTAATGTATGTTTATAGCCAGAGCGTGTAATGTATGTGTATAGGTGCGCATGACCCTGACAGTTATATGTAACGAATCCGTCGGCTTCTTGTTCTCTCTTTTGTGGACGCTTGTTCGATCGTTCAGTATGTTGTTCATGTTTAGCGAAAGTAATTTTCACAGTAAACGCACTCTCAACACGAGTGTGTTAACCTAGTTCTAAAACGGCGTTGAAATATGACTTTATTAATAAGTATAGTGGACACCGACGAATGAAGCGGTAACGGCTAAGTGTAATTAGCAATTAGACTCAAACTTGCCCGTGTACGTACAAGTTCAATTAAGTGGCATACACCGGGCCAATAATCACTGTGAGACAAAGAAAAACTGGACCGTCAAACTTCAAAACGACCGGCACAGATACATTGTGCAATTTGGGGTTATTTTTCATCGAACGTTGAAAAAACTCTGCATTACATTATGGGCATGCAAACGACCGGCCTTTTAAAGCATCACTTACGCATCGTCGCCAATCATTATAACACATTTTTTATTGCCGCGACTCATCTCGAAATATTATCGCATTAAAGCAGTTAAACTTATATAACGCATTTTTTTATCTGGATGAACTTTGTGGTTGGATCGTGATATTTTTTATTAAGGGAATAGCCGGGAAATTCGCAGCGCCACCATGAAGTTCATAATATCCCAGTTGTCCTGCCTAACGTTCCTCTTCTGCTCAGTTAACGCTCGTAAGTTGTGCAGTATCTGCCGATTGGAATGTCGAATGTACTGTAAAAAAGCCGGCCTTTTGTGTTCTGTAGGCACTCTTGCTGATCTCGAAGATTACTTCTCCGGTCTCGAAGCCCGACAAGCTGCCGGTAAGAGTATCACTACACTCTCACTTACTGTATTTGACTCTACATGTATTAAGGTCCCGGTTTCCTTAAAACCTACTGTCATTTTATTAATCTGTCTACGGAATATTAAAAGTGTCGCTTATAAGATCTTTTAGCAGCTGTTTCACAACAGGGCGCCCACAACGTGTGCACCCAAAAAACAGAAATAAATCTGAAAGTTTCATTTTTAAAAGCAGCAGACGAGCGTTGTGTGCCAGCATGCGCTGCGTTTTTGCACAGTGAATAATATACTCCATTGCTTACTCGAAAGCCCAATCTATACGAACGGTGATTTGCCTACCTGGAGTGTTTGGTTGATTTGATGGCAGCGTGCGCCCTGCCTCAAACTTCATAACTGGGACTCGTTGCGTTCAAAGTTCAAACACTATATATTTTATAAAATGTATTTTTGTATATGCTTTGCTTTCCTTTCTTTATACGCGAAGCGAATGGTAGCTGGTAATTAGATAACTGTATTATCTAAGTAATTACCAGCTAATTTCGTTTCTTATTCAACGGAAACACTGTCGTAGTTGCCGGCTATGCATCGACAATGGCGCCCACCCAGCCCCCGGCGACCCAACCCCCGATGACGCAGCCCCCCATGACACAGCCCCCAATGACCATGCCTCCTCCCACCGGGCCTCCTCCCAGCGGACCTCCTCCCTCCGGTCCTCCTCCCACCGGGCCTCCTCCCACCGGTCCTCCTCCCAGCGGTCCTCCTCCTACCCAGCCCCCGATGACCCAGCCGCCAGTGACCCAGCCACCGATGACAACGGTCTACCAGCCTACCACAATGCCCGTTGTCACGACCACCCCGGCCATGATGACCACGGCCGGATATGGCATGTCTTATGGATCGAGTAACGCCATGCAGTCCAGCTACGGCTCCAGTTACGGGAGCTCCAGTGGCAGCAGCAGCGGGAGTTCCGGTTCATCGTCGTCGGGCGGGTCCTCAGCGGCGTTGCCGTCGCAGTTGGCGTATGTCTTTGGTTTCGCTCCGCCCCGCGTAAGTCCGACAACGAAAAGCACTTAAGACCCTTTTACAACAAAAAATGATATGGTTACGGTATCTTTTAAAGGCATTGCGCTGGTCCAATTGCTACATAAATTCGTTTAAAATAAGACTACAACGAGCATATAAAGGATAAATTAACGTCTTTATACTGGTATATTATACATCTGGTGGTGCAGTTATAACTTAAACCCAAAATTGTTATTAACGGGAAATGCTATTTTTGCAGCTTCTCAAGGCACCGGTGGTCCTTATCTCCTTTACCAAGGGTTAGCACCCGGGATGGTCATCGTGCCCGTTAACCGTACGTTCCATGCAATTAAATCTGTGACCTTTACCTAACGGCGGCCTCTTATTCCGTCTTGCAGAACTGAATCAGATGTTTGCCGCCGGTGCGCCGGTATTAACGCCGCTCTCAAACAGCGTCAGCAACACCTTTATCTCCAACACCGGTAGCTCGGGCAGTTCGGGGAGCACCGGAAGTTCGGGAAGTTCGGGAAGCAGCGGCACTTATGGCAGTTCCTCCTACACCGGCCGGAGGTAAACCCCACCGCCCAAAAAACCTCCGGCGATTGTTGAAAGATTGTAATTATGTCGGCGCAGGACTGAATGTGTCATGGAAGCACGTGTTGTTGTCGCAGTGGGCGGAGCCCTTGTACATTTTGTAGATTAACCAAAGTATTACGTGTAATGACGGAAGCATGATCAAAATGCCACTTGAAATAAATAAAAGTTTTCCCATGACAGCACGAAAATGACCACTTAATTCAAGTATTTCGAAACTTTTGAAATTTATTTTACAGTTTTAAAAACTGTTGTACATTTGAATGCATTTTAAACTGTTTGGATGCTTCTCACAGCCATAACTCCGCAACCGAATCTTGCACAGGCATATGGTTTCCTGGCAAGTGTACAGTATACAAATCGTTTGGCTACAGAATGCCATAAAACACAGTAAAAAAGTTTTTGGAGCTGCGCGAAGTAAACGTTTTCGCGCATGTACACGATGTTTGGTACCATGCACCAGATCACCTGCCATAACATACTGTATAACCACCCGTACGTATTTATGGTGCTATTGGCTTTGGGTGTGAACTCCAGACAGACGTGCTCTATTATATATATAACTATATTTGCAGTAGGGGTACGGGTACAGATAATACGCTAGCATACAACGAACGGTTAAAATGTATCGACTTGCATTAGTTTTGAGAGTAGTATAATGTACGTGCAGTTACTTATTCTTGCTGACGAGCGGCTTTAAATTAATAGCATTATTAACTATGTAGTTCTATGTACATTACTAGCGCGCAGATAAATCAATATTATGGCACATAAGTACAAAAATTAACGTACACATATGACAATTTAAAAGGTCTGGATAAATTGTGCACGTTTCTTATTGCTTTTGCTGCCTTTTTACGCATCATTTGAATTGCGCCAATTTTCAGAAACCGGTCTTGTGCTTTTCATGTGCAAATCTGTAAATTATTACTTCTTAATCAGGTTAAAAATCACATGGTATTACAAATATGTCACTCAGGGTCAGCGGAAAACGCCGCCAATGGACCACTTAAAAACATAATCGGGATAAGTAAAACCATTCGCGCAATTTTGCTGCACTCAGATTGACTTTAACTAGGGAAAATTACCGTATTATGAAAAAAATCACAATTTCGTTGTGAACAGTTGAATAGAGCCGAAATGAGTAAAGGAAAACAAAACAAAAGGTCACTGCTTTATCAAAACTCAAGCACTGGTTTACGCTGTCCATGGATCTTGATCGTTGCAGCGTTCTTTTCGGCTGCGTCTCACTGCTCACACCAGCAGTTGACGTTGAGGAAACTGCCGCAGTGACCTCCTTTGTATCCCATGCGTTTGCATTCGGCCAGGCAGTCGCTCTTGTAGTCGGTGGCACCCCACACGCAGGAGCCCTTCAGCACGTCACGCTTGGCTCGCATCAGTGGAGCCATAACCTACATAACACAAACCTGTAAACAAGGGAGCAGGTACAACACACAGTGCTCAGATTGCTGTAAATGGTTTCCGCTTCCAAAAGAGCAGAAGGTAGCACAAAAATTTAAAAAATGGCCAATTGGTCCGCGGTTCAAATTACGTATTGTAAATGAAATCAACAGACAGTGCACAACAGGCATACATCCATCACGTGTAAACCGTCAGCACAACGTTTGAAATAGAGAAGCGCAGTTCTGCGTAAAAATTAGGCATTCTCAGTTTCTAATCCTACTTTTCATTATATATATTCTCTGAATGCCTGCATAATTAATCAGTAGAAGGTACCAACGGTGAACGGTTGTTCAAGAAATAGCTGGTAAAGTTAGAAAACTGACCGCCTCGTGGCTTTCATCCTCCCAATCTGTCCCATCCGTCCCTTCACCATCCCATTCGTGAAGAAGCGGTGATGCAAAGCAGCAGCTGATTGTCAATGCCAACAAGAGGATAAAGGTCAGGCGAGCCATAGCAACGTTTTGTACGAAAAGAGCGGACTTCAAAGTCTTTTAAAAGGAGAAAGTTACTGTCTTTTTAAAAGTGGAAGACGACTAGATGAATTCTTGTTTATGGACAGCGGCACTTTTATACGTTTTGCCTGGATAAGTAAATATCCACCAGGTAGGGAAATTTTTTGGGGTTTTCTGGTGTATAACATCACGTTGACGTCTGTCATACAGACGTCACATCCCCTTTCTTGCTTTTTTTTGGACAGTGATTGAGCAGAAACATTTTGCCGAAATAATGATCTGCACGGTACGGAATACAGGATTGTGAGATTTGTGACTAATAAAGCAACCGCAGAGGACACTGTATGGTTTGCGTTTTTTTGCAAGCTGTTAGAAGTGATCTGTTATTGCAGACCTGATCGGGAAAGGATTATCTACCGTATTCAAATATCAACAAGCTTGAATGCTGACGTGATTTTGTGAACTTTGCAGGTCTGTCATAAAATCACCAAGTTTGCAACTGTAGCCGACATACTGACGTGCGAACGGGCGGCATCCACAAGACCGATAGACTTTCATAATTCCCATCCGTCTTGTTCAACTTTGAGCGCATCCTCGTAAATGATTAGCGTCAGCGGAGAGCACAACGACGAAGTGTTACCTGCGCGCCCGTTTTCCTGTTGAATGCGGCACGTGCCCGGTGCGGCATAGATATTATTACGTGAATAACGTAAGTAATCAAACGGGAAACAGGTTTGAGGTAGAACGAACATTTGCTAATGAGCGCCAGCGCGGCACAACAAAGACGAATTGCTGAACAAGCACGTATGAATCGAGCGTGAAATTACCGAGACAAGTGGGCGTGATAGACCCAGCATTTTTTGGGAAAAATAAGATTTTATAAATTCTGAAAGAATTTTTTATAAGACTATTCTATTAGTAAAAACTCTAAGTCGCCTGTAAAAGCTTAGCCTTAGCATGTCTTTCTGCCCAAAGTCAAACAGGATCTAAGTACTCAACAACATGGCCATAAAAAATGAAATAATAAATACGCTTTATGAAGCAATGTTTTCGCTATGAAATTAGTCTCTTCTGACCAATGCAACTATGGAAGCCCGTATTATTGTCGCAGTATACGGAGTTCTTGCACATTTTTGTACATAGCCAGAAGTATCAAAGAAAACTGGTACAACATAATTAAGAAACGCCATTTCAAGCAACGTAAGCAAAATTTCTCCTAAAGGCACAACATGAATGAGCAATAAATCAAAAACCAATAAAACACTGTAAATCCTGCTTAGAACGCAGGGCAGGCACAAAAAGAGTACGAAGAACCGAGTATACACATAAACCACAGTCGTATCATTCCCGATATGTATAATATCACAAGTGGCGCGCCTTATTCGGCGCTGCGTCCACTACTGATGCGTCCCTCCGGGAAGATGTGCTTGCGCTGCTCCGCGGTCAGTTTGAGGAAGAACGGATGCGCCAGGGCGTCGGTGACCTTGATGCGCGCTGTGGGCTCGTACTCCAGCATGCGGCTCAGCAGGTCGAAGAGCTGGCGTTCGTCCTCGTTGTTGACGTTCATGTACCGCTGTAACATACAACGGTTTCTTAGATTTCTTAGGTTTCTTAGAAAAACGAGCGAATTCTGATGGGTTACCATTAGAGGTTTGCAGTTGTCCCGAACGTACGATGCATCGGCACTGCGAGGATCCCAGTCCAGTTTGCCATCAGTAAAAAATGAGGTTCTGTTAAGAGAGAAGAGAAACATAATTATGCATGAAGATCTTAACCTAAAAAAGTTCTGTAAATGAGCAGCGAACAACGGACGTACTTGGTGCGTTTACACATGCGATATGGCAGCGGTCCCAGGATCCGTTCCATCATGGCCAGATGCTCCAGGTTATCATGTGTCTAACGAAAAATATGAAAAGCTTGTTTTAACTTGCCTCCTAAATACTGCTTTTACTATGTTTCTTGGCACTGCCAATATGAATAACTGTACAATTTAAGAAAACCGAAACTGGCCAGTCGGTTCGTGGCTCGAAAATTTGATAATAAAATCAGCAAATAGTCCATCCAGTGCTCATAAATCGCCAGCACTGGGTTCGTACATAGAAGCGCTTGTTTGCGCAATACGCGGTAAAGTGCTACTTTAGTTTTGTGCTATAAAGTATTTTAGCAATATCATGTTTTATACACATATTGTACTTGTCTCTTTTGCGTACCTGGAATAAAGTGACCCCGGTGAAGAGCTCAAAAGGATACAGCCGATGCTCCAAATATCACACGGCTGTGCCCATCCCAGTTCTACATGGAAGCGTAAACATTCTCGTAATTAAATGTCGGAACAAAGACCGCGGAGTTGTTTTTACCGAGTATGACCTCCGGTGCGCGGTAGTGCCGGGTGGAGATAACCGTACTATGGTGCTCATCGTCGAACGTAGCCGAACCGAAGTCAATTAGCCGGATGGTGTCGTCCCTCACTCTTCGCACATCGTAGAAGTTATCGGTGCTGATGGTCTTGCTTTTCTTATTCTGCAACGAATGAGTCAGTTCCGTTACTAATACGAAACGTGGAAGAATTCCGTGCCAAGTGTTTTTTTTTGCGGAGGTTTTCGTGGGGCGTACCTTACTGACTTTGGTCAGCTCGTACTCATCATTGACGAAGAGCATGTTCTCCGGTTTCAGGTCGGTATGCGTCAGCTGATTCTGATGCAGAACTGTACACGCACATGACAACGTGATTGATGTAGGATTTGTTACAAGTTGTACGCAAGTGAGGTGTGGCGCTTACAGCTGACGGAATAGCAGAGTTGGTAGGTGATATGCCGTACTTGATCCATGGTGAAGGGATAGTAGTTATTCTCTTTCTGTTCAGAAGAAAATTAATGGAGTTACAAATTTGTATTTAATTATCACAGCAGCAGTTGAACGGATTTATCGTACCAGGAAATCAAATACACTTTTGCCCAGCATCTCGAAAGCGATGCAAATGTGCCCGAAATGATCGAAATGGTCCAACATCGCCACACACTGACTGTTAACGAAGACGGAAAAATAACAGTAATCAGTATCATCAAATTTATTTTTTACTTTATTAAATAATTAAGAGAACTATCAGAGGATAATTATAAGCAAACTGCAATGGAACGAGGCAGATACAAATACGCCGCGCGAATACTGTTTTGATGCTACAGTAATTAGCCTGCGCTTACTATTGTGCTTTGGGATCCTTGCGGTGGACGGTGCGCAGTACGTTAATTTCCAGCTTAGCCGCCTCCCGGTATTTGTCCACATTGCGGATAATTTTCAGCGCGACGACTTTGCTTTTCGTATCTCCATTAGGACACCTGCCAGGCGCACCGTATAATTCGCAGTTTTCTTCGTTTTTTATGGTGTGATTGTGAGACTTACGATATAGTAGCCTTGGCGCACACGACTTTGCCTGCAATTAAGAAATCGACGATATAAACTTCAGTTAATTAAGAATAAATTTTAAATAAAGAAAATGCGCGTACCGAATGTTCCTTCACCCAGCGTTCCCAAGACTTCATCTACGATGGGAATCATCGCTTGTTATGCATTTGCTAACCATGTGTACATTATAAGGTAAAATATACATAAAAGACCACTGGAATAAATTTCATATTTCATCTATATTGTACACAACAACTGACTACTGAGAAAACTAAAATAAATAAGAAAAAACAAAGTAGTGGAATTATAGAGCTCTACATATATAAGATATATTGACGTGTTTAAAAAATATTGTGAAGAAAATAATTAGAAAAAATAATCTAAAACTAATTAGAAAATATAAAATAATTATACAAAATATATTTTAAAAATGTAAAAATAATTGTAAAAATATAAAAATGATTTTAAAACATATAAAATCAATTTAAAAAAAATAAAAAAACTGATGCATAAGACGTTTTTAGTTATATATAAATTATTCGAAATAAGGCTGGATTTAAGGCAATTCCTTACATTTATTGCCGACGATGTCGCCCTCTCGGTAGATGAGATGTCCCTCGCTGTCGGCAGCCGCCGCTACCGGCTTACTGGGCGCTGCTGCCGTAGTAGCCAGCGGAAGCGCATCGGCTGCTGCCAGCGCATTTCCGTTCTTCAGCGCCGGCGCGGCTGACGTGCCATCTTCCGGCTGTGCTGCATTCTTCATCTGGTTGCTGAGCTCCGTCGACAGCTGCTGACTTGACGCTGCAGCTGACGGCTGACCACTCGCTCCAGCCAGCACTGTAATATAACAAGCGAAAATCAGCCCACTGCTCCATCTTCTTGCGTAATGTAACAGGCATCGTCGTCCAAAAAATTACGTGTTTACACGTGTCTTTGCTACGAGTATATTCTAATTATAGCCAACTAAGCCAAGGTATCCTATTTAATATTTACTGACTAGAAAGAATTTCGGGCATACTTTGAATCAAATTATGTTATAAATTGTATGAGTGCGCGTCATTACCCTGAATTGTAGATAAATTAGCATTTAGTACGTATTATTTACTATTGCTATTTCATCAGAATTACTGTTAATAAATAACGTGTTATTGTAACAATAAAAGCCTCAAAACAAAACATGCTATTTATAGCAAAGAGATCAACATTTTTATCAGTTTTAAAACAAAAACAACACGGTGAGTAAAACATGTTTCAAACTTTTCTAGTCTTTCAAAGCATATGTTCACGTTGTCAGTTAAGGTTTGCTTTTTTCAAATTTTTTTACACTTTATATTTAAAGTTTTAAACCAGCATTCAAAACTTTTGTTTGCGGTAAAACGAACAGCATTTCATTAGTTTTTAAAAAAAATTGAAATAGTTTAAAAACAACGTGATGAATAATATTTTAAAAAAAGATTGTGATGTCTCCAAATTTTCTGGTATTTTAAAAGCAAGGATGCTGTCGATTATGGTTTGCCTTTTTTGAATTTTCTTAACTGCGCGTAATTACCCGACTTGACTTGACGTCAAGTATCAGTTTCCCAAGCCGCAATCATTTTTAAAACCAGTGTTCAAAAACATTTTCGGTGCAGACATGTGACATCGTGAATAATGTACCAACGGCAAGTATGGATAAATTATATATATGTGCCGTATACACTCATTCACGTTTTCCCGCCAACTGCCAGCATCCGTAGCCAAACGGCAACAATGTTTAAATTTAGCGCTGGGTATGTTTCCTCTCTTATACAGACTGTATGCGGCCAAGCCGGAGCGGGACGTGACAGAAGTACTCGCGGAGAAAATTAATCTCCCCATCGGAATGGCGGTGCAGCGGAACGCTTAACCGGCATTCCGCGGATACTTTTCCGCGAATCTCGCCCCAACCAATACACAACAGTATCGCGCACTCTTGCCTAATTGTATATCATGACGAAAATACGCGTGTGTCTATATGCGTAATTCTGGTGACCTTTTGACTCCTTCTCACGCTGTACACCACATACTAAAAATTTTCTTACATCTTTTTTAATTCCTTAGTGCATTTTGCAGTATAACAACAAGAAAAAATCAAAATTCGATAAATTTTTAACATTTTAGACAAATTTGTTGTGTTCCAAATCGTTATAAATTTTTTTATTTCATAATCAGCAGAATATTTTCTACAGTACATAGAAACATTATATCTTAAATGATGTCCGTTATTCTGATCTTAAACTAAACTACATAACTGAATTTGCAACGGCAGTTTATTTAAAGGCGTAAGTACCTTATATTTTATTTAAGGTATAAATAAATGTATGAAAAGAAATGAGAAATCTAATAAAAATTAAAAAATGCCAACTTTAAATTTTCTTTTAATTTTTGAATGTAAAAAATATAAAAAAAGGAATATCAAAAATGGTAGATTTTGAATTCTCTGAATCCAATTTTCAGTTAAAATGTTTTTTAAGTTTTTGTTTTAATTAAGAGCATTTCTTTTTTTTTAATGGGTGCCCAACAGATTTACCGATATTTATAGAAAACAAATTGACGGTAGATACCATAAAATTAACGAGCTGTTCGCTTACCCTCAGCGGGCAATTGGGTGGTTTCCGGTGGGGAATTGTTGGGGAGATGTTGGCGGTCAGCGGCAAGTGGGTTAGCATGGCCGGTTGCCGCCGCATCCGGCTCCGGCTCGGCATCCGGCAGCGGAAAGGCCACGTCGAAGGAGTGACTGTAGGCCAGTTTGTTACTCTTCCGATTGATCGTTGAGCCGTTGTGTGCCGCGGCAGATGCCGCAGCCGGCTTGCTGCCGGTCGGGGCACTTGTTGACAGCTGGCTGCACTGATTGGCGCTCCCGTTGACGGCATCGCTGGCCGTGGAGTCGAAGGATGCCGGTTTACCGTTCACCGGCATGAACGATGTTAACGACGGACTGTGCGCGTTATACGCCTAAAAAACCATTGTTTTTGAAATAATTAGAATGACATTTCGTAGTAGGAACATTTTTTACATTACATAATTAATCATTTTCTAATATTTTTTACCGTTGGTTAATTTTATTTATGAAAAAAACGTGTAAGACTCATGCGGTGGATCCTGTTTAAAAACGCTCTACAGATACATATTATCCATTTTAATTTCACGGCTTTTGATTTATCCAAAAAAATAGTAATAAATTAGTTTAATGATTCAGAAAATTATTTTCTTCTGATTTTGATTTTATTTAAAAACATTGTATTTTTCTTTTAAGTTTTGGTTGGTTTTTGATTTATCGAAAAAAGTTTATTAAGTATTTTTTTAAACCTTTAATATTTTTGAATTTTTTTTATTTAACGAGCACTGGACTTTTTGTTTGGTTTCGGATTAATCTTTCCAGTCGGCCGAAATGATGCCAACGATATTGGGAACGTGATCCGAATGACCGGAAGCTGGTTAAATGATGCCGAAGGAGAAAGGAGGTTATCGCTACATTTAGTTTGCGCCCGACCCACTCGGCCTGTATACACTGTATATACATATGTTTTCAGCACGCCAGGGCGGCACCCAAATCTACGTGTTTCACACATTGACATTTAATTATTTTAGCCTGGTCATTTTCCTCTCAGCTTCGCAATCTGTCAGCAAGTTGAACAACCTTCGCAAACTAGTTCCACCTGGCGACAGCTAAATGCTTTTTTGGAATAATTTGGAAAAAAAATCTTCGGACTTTGATTTAAAAAATATTCTGGCAATTAAGTCGGAACTTAAATTATTTTTTATTAATACGGAAGTGCGGTTGGATAACGAAACAAATTATTAATGGATAAAAAATGGGTGGATGTTGGCCGGATGCGGAAGATGTGTCTAATTTTGACTGAATGCGTCCGTGTGTCTAGCTGCAGTGCCTGCCAAGGGATGACGCAAGCGCAAACACAACCCCGACCCACCACTCCATCGCCGCACAAATGTTTACACGGGAAAACAGGCGGTGCGGATGTTTTTCGCTGAGATATCACTGAAGTATCGGCAGAGTTCAACAACTGTATGTTTTAGATTCCATGAAATTAAAAACATTGTAAGTACTTGTAAGTTAGCGGATTTTTAATAACATTGATTCCTTTGTATCTGTTATCTGACAATAGTGTTTTATATTTTAAAATGCAATAATAATATTTTTTGTTTGTATTTTTTATAGTACTCGTAATATTTTTTTATTATTTTTAGAGATTTTCAAAAAATATGTCTGTTTTACAATATTTTACCGAACTTTTTCGTCAGTGGAAAATTCTGTAATTCTGCCGTAATGTAAAAATATTCATCTGTTAAAAAAGTACATATATATTACCAAATTACATATATATGAAACACATAAATAAAATACATAAAACTTTGTCTAACTAAATTTGGCAGTAATTTTGCAATCTGCAATAGCAAATAAAAATTCAGAAACCCAACAAGATGAGAAACCCAACAAAAAAGTTTAAAAATTGGTTGTGACTTACCAATCCATCGGTCTGCATCAGCAGACTGCCGCCCCGCGTCACAACACTAGGCTGGTGCATCTGCACGGTGCTGCGGTCCAGAATGGAGCGTTCCGGCCGCTCGGACCGTTTGACGAGATGCGGCCGCACCGTGCACTCCGTGTCCGACTCGGCGCTGGTCTCGCCGCCGTTGGGCGACAGCGGCGACAACTGCGGCTGTACCGTGTGATTATAGGCGTTGCCGGGATGCAGTGCCAACTGACCAGCCAACGAGTCAATCTCAATTAGCGAGCGGAAACGCGCCAACTCCCGGGGACGACGTGCCGCCGGTTGGGCGGGAGGTGCGGGCAGCGGATCTGGGCACGTGATCAAGGAAGATGGTGGAGACGTGTGCAGCCGATAATCCATCGCGCTGTAGTAAAAAACCGGATGATGATCTATATATCTGTCGTGACCTTTATAATACCGCCGAATTTTAAGAAATTTTGTGGTCAGAAAATATAAATCGGTCGGTCCGCGGTTCGAAAACTGAATAATAAAATCAACAAACAGTATGCAACAGGAACACATCCAATGCGCATAAATCGTCAGCACCGGGTTCGAACAGAGAAGTGGTCGTTTGCGGAATATAAAAAAAATCGAAGCATAACTTTTTTTAGTCCTACATTACTCGTGACCTTTGAACTACCTTGAAATTTTGAAGCAATTTTTTACATAGTTTTAAGCGGTCTAAGAAATCTAAGAAACCTAAGAAAAGGTCACCAATTTCAATTAACACTTTGAACGTGGCACATTTCCCACCATAATAACCGCAGTGCCGGCGCGTCATTTGCGTTATGTCACATTGGAATGCACGGCGGTAATTACATTTTCCCGCGCGAAATCTATTTCCTGACACCATAAATAAAAGGTCGGTGCACTCGACAGATGTCTCGCTTAGGGGCATGTGAGATAAAAATTACCACGAAGGAATCCAGTCTCACCTCATTGACCCATCTTCCCGTTTCGGCGGCGGTACATACGCCATCTGTTCGGCTGTCGGCATCGTGGCCGGACTGAGCCCGGCCTGCGAGGACAAGCGGGCGCGCTCGTACGGACTGCATTTTTTGACGGGGGCGGCCGGCGGCTGGATGGTCTGGGGGCGGGAGGGACGCCGCTCCCCGAAGACATCATCCCGGTCCATGGAACCTAGAAGGTTCAGACTGCTGGTGCTGCTGTACTTCCCGTCGAAAGAGTCCGTCGAGGAGAAGGACGTCACGGAGGAGAGTAGGGGTCGGTAGGTGGAGTGCGCCACCTCCGGGAGGTTGTCGCTGGACATGGCTTTGAACGTGGTGAATTCGCCGCTGGGACGCCGGCGCGGATTACTAAACGACGCAACAAAAAAATATTTATTCAGGAACTGAGCTAGCAATCTGTCAATCCTTACACTGCTACAGCTAATTACCAGAATAAAGTAATTTTGTTTAATTTTAAAAACAAGTATTAAGTATTTTTATTCATTAACGACTGGTCGCTTCGCTCGTCACGTATATCGACGCCCAAGTAATCTAGTTGATTTACTTGGGCTGGTAAAATCCATTTCGAGCATAAGCATATTTAAATTATTTATACACCTACATTAATTTAATTTTTTTAAATTTTAGTTAATAAAGCGTTTATCGGCTAAATAAACGCACCTAAAATTGCAGCCCATGATACGCTCCCGTTCCAGCCGATCGCGATCCCGTTGCCGCTCCTTTTCGCGCTCCCGTTCGCGGTCCTGCCTCTCCTTCTCCAGCTCCCGCTCCCGGCTATTTTGAGCAAAACTGATGAAAGACGGTCGGTGCAGCTGCAGATAAGCCGGCTGCACCGGGAAGATCTCGTCGGGCTCCTCCGACAGCCTCAACGACTGGAAGTCCTGCAGCGTCCGACGCCGGTTGCGGTCGAGTTTACTACTTCCGGCGAACTTCCGGCTGGAGGGCGACGGACGACTGGAGCTAGCGGTCGAAACACCGGAGCCGCTGTAGAGGTGACTAAAGTCGTCGTTCAACGTGGGGGCGTGGTAACTGTTGGAGGTGGAGGTGGTGGCGGATGTGGGACGGAAGGCGTTGAAGGATGAGCGCACGAGATCGTAGATGTTACTGCTGCTACTGCTGCTACTGCTGTTAGTGGTGTGGCTGTGGTGCGGCAGGGAGGATGCGGAAAGGGCAGAGGCGGCCATCGTGTAAGGATATGCGTCGCGGGATCCCGAGCCTTAATCGCATGCACAGCAACAGCGAAATATGAGCTAGCAATCTGTCAGTCCTTACACTGGCTTCGCTAATGCTAATGACGGCCTTCCCAGTGACTTTATCTGTGTAGTTTCCAGTCACTGGGAAAATGTTAACCAGTAACTCAGTAAAGCCGGCATAAAAATAACATATTATTATCGTCTGTGTCAACGTTCGCTTGCGCACGCAGATGCAGTTTTCATTTGCTTGCTTGCTATTAAAGCTAATATCCCTTTGTAGTAATATTGAAATGTTATGATAATATTTGGATTAAATATGATGTAAAAAATAACTGGATATATTCATATTTAAAACAAACTGCATAAATTACGGATACATCAAAATAACGTTAAAAACAGTATGTTAACGTTGGGCCGCCACGGATGGCATCAATGGATCAGCGCGAAAACCTGGATCGAAAAAAATAGGTCGAAAATCGATGTTATGCTTGCGTTATAAGGTTGCGTTTATCAGGTTTTCATAATATGGATTATAATTAAAATTGATTACTGCGAAGTATGTAAGAAATGTTCTGTAGAGAATGATAAGCTATTAGTGCTCTGCTTCAGCAAATTTGGAATTTTTTTCGGGTTTTGATAAATCAAACTAAACAAGCATTCAGCAAAGGTCAGGTATCTTTAAAAAGACACCAATCAAATAAGATACAATTTTTTTAACAAGATACAAAACTTTTTGAACATGAAAAAATCGCCCAAAATCGTTAGTGTTGTTCATCGTCGAGAAAATTGGTTTTATATGTTTTGCTGACATTTAACTTTTTGACCTACCGGACACAGGTGGCGCGCGACTTCCGCTCTTATCAAAAATCGTATACACCAGCAACATCACCGTTACAATCCATGCAACCAACGACCAGTAATTAGGAACGAGAACAATTAGGATTAACCACACGATGCAAACCAACCAAGCGATCATTTAAACAGTGAACGAATGATGCCTGCTTATCACGAACGCTTGACAAATTCATTCCCAGAATAAACTATACACACTGCGGAGAGCGCGGCGGTGATATAACCCTTAGTGTCCGTTGCCAAAAAACAGTGCGCGCTGCGCATCACACGCTATCCTCGTCAGTAGCGGTTATTTGGGATAGCGTATCCGTATGTTCTTTTTACCTGGTGAGTAATGATTCATCCGACTGCTGGTGGTGGTGTATTCGGGATGGCGGAACGTGTAGGATGTGCATGATCGCTGTACCACCTTCTTACTGTGCAGATGATGATCGGAACTGCTCATCGCCGAATCACCGTGGCGGTTGCATATATGTACACAATCCTATATATATATATATAAAGTATGTAGCGTTAGATAGCCAACGTCAACACGGTTATAAGAAATCAGCGTGACGAAAATGCCGGTGGAAGGGAAAAGATTACAGGGGAAACCGGAGACGCGGAGGAATATTGTTTTCCAGTGGAAGGAGAAAATTAACGGTTTAGACACCAGCCGCGCGTTAAAATGATCCAGTTGGAAAATCGCTGCGGCGGTGAAGGCGATGTATGCGAGGATGACGCAGAGCGATCTCTTTGCGACAGACGCCGGGCTATCCTTATGCATATGTACCCCGCTTAAGAAAATGTGTCGTTTGTACGTACTCGATACACCAGTGTCATACAAGAAAATTTCAGTGATTTTTCATCTTTCCCGTAATGGTTTTTTACTTGGCCGTTAATTGCTTAGGTTCCGGCGGAAGTAGGGAATTGTTTATGTTTTCTACCGGGAATTAAAGCGTCGTTTTTATAGAAATCGCTGTACTGTGAAGTTGTACAGTCGCGCAGACAGTTAATGGTATGGAAGAGGCGCGGAACATATGGATAATCATTCGTCGGATTGATCATCGGCATCTGTTTGCACGGGGTGGAATTGGGCGCTAAATTTAGAGAAATGGTAATAAGCGCCACATCAACAAACGGCGCAGCACACTGCTGTATATTACTCGGCTTCCTGACAGTGCGGCGGTTGATCGTAAAATTAGGACTGCTTGGCGAATGTATGTAGATGTACAATTAAGTAGCTACGACATGCTCATGTAGTGCAATCGTGTATACAGTTAAGTGTACATAGTTTCGACGCTTTTCCGTAAAGCGCAATAGTAAAAATGACCGGTAAATCGCTGAGCGGCGGATCATGACGTCATCGTACAGAGTTGTTGTCGTTACACATCGATACGCTGCAGTGTGGGTGCAATAAAAGCATTTGTAAATGTATTGTACATAGTGTACATACGCTAAAAATGTTGTCCTTTCCGTTTGTAATCAGCTGTTCAGTTAAATATTTTTATTTTTTCTGCGCCGGTCATTTTTCATATACTGTGCAAACCGGCAAAAACGGGAAGTGGTGAACATTTCACCGGAAACAAGCGGTAAATCAGCAACGGCGGGAAATTCCCTAAAGTGCACCCGGGATTAACTTAACGCGTTCCGTGTAGCCGCGTTGTAGCAGCATAATGTACAGCTAATGTATATCCGGTGGCGTGGTTAACGAGCGTGTTTTACGCATGTTGCCGCAATCGGCCAGCTTAAGCGGGATTGTAAGACGACGGGATAAAGGTTAAGGACGTTGGGTATAGTAAATAATATAGGCGGCACTTATGACGACGCATGTACGTAAGCGGCAAACGTAAAGCACAGACTGCTAGTTATACCGATGTACCCCAATTTCTGTGTGTTCAGGCCGCTTCTGTCGATTGATAATCAGTAAGTGTTTGTTTCCGAAATTACTGTGAAATTTTTGGTGAAAAGATAATCGGCAATTATCGTTGGTGTATTTTGCGTGTAACAAATATGATTAATTGGTTATGGTGTTCACTGTTTAGCGATTTATGTACCCGTGCTTAACGCGATCTTCCATTATGTATGAGTGCAAAAGCAATTAAATGTTTTTATTTTTTTTATGTATTTATGTATTTTTTATGTATGTTTTTATTTTTGTAAATTATTTCTAATGCTTTTTTATGTAAGAGTACAAGAGCAATTACGAGTGTATTCGTACATATCCTGATAAATTTTTGTAGAACCCAGGCAACCAAATTACAAATACAAAATTTAGGGAAAAAATTTTTTAAAATAATAATGCCGCAGCACAGTATAAAGGCGTCATTGAAATAAATATATGTGTTGCATACAGTATGTAAAATACCTTTTACAGCCTACAAAAAAAAACTGCATTGCACTGCTTTTGGCAAAATTACCAGAAGTCCCATTGTAACAGCCTTACAGCTTACGGCAACGATTTTAAAAGTCTCATCCAGAACTGTCTTTCAGATTGTTCATACACGTACTTGCCGGTAAATTCTGTGCACTGAACTATTAATCATGGTATAATAATTACGATAGCCTGCAGCCGACAGCGATAGACATATGCCAACAAATTCTGCACAAATGTGCGGTTGCACTTTATCACATGTACCATGTACAGATTGTAAATTGCGATTTATCTTGGTCACTGCCAATGGAACAAACAGGAAGACGAGCATTTTAATTAAGGATCATGTTTTATCATCAGGTTAACGTATGTCGGATCAATCTGTATGTGAATTTTACTGACACGCTTATTAATATTTTCAAGGTTAAATATGCGGGCAAAAAACAAAATAATAAAACGCATAACGCGATTTATGTTGATTGTTGCGCCCATTAAACGTTCATTGAAGGGTCTATTTTATAGTCGTTCTGGCATGCACAATACCGGATAACCCACTCCAAAGCAATAAAACCTGACAGAATTTATTGACTAATAATGCATGTATTGTTATGCCTTAAGATGCCGGATGATAAGCGTTTTCGCGCAGATTGTTCTATGTATTTTAAATAGACACGGGTGCTCCCGCCTCCGGGCTGGCGGATACAGCACAATCGTCTACGCGTCAATCGAATAAGGTCAAAGCAATCAAATGCACTACGGAGAAAACTGAGAAATTATCATATGATTCGTAAACCAGTTTTTTCAGCATTTAATTCGAGTGGAGCAAATTATACAGTTTATGTTAATAATAGGTCTTATTATTATTTATTATTAATAACCATATTGTATTGCCGCAAAGCATTAATTCCGATTTCCGAAGATGTGCAGGCTGCGCATAAAAATGGATATTTCAATATTGTGCGCTATTAATTTAACCGGCTAAAAACGGGAAATCATTTTTATACAGGCACTTTTATAACAGGCACTCTAGTTCGAAAGCTGAGTTTATTGCAAATTATTCTTAGGATATTGGTAGTGTGTTCTTGAGTTATCCTTAGGTTTCTTAGGTTTCTTAGATTATCTTAGGTTATTATTAGATTTCTCGGAACGTTTAAAACAATCGTGAAATCATTTCGCATGAGAATTTATTAGTTACCGATTTTCGTCGGTATAAACAGTAAAAGCGTACTACCGTCCCGGGTCATCTTCCTCATCCTAAAAACATTATGACCAACTTCGCCACCACCCGATAGCACATAAAGATAACGAACCAAATATACAGCCACAACACCAACATTGAGATTAAAAACAATCCAATCAGCACTCAGTTCCAAGCGACTTCCGCATGGCGGTGACCTTCCTCCAAGATCTGAGGGAATTAAAACGATTCGATCCAGGAAATTGCTAATCAGCAGCCGACTTTGGGAGGAGCAGATCTTAGCAAGGGACACAGTAGCAATGACACGGGAAAAGCAGATAAAAATCTGACAACGGTAAACTTGTGAATTGGCACACGTTTGCGGTGAATCGGCGAGTGTCGTGTACACCAGTACACGCACAAGTTCACAACCAACAAAAACCAAACGTGCCGCGTGATTTTGTTGTAGAGCGCGTAGTACACACTGCTGCGCCGCAGCTAACACCATATTAACAAAGCGGTCTCGGTAAACGGTGCATCGTGTTGCCAGTTCACAATTCCAGCAAACATTGTTGTACCGCTCCAGGCGCGATGACAATGTTTTTACTCGCTACACACTGAAATCCGTTTTACGGTATTTTACGACTCGGAAAATGGCTGGTTTGTTGTAAAAAAGAATCGATAATTATGGTTTCCGTTGGCATATTTCCGAATGGGAGGGGCTGTAATTGCCGGATGAGTCGCAGTAGCTGTGCCATTGACCAACCTATAAAACTGTAGCACGATCACGCGACAGGCACGTTTTATATAAAACGACAAGTTGACCTTTTCCTGTGGGCGTCTGCAGCTGTAGCTGTGCCTGAATAAATTGGCTTCTTGTATAAGAACTGCGACAAGGTATGACTCGATGATTGTTTGGTCACGGAACACAAATTTTGGGTTCCTTGATTTGGGTTCCTGGACACTGCTGGATCTTTCACACTAAAATCACGGCTTTTATGGACATTTTCTTTAGTAAGGATTTTGTCACGATGTTCGTGAAAAGGTGGCGAGGTGAGATCTCTATACAGCATGGGGCGTTCCCGATTCCATGAATGTTCCACTGTCTGATTCAGGAAAAAATCCCGGGAAAGATGATTGACGGTCTTTTTTAAGCAGATTGTTACCGCTTGTGCGGAGTTGAGTTGTGCCATGCAAAATACCGGTGAGGTGTTGGGACACTGCACAGCCAGCACATGCTCGGCTGTGATGTCTCACGGTACAATAACTTCGCAACATGCAGCTCGGCCACCGGAAGGAATTCTCTGCGAGGTCCAATATGCGACGTCTATACATGCTCGCTGCGGGAACCCTTCAGGAAGCTGCAATGCAGATACATTTTCCGCCGTACGAAGAACGAAACAAGGCGGAGTCCAGCCGAAGGTCAAACAATCAGACGCAGTGGAGAAGGCTCAGCGGCTCTATCCTAGCAACTTCAAAGCCGGCACTTCTTTTGACCGTTTTAACCTAAGCTAGCGCTAATTTGCTATAATTTTACTTAATTTCGCGGTATGGCGATAATCTGAACATCAGAATTTATTGGAAAGTGGGCGCACGCTTGGGCTTTTTTGAGAGAAAGCAGGTCGACAGGCCGCGGCATACGCGAAATCAGAGCCGCTGCAGGTAGTACCTCGCATTTCACCTCCGGTATCTCATTCTTCCCCGACTAGTGGACTACCACCACCAATCACGGGTTAGGTGGGAAAAGAGGAAGCGGTTACAGCATCGCTGATAAAGCGCAAGTAACACTGCTTAATCGGTTCACAATGTTGTGGTTGAATGTTCTGTACAGTGTGCCATGAGAGTAGCAAGACTACACATTTGTTGTTTCTAAACTGATTTTACTTTTGATTCTTTCAGAAGCTTGGATTTACATACTGATTTATGGCGCAAAATCGCAGCGCCACCCGGGTAACCCTGGTAAAAGGACTTCCATTCGTGGGTCACCGTGTCATACTGGTACAGGGCTTTGTGTGCAGTATAGAATACGAGTAGAAGTATCAGCTCACCACTTGTTGCCACAGATGCCACTGCCACGTGCATGAATATAAGGCCAATTCGTGCTCGTAACTGTAACTGGTAACAAGCAGAAAATCCCAATTTTTACTTTTTCTACGTACTTGTCACTCCTGTCAGCATTACGAATATCCTTTTCAGGCATACTGTACTGCCACAATCAATGTCCATTGTCCATCTCCGTAAATCTTTACCATTATTCCAGCAATACACCTTGTTTTCTACCGCGACTAAGCTTGAAAAACGATGCACACTAATAGATGGATCTAACTCAAGCTCACCAAATGTTTCTTCTCCTGTTTTCCCAAAATGGAATTTATGCATTGTGAAATGACTGCCATGTACTGTTTGCGTAAATAAAATTTTGTTTTAATTCGTCGAAACGGCCATACGATGGAGCATATCGCGGCGTGATGTCCTGCCGAACTAATTGTCCCGCGACGAAAAGTCGCGTGGCGAAATACACTTGCGGCGAAGGGTCTGCGGGCTGCGACCAAATGTCCTGCGGCTAGTTATACTCGGTGAAATGTCGCTGTGCTTTGGTGAGCTCACTCCAACATCCACAATATTATTGTTTAATGTTGTGGAAGCTGGAGGCCAGCTCATCAGTGATTCAGTAAAAGAATATTTCCATCCATCACGAGTCGCCTCTTAAGAATAGGTCTGCAACTTACGCTCATCTTCAGCATTAAACTACCCAGGCTCCACATTATTACGTAGCTGAAAGTAGCGGTCGAATACGGTGGATAATGACCTTTACTAGTCTACTGGCTATAGCAGCAATAACTTGACTGACCCGATGACCTTTAATACGATTAGCAGACAATAACTCGAATGCTAACAGAATGCAAGCAATGATAAAATGTAGCTATTCCAAGAGAAGTTATCCCGAGGCTGGCTGGTGATGTACTAAATCCATTCCACAACTTCATCACACGCTACGTTTTAAGCCAGGCACTTAATACATGTTACGAAATGTAATGGAAATTCAATAAGAATTATTTTCGTTCGTGGCCGCACGTGCACTTGGAGTGAGCAAGTGTATCGGTTTCAAATTTCTCTGTATCTGTTTCAAATTTTGTATCTGTTTCAAAATTGCATGAAAATGCGCATTGGCATGAGAAGATCGTTTGTACACTAAAGTTACCACGTTTTTGAAGTTTTTAAGAGAATTTTTAAAAATTTTAGAAATTATTACAAAAATTGAAAAAAAGGTAAAAACCTGGCTTGCTGTAAAAACAATCTGCATGCCAATGGGCGTTTTTATGGAAAATTTGAAGAATACGGGTTTATAAACATTTTTTGATTACACCTCCTTGTATTTAAACGTTTGGAATTTTATTTCGCCCTTAACTTTTCAATCGGATGTTGCGCGCACAAACGGTATTCACACCAATGCATACAGCCTATTGGGCTACACAGTGCAATAACACAATACAAAGATGGAATCGCCTTGTTTTGTTGATTGAGTTAGCAGGCAGAATTATAAACATCACATTCCGCAACATAACAAAACAAAATAAACAGCATTAAGACCGTCAGAACGTGGAACAGTCGACGTTATCGACAGCGCATTTCCTCTCTGTATTTCAGTGATAAGCCGCTGTAGCAAAAACTCGTAAGAGCGTGGTTCTCCAGTAGCATATCCTTTAACCACCTGCCCAGTTCGCGTAAGAACTTCAGACATGCTGGGCCGGTGACACCGAAAGTCTCAAAAGCTAAAGGAACAGAGTCGTACTCATTGGCTAGGTGTTCGTACTTCCGGCGTTTTTCTTCTTCCGCTTTCCTTGCTTCTTCTCCGGCTTTGGCACTGCTACATGTTTGTACTGATGACATTAGATAAGGCAAGCGAATCCACGCATGTGACATCCCAAGCAGGCCGTCGTCCGTTTCTCCAAGGCAGCTGTGTTACACCATCCGGCCGCCGGTCATCCACATCACTGGTCCCTCGCGGTTCGAGTACTGCCGGTGCAAAGATTAAACTTTAACTACGTATCAAGTACGTAGAGTGTGAGCGGCTGCAATTTTTGTTATTCGGGTGGGCGTTTCCGGTAAAGCTTTTATGCAAAAGCATGCTTGAGACAGTGCGGAGGCGTACGTTTCCATGCATGTACACTGCAAATTGGTACCATGTATCGGGTCACTTCCCTTTATTTACCTCTACAGAGTAGAAGCAATAGCTTGTTTAGAAGCACTGTTCGTTGCAGAGTTAGTGCAGCGCTGTGTATCTGTGTAATATGTGATTCTGCTGGAAACAACAAATGGCCGCTTATTTCGCTTGTCTGCTGATAACAGAAAGACCGGCATTCAGTGCACTACGGGCAAGAGACGTACGAGTACATATACTTGCGCGCAAGCGTAAGTGAAGCGACCGATAACTCCGGTGATGTGGAAAATACAATTTTTCGCTTTATTGCCAGCACAACCATCATGCCATACATTTGTTGAAAATGTAAAAACTGTGGTTGAATAAGTTTACCGGCCGTCAGCCGTTATGGTAAAGGCACCGGGTGATTTCGCTGCAAAGCGGTGAGATCACCTTAAATCACCTGCAGGCGATCATAGAGCTACTTGTCTTGCTTGGCTATATTTGTGTCGGCAGGCATACGGCTAGTAAGATAACAAGACGCTGACTGTAGCGGAATGCGTGCATGCTGCAGTTCTATGAACAATTTTTTTTGTGTCAAATGCCGTAAAATGTGAAGGCTTCGGAAAATTGTGGCTTAAAAAAACTTGATTCAAGCAGTAGTTGTTTTGATGGGAACGCTGTGGAATGCCACTAGTTTTAGTGTGAAAATTATTTGCAAATTGTTGCATGCTTGGATGCTTTTTGGGAATAGCCTGTTATTGTAAGTACCGTGCTTAATTATTTTATTTCTGAGCAGTATTTAAAAGTTTTACGGGCTCAAGAATTAAGCTTACTTGCCGTAAATAAAAAAATTATATGTTGGGATTTTTAAAGTTTTTCTATGCGGAGTTTTAGAACACAAAATTTCTGTGCTATAATAGTTGCGTATCAAATAATTATTCACGTAAGAACTTAAGCAGCGGATTTCTGTAATATTTTCCTTCTCAAAACTGACAACACACGATAGACAAATACATACATACACAATTTTGCAGACTTCTGTCGTTTTCCTTACCAGCAAGCACTTTGAATGTACTTGAGCGCCAAGAAGAGTTCGCATCATATCGGTTTGTGCCGGCGTAGGACAGGTTTTACGTTGCGGATCGGACGTTAGCCCCCGAATAATTTCATGCTACGCTGGCCGATTCTCATTTGGATCGCGTGCTGGTATCAGGCGACATCAGCCATCGATACCGGTAAGCGTCAGCGGTTCAACGCGTAATTCAGCTGCTCGAACGGCGGCCTGTACTGTTCGTTCGAATTATTATGATGTACCGTGAGAAATTATGGCGCCTTACGAAACCATCACGATAAAAATACATTAAACTTCCGGCTTGCATCATTATTAAAAATCATATTAATTTTAACTTGCCTACGGTGCTAAATTGAATTCCCATTGCGTAAACCGATTTTCTTATGGCCTTAATGATCCTGCATGTGAAATCCGTGGCGTTACAGAATACGACAAATTAGGCTCGCCGAGGCACCAGCGATATGATCGACAAGACTATTTCATCAAAAAATTTATTTATTCATATTTAAATTTTTATTACTTGAGTTATTATTAATCTGTTTGTTATTTATATTTTTGCTAACCTTATCTTTTTAAATAAAACTATAGTAAGCTGCTTTATACCGCTTTTAGACAAGATTCTCTGTATTTTCTATTTCCGTTGTACAGTAAAATATTTCAACTTCAGACGGCAGTGACAACAAAAATGCCACCACCGCCACGCCCATCTACCCCTCGGTCCTCTTGCTGGTGATCTCACCCTACCTCTACGATGTCGTGGAGCGGGACGCCGTCCGCAATACCTGGGCCGCTGAGGCCGCCAAATATAACATACGCGTTTTGTTCCCCTTCACCGCCCTTGGGGAGCAGGATGAAGACGTGAAGAAAGCCATCGAAGAAGAGAGCGCCTACCATCAGGACGCTTATATCTTCAACTATCTTCCGGATGAATTCGACACCGATATGACGCTGACGTTGAATACGCTCAACTGGGCGTTGACCAAACAACCATCAGCGCGATATTACGGAAAGGTCACGGCTGATATATGGCTCAATGCGCCCAAGTTAGCGGAAGTTCTCAAGGGACTGAACGATACCACGGATTGGATTATGGGACGGTACGCGGATAACCAGGACGAGGAGGTCAGTAGAAAATTCTCGATTATAAACTATTCTCTTGGTTTATACTCGTAATACAAATATACGGCTACACAAGTTCCCGGTAAAAAAAATTTAAAAATAAATAAAAAAATTATAAAATAATCAGTTTCATAAAAATTGGACAATTTTAAAAAATCTCATTTTCTGCAGAAATATAGAGAAAATCCGCACTATATGCTTAAAAACATTTTGATGCATGTGCAATGGTTAAAAGGGCGTGGCCAAACAAAATTAAATGGCTACACATAGTGCAACAGTGCAGTACTAGTTTTTCCCGTTACTTCTGGCTTTGCATTGGCCTTTCTACCAGTAGTTAATTTCTACCAGAAACCGACGTTAACAAAACGCGCATTCGGGTTTTGGCCGCGTCCTATTGCCAGTTGCACAAGAAAGTATTTCATTTTTTTTATACAGAAGGAATTACGATTCTGGAAAACAGCTTTTCTAAATGTCGATCCTCGAATTGCGCCGTGACAGCTGTAGACTGTAGAGTAAGAATTCCATGGACTATGGCTTAATTCCTGCATTACAGGTGAAAGATTTGTATGGCTCTCTGCACGGGTACGCTGAGATGGGGAAAGGTCAGTTCGCGCTGGGACACTTTTGGCTCATGCCAAAACGGACGCTGAAAAAGGTCATCAAGGCGGCGGGTTCTGTGGTGGGCAATTCGGACATTGGGGATGCGGTGATCACCGGGGATTACCGGCGAGCCATGGGCATCCCGGCGGTGAATCGCACGGACGTGGTGAACATGTGGGATATCAAGGGGGTGGAGATCTGCTACCGCGAAAACTACCTCGCCGTTCACGGGGTCTTCTACAAACAAAAGCATGTCATGCACAATCAAAAATGTGATTAAACTGGGAACATAGTTATCCTTAAATGGCGAAGAATGTATGCTGGCTTTTAATGCAGAAAAGTCAATGTTTACGGTTTTTAACTGAAAAAGACGGATGTATATTGTGAGCATGTTTTAATACTCACCAATTATCGTATCGTGTGTTCTGGCGTCTTACATTAGCGAGGGCATTTAGTCGTAATAGAATAGCGACAAATAGCAACATTGTACAGATGTTCGAGTTGCATGGTTGAGCCAAATAAACATGTACAGATTCAGTCGGTTACCAATGGTTCAAGGATGTCGCCTGACTGGGGTGTACCTCTGAACAGAGCATACAAGAAAGCGCAAATTATACACATCAGTGCGTAGGAGAACATTTAAACTGGCTAAAAGGAAGATCTTAAATGCCGGCTCGTTGCTGTTCTATGAGTGTTTGGCTGTCCTCGAGCTGGGTACATTTCTACTTGATAAAAACGGACAGGAAATGTTCAGGGTACCGTATATCATACGGCAAGGACGCACTTGTTTTGAGTACGTTAAACGCACGCCCTAAGATGCCAAATGACTCTAATCATTTTGAATATTTTTACACTGCGTGAAATTAACGTGATCCCTAATTTAATCAGTATAAGTGTAGCCTATCTTACGTCGACAATACCGCATAAAATGCGTCCTGCTGCCTTTTACCCATGAATATGGTACTCTCATTTTCACATGGTATGTGGAAAAACACCCTGCAGGATGCTTTAAAGGTCACTGTGCGTTAGATAATCAAAGTAAAGGTGATATTCGATTGATGCGCATCTTTATACGCTATGCGTTGTGCGGTGGCAAAATGCTCGTGTCTGTAGAGTTAATTTGCGGTGCGCGTATAATCGCATCATGCAAAGGCGGACGACGGATGCGCCCCGCAAATAACGCTTGCCTTCCTGATGTCAACTATGGTTCTATTCACGCGATGATGGTGAATTCACTCCGTTTTGCGATAATCAGAATGACCTGACCATGACATCGGATAAATGAGCCGGAAATAGAGGCTTTATCTGCTTCTGACAGCTCCGCAGTAGAAAGAACACATCTCCAACGTCATGTTTTTATTACCGACGGCACTCCGCAGGAGATTAATTTTCTGGATTACCTGGATTAACAAGATCTTCGTCGTATTAGCACTTCTTAACGAGGTAAAAAGCGCATGCGTTAAATGAACAATATTCTACGCAATAATGGGGAAAGGTGTGACTGGTGCGTCGATTATCTGAGCGATACATATTTTTCACCAACACGGTACAACAACGAGACCCATGGCAAACTGGATAATATTATAATGGTCCATCTTATCTGCGTGTGCTGCTTCCTGATATCCTATGCTGGTCCGGTCATCGCCATCCTGAACATCAGTTTTGTGTTCATTGGACGCATAGCACCGGCGACGACATACGGAACACTACCGTTTATCGGTCCCGCGATGTCCATTGGCATAGAATATGTCCAGCAGAAATACGCCGGTACCCTGCACTGTACGCTGGATTTTTTGTATGCGCCACTGCGTCCTGGCTACCCACCACCCGAATTAGCCGATACCGCTGTACAATTAGCAGCAGAATGGCACTACACCAAGAGGAAGGAAGGGGACATCACGATTTACATCATTTCCGGTAATGCTTAGTACTGCTTTGCGTCCTGCAGACTGGGCAGAAAGTACAAGCTTGTCCGGTAACTTACTAAGGGTACAGCTAGCGAGAAGTTTGCGCTTAAAACGATGGCCACTTCACTACGAACTGCCTAAGTTTATCGAACTGCCTAAATGCGCTCTCCAGTTAGACTGTCCATTGCTGCACCGACCGTTTTTCTAGCCATCGTCCGCCACGCAGTTACTATTATTCTTATTTAAGCACAAAGTTACTAGTAATGTTATTCTTGTTTAAGCAGTAAATCATTAGGCTGCACCAAGCCACCAGCCAGCCACATGCGTGTTACATGCTTAAGCAGTGCGGCGTTACGGGCCGTATTAAGGAGTTTCGTGTAACACGTAAATTTGTATATTTCGCTGTCAGAAATTACCGGCAAGCTGATACAGCAGTACTCCCCGCCTTCTAATGCGCTACAGCTTGTTTTTTTTTTATTACTGGGCCGTTGAATTTGCCTTGCATGTGCTAAGGATCCCGGTCGCCTTTACGTCTTTAGGTGTAGCCGCGCACGTGACCACTGTTTTCGCGCTTAATGTGGCCTTGTGGTTATAACCGATTACGCAACTGGGGAGAAATAAGACGGGATTAATACTGCTTGCCGAATCAATAGGCGCTGATCGTGCAGAATACGCGGGAATACTCACAAGTCTAGGCGATCTTTATGCACAAAAGTGTCACGTGAGCTGGTTTTAATAATGCGGCAGCTGTGAAGTCGCTCGGCGGTCCCAGAACCGAAAACGGAAATTCAATGGCCGAAGATACTAAAACACCGATTGACTGGGTTGATAGGGTTGACTAATAAGAACTGATTTACTATAAAAAGGCGTTCTTGTCTTACTACTGCCGCACAGTGTTTATGGATTTATTTTTAAGGTTGCGCATCGCGACCCGAAAAGCGGAATCCGACGTGTCTATTCTACATATAGTAAAGTGTGATAATTATTTTAGGCGTGGTGGAAGCCGTAGAAATCCCACATTTTATGAGGCAGTGGAACACCCTATGGATTTCAACGTACTTGTACCATACTCCCTATGATCATCTCAATTGCTAGAATCAGAAGCTAGAGTATATCTTGCAGGCTATCGGTCACCCCGCAGATCACTGACCGCGTGATGAATCCCGCATGGATCGCCGTCAACGATTTCTCCACTACCCAGTGTGCGCGCCTGTACATCGAGATACTAACGAAGTATCGCTGGACCACGGTGTACGTGATTATTGACCCGGGAGATCCCAGCGTCTTCATGTCGATCGCAGCGGTGCTGCTGAAGGAGCTAGGGAAACAGTCGAGTATCCGCTATATTGTGCAGCGGATAAAAACAAAAGGCGGCGGTTCCGGTGTAGCTTACGGGGCCTTTGAGTCGGTATTAAAGGACGTTGCTGTAGTTAGTCGAGGTGCGTGGTTAGCAAGTTAGAAATTCGATTAGAAGTTAGCTAGGCTCCATATGAGATCGGTAACCCCTAAGCCCAAGCGTACGCATTTTTGCGCAGCCAACGTCACTGCCACCTTTAGGACAAAAAACGGATGTACTGCTCTGATTACTTGGTCGAATGGATTAATATTTTAATGAAATAATATTAATTACTTTGAATTAGTGATGCAATGCAGTTGATCCCTGTTGTGCCCTTGGCGAACACTGCGAACGCTGCGAATGTGGGTAAACGAGGTGGGATATACATGTAATTAGTGCAAATATTATACATCTGTTTTGCAGTCGGCTTGACACGTTATGGTAATATGTAATGATGAGCAAACCCAGCACTGTTGGTTACGTACGAACTTGAGCGTTTGGTGGTTGCTCGTGATTAAATTTAGTGATTAATTTATACCGTTCATTTTCTTTTTGGTCGTACAAATCAGCTTTATTACTAATTGTTATTTACCAATAATTCATTCATACGACCACCGCGCGCTATTGTACGTCTACTGATCGTAGTACACAGTCATTCAATGGGGCTTGGGTTACGCTTATTAGAATACAGCTATTTAATTTAATTGTATGTTTTTCTGGTTTTTCTGGTTGCAATATTCTACTTAGAATATTTAAAAAATTAATGCTCATAAACTTTTGTATTTACATTTCGGTATTCCGTTCTTACAGTATTATTTGTTGCAGTACTTGGTAGTTGTAGTACGTACGTTATTATCACTTCGAAAAGTGTCCTCAGCCCACACTACAATCCCAGTATTCGCGCGTATTCGCAGGATTCGCCAAGTTCATGTTAAGGTTACAAGGTATCCAGGATACGATAACATTACAGTACTGTATACAGTACGTACAGCACTGTAAATACAGAACTGTATAAGCTAGGAAAGTACGATGGACTTACAGACCGATATGTAGTACAGCCGATCGCGTTCGAAACCACGGGCACATTGGACCACTCACAAAGAAGTTCTTGAAGGAGCTATCGCGAAAGATCAGCGATTGTACTGGTAATCCTCGGTCAGGAGAGTTCTTGCGCCAGAAAATCAGTATTGAGATACAACGGGGAACGCTGTCTCTGTTCTTGGAACATTTACCGAAATGGTTGACAACGAGGATGTGCTTTTTGCTTTTAAGCTAGCTAAACGGGAGTAATGGTTCTGTTATTGATTATTAATGTACTGTTATGCATACCTTACCCAAATGTAACTGAATAAAAATCATCGTACTGTATACATACACAAAGTAGGTATATAGTAGCCAGCGAGGCTGATCCCGTATGTATCGAAGCAGATACTAAAAGTGAAGAAAAAGTCGCCGCCTACTCGAGGAACCAATCAGATTGGATAAATAGTTATTTAAATCGTAGCTAAAAACTAAAAAAAACGTTGACGTTTCACCAGGATGGCGCCCGTGGCGGTTGCGAGCCGTACGCAAGCTACGCCCAGAAGTAACCCTTACCGTGTAGAAGCAAATCAAATGCAGAACCTATTTAATCGAATGTAGAACCGATTATCTAATTAACGGATTCAGAAAGAAAGTATTTTTGTACAACAGCTGATGTAAGCACCCTTGGCGTGTAGAAACAAATCGAAAGTAGAACCAATTTAATGAAACAGAGAACCGGTTTCGTAATTAATCGATTTAGAAAGAAAATATGTACAACAGCTGATGTAAGCAATTGTGCGAAATATGCGAAATCTGCGTAGATCAAAACTACGATGGAGCACCTTTAGAAGTGACCTTAAAAGTACCCTTGGCAATTGCTGCGAATGCTCCGAATTTTGCGAATATGGGAACTTTAAACCGGGCATGCCGCTGTTTATGTTTTCAAGACAGAAATTTAAAGTACCATTCGCGAATTTTAGGAGTCGTGCGAATTCTGCGAAAATAAAGAAATCAAACAAAGCAAGCCATTGGGTGTGCTTACTTAGACTGACCTTTGTAGTACCCTTGGCGATTGCTGCGAAAGTTGCAAATATGGGAAACTTAAACCCGGGATACCGTTGTGTGCTTACTCAGACACTTTTAAGGTTTCCTATTCGAACACTGCGATTGCTGCGGAAATCTACCTACTCAACCTGGCATGCCGTTAAATATGGGAAAATTAAACCCGACATGACATTGGGTATGCTTACTGTCACAGTCTGGGCACGTAAACGCGTTGAACTTACTCAAAACTGAATTACCAAAAAAGGCAGTACAGTACAGTCTATGTACAATACTTACGTACTGTACATAGACAAAACCAATGGTAAACAGTACACTGAGTACAGTGCCACGGCAAATGCCGAGAATACGCCGAACCAAATCAGATATTTAGACTGACCGCAGTCGAACCCTTGGCAAAATGTTCGAATGCTTCGAGAATGCGAAAATCAGACCCGGCCTGCCTACGGTTAGGCTACATAGACTGACCTTAACATCACCCTTAGCAAACGCTGCGAAATGCTGCAAATATGGGAACATCAGACCCGCCAAGTCTTTGGTAATGCTTAAGTACTTAGTCTGCGCTTTAAATTTCTCTTGGAGAACGCTGCGAATGCTGCGCATATGGGAAAATCAGAACCGGCAAGCCTTTAGTTAAACTTAATTAGGCTGCGCTTTAAAGTGCCCTTGGCGAACGCTGCAAATGCTACGAATATGGGAAAATCAGAACCGCCATGTCTTTGATTAAACTTACTTAAGCTGCCTTTTGAAGTACCCTTGGCGAACGCTGCGAATATGGAAAAATCATAACCGGCATGTCTTTGGATATGCCTACTTTGGTTGACTCTCAAAGCACCCTTGGCGAACGCTGCGAATGCTGCGAATATGGGAAAATCAGGCCTTGCATGTCTTTGGATATGCTTACTTTGGTTGACTTTCAAAGCACCCTTGGCGAACGCTGCGAATGCTGCGAATATAGGAAAACCAGAACCGGTATGTCTTCAGCTGGGCTTACTTTGGTTGACTTTCAAAGCACCCTTGGCGAACGCTGCGAATGCTGCGAATATGGGAAAATCAGGCCTTGCATGTCTTTGGATATGCTTACTTTGGTTGACTTTCAAAGTACCCTTGGCGAACGCTGCGAATTCTGCGAATATGGGAAAATCAGACCTTGAATGTCTTTGGATATGGTTACTTTGGTTGACTTTCAAAGCACCCTTGGCGAACGCTGCGAATGCTGCGAATATGGGAAAACCAGACCTTGCATGTCTTCAGCTAGGCTTACTTTGGTTGACTTTCAAAGCACCCTTGGCGAACGCTGCGAATGCTGCGAATATGGAAAATCAGAACCGATATGTCTTCAGCTAGGCTTACTTTGGTTGACTTTCAAAGTACCCTTGGCGAACGCTGCGAATGCTGCGAATATGGGAAAATCAGAACCGGTATGTCTTCAGCTAGGCTTACTTTGGTTGACTTTCAAAGCACCTTTGGCGAACGCTGCGAGTGCTGCGAATATGGGAAAATCAGACTTCGCATATCTTTGGATATGCTTACTTTGGTTGACTTTCAAAGCACCCTTGGCGAACGCTGCGAATGCTGCGAATATGGGAAAATCAGACCTTGCATGTCTTTGGATATGCTTACTTTGGTTGACTTTCAAAGCACCCTTGGCGAACGCTACGAATGCTGCGAATATGGGAAAATCAAAACCGGCAAATCTACATTTTACAGTCACCTCAGCAGCCACCTTGGAGAACTGTGCGTATGCTGCAAATATGGAAAAATCATACCTGGCATACCTGAAGAGATTTCGACAGCAGCCTTGACGGACTGTGCAAATGCGGCAGAGTCTTGATTAATTTAAGGCCTGACTGTTTAACTCATCTCAACAGTTCAGCTCATCTAAAAAAACTCATCCCATGCAACTGGCAAGCGCCAAAACTGCCGTCATGCCCTGACACTGTTGTTGATGGCTGAGTATAAACTGGAAGACTCATTCACGATACTGCTTGTTAAAACCAGATACAGATAAACCCAGATTAGCTCACAAGAGATGCACTGCAGCTGATGCAAGTTGTGTTTTAAATTGCGTACGTAAATTACCTACGCTACCTATATGGGGTTACTGATCTCATTCTTTACCGTTAGCTATTCGATAAGCAAGTTCTGGTGACAATATATTTTGCTTGTAATGTAGTTGTTATATTCTTCGGCCACGCCTTCTTTCTACGGGAACTTCTGGTAATCCAATTAGAAAACCCGTTTTTACTAACAGTTAGATCTCGGTTTTTCTGGTACAATCAGTTTACCTTTTTCAGATTACAGCAGAGAGAATGGGCATGACCGATGGGGAATACGTAAGCAATAAAGAACCGTTGAATAGTTGAAAGACCAGTTTGCGAGTGTGATTATCCAGTATTTAGCTTAGTGGTTAAATATGTGACACGCATTAGGTGTACATGGCTCTGGAAACCATGCATAATAAACCGGTCCTGGGTGATTTCAACTGGCAGCACAACGACGAAAATGACCAGGTATGACCACCTTAACAAAAGGCATGAGTATTTGCCGTGATCGTGTATGTGCAGGATTGTACGTAGATCGTCTTTCGGGCGTACCAATCGCTGCTGCTCGTCCAGCCAAAATACATCGACGTACCACCCAACCTGCAGCTGGGTACGGAGCTTATTCGCCGCTCCGCACGGGATTATAATCTTACCTACAATATCTCAGATCAGGTTATTGTTCACTAAAAGTTCAAAAGCGTCATATAACATTCACTGGCAGTAACAAAATGCGGTAAAACCATGACATCTTTAAGTAGGTGTTTGTCTGGTTTCACAGAACTTTCCGAACCTTGTTAGCAGCTACTGGGCAGTTGTGGCTACCACGTCGGTAAGAAAATCTCTTAATGCGGCGCTATGAAGAGTTTACGTGTATTCACGTTGTGGAAAAGGCATGATACAGTATAAACGCAACCAGTTTAGCGCTTTTTTGTCTACGGTATATCTACAAAATACGGTCCTGCTGTATCTGCTGTGCTTATGACGTAACCGCCCTGGTTGTAAATAATTATCCGATATTTTCTTAGCTCATCAATGAATCGCTTTCCCGAGCGGATGATATGGATTATCAGGATGGAAAAGCATTAGCGCGGCTCTTCCCCAATCACACCTACACTGATGAATACGGTAGTCTCTACGTAGACAGCACGGGACAACGACGTACGGATCTTGCCGTTACTTACTTTACGTCATCGGGCATTCGTACAGTACGCTGGTACAAAAAATTGTTAACATAATGATTATATTTTAACGGCTCAATTTCAGACGCTGCTAACGAAGGCGGGCGTACAGGACACTCTGAACGAGGTAGCGCATTTAACGGAATGGGCCAGTGCGCGTACAGCATTTCCACCACCAAACGAACCGGTGTGCGGATATTTGAAGAACAAATGTTTGAAGAGTACGCTTGAAATGATTTGTATTATCAAAGTCTATGTATTGCTACGTACTAAATACTTCACAATTTCCTTAATAAAGATTTTGAAAAAAAAGGCTCCTTGTTTAGGTAACGAATCGTTGTGGATCATCGTTTCTACTTGTCTGGGAATAGCGGTCGTTGGTGGAACCTTCGGTGTATTTTATTGGCGGTAAGCGATGGAGATAATTCTGATAGTAAAAAGGACGACTTACTCTGAAACTGAGTTATAAAAAATGCAGGTATAATAAGCAGAAAGAAGCCGAAAGACTATTGCACGATCCGTGGTGGCAGCTGCATCTGGACGATGTAAAAGCAACATCCTACTTTCGCTCCAACGCTTCGTCGCTATTTACGGGCCAACTGCACACTGAGTCTGATTCGGATTCTTTTAAAGCGGTAAAGCTAGCTTTGAAACGGTCCAAAGCATTGTCCTAAATTAATGATGTAAAGCAACTAGTAAGCAGCAAGTAAGCAGTAGCCACTAGTAAGCAGCCAAAGTTGAATCACGAACCATTTCCCTGACAGGAGGCAACGATGCGATTCGTAGCGCTACACGGGAAAGCAGCAGTGTGCTTTCCGTGTACACGCGGAGGAGTCGCGTTACATTTCAACGATATCTCCAAGAATTACAATTTACTCAAGCTATTTAAAAAAGTAAGACGGTTTTACGGTTTTTGCTCGAAAGACGGTTTTACTTTAAGACTGCTACTGTAGAGCAGCGAATAATGACAGAAGATGCCATTTGCAGCTGCGGCGTATCGAACACCAGAATATCGGGCAATTTTATGGACTAAGCATTGGGAGACGCGGTGCTGGCCGGTGTGACGTATTCGTGGTGTTCGCCTGTCCACCACGTGGCAGCCTGCCTCAGGTGTGCTGCAGCGCCATCGGCAAGGATTTCACGTTCACCAGCTCCTTCGTTATGGACTTCCTTGAGGTATTGATCGGCGCCGAGAAGCCTTATTCCTTCATTTAGTAAGAAAAAATGGTTTTCACTTGAAAAGGGATTAAATTTCGTTCATCATTAGCGGCTGCATTATCATGGCCGGTTAAGTACGTTCAACTGCTGGATTGATAAGCATTTTACGCTGAAGCTGATGAACGTCGCCAGCGCTCGGATTTGCAGTCAGCTGGAAACCGTGGAGAACATCACGGACTGCCGTGGTCCGATGTACTGCAGCTGGGAACCCTTCTTCTGGATGGTCCCAGAACTGCACGAAATCGACCAATCAGAGAGCGCCGTCACGCCCATGCAGGCTGTCGATATATTCTCCGCTGGATTGATTCTCTACGACATTCTGACTGCAGGATCGTTATACCGCAAAATGCAGGACATGTTCGGTAAACTGCAAACGTTTGAATTTCGCCGATTTATTTTTATCTCAAAAATAATTTTAGGCACTGCGACCGTTGTAAGTACAGAATACACCCTGCATAATCCGCTGATTGCTGCGGTGGATTTTATGGAGATCGCCGAACTGGCCAGTGTGATTCATAACTGTCTAAGCAAACTTCCCGAGGATCGACCGAGTATCAAGCAGCTGCGCTCACAACTGCGCGAGCTGTCGCCGCTGCTAGCGCCGGAGATGAATCAGTATAAACTTTTCGATAAAGTTTACCAGCGGTTGCGTTTATATTCCAATCAGTTGGAGCTGGACGTGATCCTGCGGACCAAAGCGCTGCGGGACGCACGGCGGCGCTGTGATGAACTGGTCAGCCAGTTCTTGCCAAAGTATATTGCTGCCTTAATTAAAATTATGTCTGCTACCACTACCAGCAATACGCACCTATGTTGTATTATAGGGAAATCGTGGACACTCTGCGGACCGGGCGCTTCGTCGCGCCCGAACTTTTTGACTGTGTGACCATAATATTTTCCCAGCTGGATGGGTTTGCCGGTTTCGCGCGTGGTGCATCTCCAGAACGGTTAATTGCCGTTATGTCTGTAGTGGAGGATTTCATGGACGTGTCATCTACCGTGTGCGACGTGTACAAAGTCGAAGCTGTATCTGATTCTTTTCTGGTAAGCACGAAGGTCAATGTCTCGTCTTAATTAATAATTTTTTTCTGTTCCTTTTTAAACCTTACATATTGTGCATCGGCTTCGGATTTTAGTAATAACCTACATGCTGTTAGCATGAATTATTTATACATGTGGTATATTCATACATCATAAATTACATACATAAGGTCACGGGCGGAAGAAGTAGCGCTGATGGCGCTTTAGAACATTGGATGCCGCAGTATGAGTGATAATTTTTCGAAGAACCCAGTACGGCTGAATTGCAGGTCGCCAGTGGATTACCAAACCGTATCGGCTCGGAACATGTCAGACGAATTGCCGATTTCGCCTTGCGACTGCGGCAGCTGCTGCCGTCGCTCGGTCTACCAGACGAGTTGCGCATTATGCTGGGACTGCATTCAGGTTGCACAGTAACTTTTCATTATAGAGACGTGCCAGTCTGAGTGGCGACCTGACTGACAACCCTAATGCTGTAGGCCCATGTGCCGCCGGAGTCATCGGAATGAAAAGACCTCGTTACTGTTTGTACGTCTCCTTACAGCCGCAACCGTTTTGGAAAGAGTGCCAAGCATTAACCGAACTCAGTGCGTTACAGGTTTGGAGACACGATCAATGTGGCATCGCGAATGTGCAGCCAGGGACTGCCGGGACGGATCCACCTCAGCTGCGCTTCCGCTGCACTTTTGCCAGAATTTGACGAGCATGGTTATGTTGTTGAACTTCGGGGCTTGCAGCAAATCAAAGGCCGTGGTGATATGATCACATATTGGCTGACTGGATCATCATGTGCATAAAGCGCATATACATGTAGTGCGGTTAGAAAGAATTTAGTTTATAGAAAACTTCATTTGAAACCGGCTTTATCCATGCCTAGACAATGTTCTCGTTCAATCAGTATGCCGATTACCCAGGCCGTCCTCCCGTAAAAGAGATCTTGTGATGGCGCTTGATTCCAGTTCTTCAGTATTCTCACTAGCTTTCTTGGTCAAATCGTTAGTCAATGCACAAAATAAGGAAAGAAATACGAAACGTACAACAAAAGAATCTATTTACCCTTCCATCGTGCCCCGCAGTGCCTCACTGAAGCCGCGGTACTCGTATCGATTCGATCCTAAGTTAAAGTTTGCATACGCCGCTGCTAAAAACTGTTTCTTTGCTTAATATACAACGTCAAAATCTGACTGGATTATTATAAGGGTTTCACGCATGGTATATCTGCTTGTCCGCATATCAGATTAAAGGTTGGGAAAGATATTTCCAGTTGTGCTGGCCACTGCTGGAACTCCCTCGATGGAGTCGATACAAATGCTATATTACAAGAGAGAAAACCTGATAGGAGTCAAAATTTTTTTATCGTGATAAAATGATGTTTCGCGATTTGTAATGTTACCGGCCTACTGGCAGTCTGGAAACTCTACTCCTTCCCACGGTAAGGTGCCAAGAAAAAAGTTTTGGAGGTCAAAATCGTCAAAATGCAGGGCATGCTTGATAACTAAAAGTCTACAAGCGTTAAAAACGGAGCAAAACCTGCGGAAGACCAAGACGTCTGCGGGCATGTCTCTTATGATGGATTCATTTAAGTTTTGCTACATTCTTATCGAAATGCGACAGAAAATGTTGTCGCTTTTCTTCCAGACTCTACAGTAGTGGGCGCACTAATGTCTGGCTGGGATTTGTATATTCGTGTGCCGAATAATAGTTCTGGCTAAAATTTATTCGTCCAAAATGTTGGTCAGTTGTAAAGATTTATCTCCTGCGGCTTTCTCGAAATTTTCAATAAGTTTGCCGGCTTTTGGCACTAGGGTTGAAAATTTACATTCTAACTAATTTGCTGATTGTCGCTGTGGAATTTTATGAGATTGCAGAACTGTGAAGTTTCATTTTCATTCCTGTTTACGTTGGATACTTCTACGCGCATGTCCGTTTAGGGATATACGTATTTTAATACGATCATGATTTGTGATAGTTGTTTTTATATATATCGTCATGGAATTAGCGCAGCGGACGCAAACGCAGCCAAATAATTTTCATACCGGAATATAATAATGTAATTGTGGCGAAATAATAACCCCAGTTTGTAATTATCGTACTTTATTGTTTGTATAACACCGCTGTCAAAATCCTTCGGGTTGAAGAAAAGCTACCCGAGTAGTAGCTGGATTACTTGGATATCCAATCCAATAAATTATTCACAAAGTGCGATCGTTTCTTGCTAGGGATGTAAAGAGTAAATGTTTACAAAGGAAGATTGGGTTGATATTTCCGCTAAACATGCCCCTTGCCATCAATCCATACTTGATTATGAATTCTCGGCATTTCAAGCTGCCTGTCATCGTCCTTGTTTGTCGTAGGCTACCTAACTCAAATTAGACGGTCTGTGTAATGAACGTAAAAAATTTTCCAATATGGTTGATTCTCTGAACGCTCTTCCCGGTCGAATATCGCTCCGATAACTTTCATCTTCCCCATTGCAGCTGCAGTAACTCAGACAACGGCTGAAAGAACTTTCTGGCTGTTTTCCCGCTAGAAATTGTTAGGAATTAATAATCTTATTCTGTGCGGTACCCCAGCAATCAAGTTATCAACCATGGATGCCAACAGTTCCAGCAACCACACCGCTACCACACCGGCATCCCAACCGGCGATCGGTCTCGTTTCTCTATGGATCATTATCCTTGTGATACTGTCAGCATTAAATGTGACCGCTTTTTATTTAACGTATAGGTATGTTGCGGCTACGTCCTACCGAATACACCTGCTGAGCCTCTTGGGAACAAATGTATTGTTTGTTATGATTCTGATTCCGGTCACTCAGATCGCCAATTCAATAATTGCGGACGATCTGCCGTTTTCATGGGAATTTTGTTGGGCTTGGTCGTACTCTAAGGCCGTGTTACCGTCCCTTCTTTTATATGTCCACTGTGGCATATCCATTAATCGGCTAATTGCCATTGTTACACCGCACAAATATAGGACGCTGTGCAGTCAGACCAGAGCACGGGTGATTGTTGGGTTGTTATTTGTCTTTGTCCATGCTTACGGAGTCCCACAGACCGTCCGGACAGCATCCAGTCTGCCAGCCGGCTCTACGATCTGCACATATTACGCTGAAAAGGATATATATTACAAATCGATTACTTATATCGCACATTTGATACCATATATTTTTAACAACGCCGCTTTTGGCTTTGTATTATATTGGCGCTGGACGCATAAGCGACCGATTAGGAGGAGAGCGGATGGATCAGTGGTCACCCGGAAGAAAGGAAAGTTTCTGTTCTATACACTAGAGTCCATTCTGGAGAGCGTCTGTTGGGCGTTTTCCAAGGTGTATTCCATAATCGTAATCATGCATCCCGAATATTATTCGGATACACTGACGTTAATCGCTGAGTGCTTGTATTTGGTTCCAATTGCCTGTGAGCCAGTGATCATATGTATCACCCAAGCGGAAATAAATTCCCTCTGCCGACAGCGAGCATGCCCTCTCTGGAGCCGCTGCCGGCGTGTCTTCTCTCGTCAAATAACTGTACAAGCAGCACAAAAGAACGAGGCCCACGAAATGGATGTTGTAGGATAAAGCGTTGTGCTCTTCACCCGGCTTATTTGAAATATAAAAATTATTTCTCTCTCACATTTTGTTGACCGTAAATACTTTGGTAATATGTACACGCTTTTCTTCCAAAACCATGGACGGGTCATGCGTATCAAGCTTGTGCTTGTGCTTACTTATAACGTACGTCATCGTGCGAATTGCTTTTCTCATCTAAAGCATTTTTGGCTAAATGCAACAACGGTTCTGCTTGCATTAATTAGTCTGAATGGGGTTGAAATCGGTGAGATTTGCTAATAAATAGCTGAAAGTGCCGATTGTGTTCAGGAAAAGTTTTGTATCGGTAAGAAAGTGGATAAAGTGTATTATGTGATGAAACGATGTAGCGCATGATTTTTTTTGTTTGACAATTGCTAATTTTTTTTAATAAACCAATAAAGTAACGCTGAGAGTGTGGCAGTGTGCATCTGAATTAGCGTTTTCCGACGCGTTAAAAAGTGTATGGGAAGTGTCCTGCTCGTTCATTAATCGCCCAGATATGTTGGACAATTACAAAGGGCGCCTTTGCGGATAATCAAAGTAACACAAGGTTAAAAATTCCCTAGAATTTCCCCGCTACCTTCTCTGCTTGGAATTAACTTCAGTTATTACTAGACACGGTTTCTGTAGCTCTTTAATTGGCTCTTCAGTTTTGTGCCAAAACGCTATCATATGACCCATAATCCCATTGCATAAAGACCAAACTGTCCCACGTGAAAAAAACTATGGTGCGCTGACTTTGCTCGTGCTATGCAGCATAAAAAACGCTGGCAAGTAAACTGTATTACAAATATGTTTTATTACTGGTGAACCATTTAACGCATCAGAACTGTGCAACGCGCTGCGGTTTAGCATCATCTTTTTGGCTTGCTCCAGGATGATCGCCGGCAACTGTTGCGTTTCCACTCCCAGCTGACGTTGCATTAGCTTTAGGTATCAGGATTTTGTCAACGTTTGGGGCGCTCCTGAGTCCTATTGGATCCCCACGCCGCGTACAGTGGGCAGTATTAACCGTGAACACCAGGACGATCAAGAAAAGAACCCCAACTTTCATTGTTGTTGCTGATCCGAGAATATTAGAGTACTGTATAAGATATCAATGTTAGTGGATACCGTACAAAATATTGGGTAGTTTCCTCCAACGCAATGCACAACTGAGAACACGAAAGAGCCGTACAAGTATTTAAATAGCTGTTGCAAGCGGAAGTGCTTAATATGTACGCGTGTTCGAAGTAGACACCTCAGGCGACTGAAATTCAGCGTACTTCTATACGTGTGTCGGACAACATCATCCATCCATACCAGTGAGCGGAACAGGGCCTATCTCGTAAAGTAATCGGCTTTTCCTGCAGACGTTATACAACGTGACGAGTTAATGTTAATGCCACGCCGAACGCAAAACTTCCGGCTTGCATTTTAGGCGAAAAGCGTTAATAATTGAGCTGGGCCTACCGGCAACAGTGCCTTTCGAAATAATTCACTGTAGTCTGTAGGGCAAGGAAATGGTATGTGTGCGTGTTCGTGGTAGACATATCGGGCGATTAAAACTTAGCGTGTAGTGTTTATTAACCTCATCCATCCATACTGGTGAGCGGAACAGGGCTTACCTGGTGAAGTAATCGCTTACCTGCTAAAGTTATACAACGTGGCGAGTTAATGCCTTGCTGAACGCTGAACTTCCGGCTTCCATTTCAGCTGAAAAGTATTAGTAACTGAACTTGGCCTACAGGCTACAGTGAATCTCCAAACTCAAATTTTGATAACACTGGACTGTGCACTAAAGATTCTCTTGATTGGACATGAAATCATTTGACACAAGTAGAAGGAAGAAGGACAAAATGTCCAAATAAGAAAGCGATCATACTAACTCACGCGTGAATACTAATACTAGTAATTAATAATAAGGATTAATTATTGCTGAACAATGTCAAAAACAAAATCTGAATACCTAAATCATGGTCTCGTGAAGCCGATAAATGATGTTAAATAACTAAGCGTCTCGTGAAGCCGATAAATGATGTTAAATAACCAAGCGTTCCGGATACATGTACAAAGACAATTGCTTGTCATGTCAATACAACGATAGACGATAGTCATGTCTATAACAACGACAACGACATTACCGGGGTCTGGTTATACGACGTACGTTTCTCATAAAGCCCCCCTGTGGAGCATTGCGGCAAAAATGATCTTGTTGTAGAGTACCAGTATACACCGGCTTGCATTCAGATGTCAGTGACAACAAAATTAACATGACCGTCTGGCCGTCTATACGCAAGGATACGAAACTTTAGTCAAGTTTAGGAACAGCTTAGTCAGCTCCCGAAAAAGTCGATCCACTACTGGATACCGTTTTCCATAACAGAAAACGCCTGACTGTTATGATAGGATTATTGAGAGCTATTTTGCAACTTTTATGACATTATGACCTCAAACTTCTGCATAAGTAACAGCTTCCATGGTTTTCCATAGCAGCTAACGTTTTACGTTTTCATACGGTAGCAGATTGAGCGTACAGAAGAAGCTGCTAAACGATAACCCCAAGAAAATTTAATACGAACAAGATTTGACCTTTTAATGACATGATGACCTCGAATCCGGGTTCTTTGATTCACTACTGAGTTTTTCGGCACACCGAGAACTCGCTGACGGTCATCTTGCTGACCGACAACTTGCTGACGACTATTTGCTGACCGACAAAATGTTGACCCGACAGTTTGTTGAAACAACAAGTCACTGAACGACATTTTGCTGAACGACAGTTCGCTGGCACCGACGATTTGCTGACGACATTTTGTTGACTGACAGAATGTTTACCCGACAACTAGCTCACTTACTAAATTGTTGACCGACATTTTACTGACCGACGTTTCATAGAAATACCGACAACTCGCTGACCACAAATTAGTCTGTTACCCATTAAATACTTGTAAAACTCAATTTGGGTGATTATGATCGGATACCACAACCACTTCTCCTGCTATTAACAGCTGCCGGCTTATGCAGCAATCTGACAATTCCAGTCGTCCATTTTTCTTTTCTTCTGCTCGAGCGCGTACGAATGAATTTCATAAAAAATCTATGAAACAGAAGAAAATTATGAAACATAAGAAACCTGAGAAACCTATGAAACCTAAGAAACCTAAGAAACCTAAGAAACCGGCGTAATTATTTAAAACATTTTTAACAGTTATTAATAAATAATTAATACTGTCAGAGACAATAACATAATCATGAAAATAATACGGCGTAGTAAATGGCAAAAAGTTACTTATATTTCAGTTATACCTGTCATAGTATTGCTTCCTTTTTATGAAGCCAACGAAGATTCTAGTTTTCGCGTAAATATCGCTAATGTGCGTTGAACTGGTCAGCAAATTGTCAGTCAGCAAGTTTTCGTCTTCTACAAGTTGTCGGTCAGCGAGTTGTCGAATGCCGACATTTCGCTGACCGACAAGTAAGCTGTCGATCAGCAAATTAATTTCAGCAAGATGTCGGTCAGCCAGTTTGTAAAAAAGCGAACTCTCGGTCAGCGATTTGTCGATCAGCAAGTTGTGATAGTCAGCAACAAGTCGGTCATCAAATTGTCGGTCAGCGAAATGAAGGTCATAGAGTTGTCGTGCTACCGAGAGTTTTTCTATTTCCCTACACAACTCAGCACGTTGAAACGAATGACAGCCAAGGGAACCATTTACCCGGGTTCGAGGTCCATGAATCCTGAAATATTTCAGAAAACTAACATATTTTGATCGCTGGCTTTCTTGCCCGAAGGGCTGCTGAGACATAGCTAGTGTTACGCACCGCGTCCGATCACTTCGGCCGCGTTACATTTCAGCCGCACAGGTTCACTTCGGCCAGCGTTCATTTCGGCCGTGGCTCACTTAGGCCAGCGCTAACTTCGGCCAGCGCTCAATTCGGAAACTGCACAATTAGGCCATATTACGATTATGTAGGGTTCATTAGGTTTCTTAAGTTTTTTAGGTTTTTCATAAGTTTCTTAGGTTTCTAAGGTTTAGTTTTTCTTAAGTTTTTTAGGTTTCTTCTTACGTCCATGAGATCTTCTCTTAGGTTTCTTAGTTTTCCTTAGGTTTTCTTATGTTTTCTTAGGTTTTCTTAGGTTTCTTCTGACGTCCCTGAGGTCTTCTTAGGCTTTTTAGATTTTTTAAAGCTTTCCTTGTTTCTTTCATGTTATTGTTAGGTGTTATCAAGTTTGTTAAGTTCAGTCTCGTCAGTTTGTTTTAGTTTTTAGTAAATTTTCTTGATTTCTCGTGATTTGTAGTTGTTATTTTATGATTTTCTTCGGATTTCTTAGGTGCCTTATGGTACCTCCTTAGGTTTTAGCGCTCGCTTTTGACGGTGTATGATCTACCTTTTAGCGGTTTGCAAGAGTATTCAGAAATGCGTTAAGGAGACATGGTGGTGAGAGTAAACCGTCAAAAATTTCTCACAAAATATTGAGTACAAAAAGAAATGAAAAAGAACAAAAATGTATGTAGAGCGAGAACTTTCACGATGCAGAATAAATGCTTATGTATTTCGGCCGCAATGCACTGGGCCGAAGTAAGCGAGGCGGAAATGAACGTAAACCGAAGTGAATGGCGGCCGAAAAACTTTGGCCGAAATGAACGTGGCCGAAATGGAAACGGCCGAAGTGATCGGGAGCCGTTACGCACCTATACAGCGCGGTCGCACTTTGCTGGCTTGCTTGATCATTTTAACGATAAGCGGATTGCAAAGGTGCATGCTAATGTTTTTGTAAATCAAGATTTACGTGGGAAGATGGCGTACTGGCGTTGCGGATGACGTTCTACTCAGCCAGTACGTGAGCATATCGCCACGACCTTTGATTTGTTGCAAGCCTCTAAGTTCAATAACGTAACCCTGATCGTCAAATTCATGCAACAGTGCAGCGGACGCGCAGCTGAGGTGGATCCGTCCCGGCAGTCCCTGGCTGCACATTCGCGATGCCACATTGATCGTGTCACCAAATCTGCAAAAACTCTATTCACTTTACGCTTTGCACACTTTCCACTTGCAGCTTTACGGACACGTACAAGCAATAACGTGGTCTCTTCACGCCGACGACACCAGCTGCACATGAACCTACAACACAATCGTTTTCTTCCAGACTAATAGGTCGCCCCTGCAAACAGATGATGCAACCTGAATGCAGTCCTTGCATTAGGTGTAGCTCCTCCGGCAGACTGAGCGATGGCAGCAACTGCAGAAGTAACAAGGAGAAATCGGCCAATCGCCGCACATGTTCCGAGCCGATGCGGTTCGGTAATCCACTGGCGACCTGCAGTTCAGGCACACCGAGTGTCTTTGCGTAAACCCACTGGTAAAGCGTCTATCTGCATGGCACCACTTGCCCGTGACCTTTTATGCTCGAACTCCGTGTGAGAAGCAAGAGCTTACTCTTACAGCAATACCAAATTAATAACAGGTGAACTTGATCCATTTTTCTCCGTTGAAGAACGAGGGCAAGGCAGTTTTGAACTTACCAACACAGAATCAGATACAGCCTCGACTTTGTACACATCGTACACGCCAGTCGCAACATCGACAAAATCTTCGATTTTGGAAATCACGGTGATTACTTGTTCTGGGGATGCATCACGCGTCAAACTGGTAAATCCATACAGCTGAGTAAAACTTATGGTCACGCAGTCAAACATTTCGGGCACGACGAGTCGTCCAGCACGCAAGGCATCCGCTATTTCCCTGTAACCATAATGCGGACTATACATTTGGTAATATAATGTCAGAAGTATGGAAATTATATACTTTGGTAAATATTGTCTGACTATAGCGTCACAGCGCCTACGAGCATCCCGCAACGATCTGGACCGCAAGATAACCTCCAGCTCCAGCTGATTGGAATACAAACACAATTGGCGGTAGATTTTATCAAACAGTTTATACTGATTCATTTCCGGGGCCAGCAGCGGCGAACACTCGCGCAGTTGGGAGCGCAGCTGCTTGATACTCAGCCGATCTTCGGGAAACGTGCTTAGACAGTTATGGATCACACTGGCCAGTTCGGCGATCTCCATAAAATCCACCGCAGCAATCAGTGGATTATCAAGGGTGTGCTCCATACTGACGACTGTCGATGTGCCTAGAATTATATGCGAGATAAAAATAAATCTGCAAAAGCCATGCGTTTACAGTTTACCGAGCATGTCCTGCATTTTGCGGTATAAAGATCCTGCGGTCAGGATGTCGTAGAGGATCAATCCCGAGGAGAATATATCAACAGCCTGCATGGAGCGGACAGCGCTGTCCCATTGGTCGACCGCGTCCAGTTTCGGGACCAACCAGAAGAGCGGTTCCCAGCTGCAATACGTCGGGCCAAGGCAATCCATGACGTTATCTACCGTTTCAAGCTGGCCGAGGATGCGGTCGGTGGCTACATGCATCAGCTTCAGCGTAAAATGCTTGTCAATCCAGCAGTTGAAAGTACTCAATCGGCCATGATAATGCAGCCGCGAATGATGTATAAAACTCAATCCCTGTTAAATTAAAACAACAGATCTTAAAATAAACTGCTTTAATTGAGGAACAAGATTTGCCGGAAGATGCATATAATTAAGACCTCAAGGAAGTCCATGACGAAGGAGCTGGTGAACGTGAAATCCCGGCCGATGGCACTGCAGCACAACTCAGGCAGGCTTCCACGTGGTGGACAGGCGAACACGACGAATACGTCACATCGGCCAGCGCCGCGCCTCTCAATGCTTAGTCCATAAAATTGTCCGATATTCGGGTGTTCGATTCGCCGCAACTGCAAAAATCGGTTTCGTCACTAGTTTGGAAAGGATTTCCCAGTCAGGAGAAACAGCTTAGCCAGCCTCTGATAAACTGGTCTTTATGCTCCAGTAACGGCAAAAGCCTTAGTGCTAATATTATCGGTCTTACTTTTCTAAATAGCTTAAGCAAACTGCAATTCTTGGAGATGTGTCCAAAACTCAGATCATCTTCCCCGCGTGCACACGGAAAGCATACCGCGGTTTTGCCTTGGTGCGTCACAAATCGCATCGTTGCCTCCTGTCGGAAAAACCGTTCACGATTGATTGCGGGAAAATGTAGACCATTAATTCAGGACAGTGTTTCAGATCGTCTCAGAGAAATTTTACCGCTTTAAAAGAACTCGATTTAGATCCATTGTATGGTTTGCCGGTTGCACTGAAAATCGACGAAGCATTGGAGCGAAATACCGATGCTGCTCTGAACGTGTCCAGGTCCAGTTGCCACCACGGATCGTGCAAGAGTTTTTCGTCATCTCGCCGCTTGTTATACCTGTGTTTTTGGTGCAAAAAGGTGAAATAGTCAATTTTATTAATTACCGGAGAATAACAAGAGTAATAAATAAAAATAATTATGTTAAGTAGCCCGTCTGTCTGTGCTTACCGCCAACAAAATGCACCAAAACCTCCTGTAGCTGCAATTATTCCCATTACAGTGATAATGATGATCCATACGTTAATGCCTAAAAACACTACGTTTGGTCATTATTTCGAAAACCTTGTCAGAAAGAACACTGAACGCGCATACTCTTTTTTAGACATTTAGTCTTTAGGTATCCGCATAATGGTTCATTCGGTGGGGGAAACGCTTGGCTGGAGCTGGCCCATTCCGCTAAATGTACGACGTCGTTCAAGTTATCTTCCATGCCGGTTTTGGTTAGCAGTGGCTGGAATTAATTAAGCCATCGCACTGGAGCGTTGAAGGTGACATAGGATGATACAGTATTTACGTATGTATATAGGAGACTCTTCGTACTGTACGAATGCCCAGTGGAGTGAAGTATGTGACGACAAAATCCGTGCGTCGTTGTCCCGTGCTGTCTACGTAGAGACTACCGTACTCATCCGTGTAGGTGTGATTGAGAAAGAGGCGCGCCAGATCTCTTCCATCCTGATAATCCATGGCGTCCACTTGTGACAGCGATTCATTGATTAGCTAAAAACGAAAGAACAAGGATTGACCGTGTTAAGCTTATTAATTCGGGTTTGACCGCACTAAAAACGGTTTGTGTTTACGAGTGCACATTTCTTGCATTATTGTGCTGTGCTGGCAGATGGCCTGGTGCCAACAGCACTTTGGGCTGTATAAAAACCGAGAGACACCGGGCGTTCAGTTCGGCCGGTGCGCTAGCAAGATGCGTTCTTCGAAATAAACTTCGCAGTAATTTTTCAATATTTTAAACATTCTTACTGGTTTTGTGATCAATCTCAATCACGTGTCACAGACACTGTACACACACCTGTAAAGGCTGCATCATGCGCAAACTGAATTTAAAATAAATAGTTTTAAGTACGCCCTTGTAAAGAGATTAACAAGGTGTAATTATGTGTTTAAAATACGGACAAATTCGAGGTATGCACAAATCTGACTTATGGTTAGTATTTTATATTATCAATCTAAAGATCCGTCCGGGCGGTGCGGTTTAGAAATCCGTTATCGTGAAATAACTATGTAGCTCCTGTTCTGGTGGGTGGTTATTACAGCAATCGTTAGGTGGGTCCGACGCGAGTAATCAAATCATGTGCAGCGTGCAGACTAACGACTCAGCAATAATGCGAAGACATTGTCTTTCTTACCGCGGCAGTAGCCACCACTGACCAGTAGCCGCTAATAAGGTTCGGAAAGTTCTGTGGAATATAGAAAACACGTTTACATGTTTCAAGACGTCAATCTTCACTTCATCTACGGCCGTCAATTATGGATGGGCAACATGACCTTGCTCGCAACACTTACCTGATCTGCGATGTTGTAGGTAAGGTTATAATCCCGTGCAGAGCGGCGTATGAATTCCATTCCCATCTGCACATTCGACGGTGCGTCAATGTTTTTTGGCTGAACCAGCAGCAGTGACTGGTACGCACGAAAGGCGACCTACAATCTTGCACACAAGCACCATCAAGGCAAAATGTCCATGCTTATTGTAAAAAGCATCACCTGGTCATTATCATCGTTGTACTGCCAGTTGAAATCACCCAGGATCGGTTTATTATGCATGGTTTCCAAAGCCATGTACACCTATAAATATGTGGCACGTATTAAGGTATCATACTAACAGATATCATTGATATATTAATAGGTATCATAGGTATATATTCATTAACAGATATCATAGATATATTTTGAAGTACTCTGTATTAAAAGAACGTATTATAATATCGTAATTATTTCCTTACATATTCCCCATTCGTCATGCCCACTCTTTCTGCGGTGACCTGAAAAAAGGGAAAACAGCACAAAACTTTCTGCAGTAGCAACGATTCTATACAGTAATTTAGTCAAAACATTTGCTGAAAATACCATAAGTTCCCGTAGAAATACGGCGTGCCCGAAGAATAAAACAACTACATATAAAACAAGATGTCAACAAAACTGGTAATCGAGCCATACAGATGTTACACGTGCGGACACCACACACCGCGACTAACTGCAGCAACATCCCTTAAAATGGATTCGAAGCCCCCGTAAGCTACACTGGGGCTTTTGGTCGTTATCCTTTGCACAAAATACTGGATACGCGAGTATCTGGCCAGCTCCTTCAGTAGCAGCCCCGCGACAACCCCGAAAACGCTTGGTTCTTTGGGATCAACAATCAGGTACACCGTTGTCCAGCGAAACTTGTGCATAATGTCGATATACAGTTGCGCACACTGGGCAGTGGAGAAGTCGTTGACCGCGATCCATGTGGGGTTCCTCACGCGGTCACTGATCTGCGAGCCGACCGCCAGTCTGTAAAAACATCCTGAGATTATCGGAATCGGGAAGACTGTGCGAGGGGCTCAACTGCGTACGATGAAATCCATAAGGTGTTCCACTCTCTCATATACTGCGGGATTTCTGTGGCGTCAACTCCGCCTAAAAGGTTCGCATTATAACATAACAGAAGACGATATTTGTTAAGAATACTATCCACAAAAAAACTAATATTCTACAAAAAAACAAATATTCTAATATTCTACAAAAAAACATGGTTTGATTGAATATGAATCCAGAAAATGTACCAAGGCTCGTTTAAACACAAGTTGTGCAAAAGATGTTGTAGGTGAATCATTTTTAATAATGCACATTATGTGATTGGCCATACTTTACCGGAAATGAGGTAAATGGTAGTTTCACTGTCCCTTCGCTTGGTGTAATGCCATTCAGTTGCCAGTTGCACAGCGTTATCGGCCAGCTCTGGCGGTGTCTGGCCGGGGCGCACCGGTGCATACAAGATATTTAACGTAAAGTGCATGGTACCGCCGTATTTTTCCTGCACGTATTCCGTGCCAACCGACAGCGGTGGGCCATTAAACGGCAGAGTCCCGTACGTCGTCTTTGGTGCTATCCGTCCAATGGCCACAAAACTAACGTTTAGAACCGAGATAACATTCCTGATACAAAATATCAGTAGAATCCAGACGAGAATATCAGATTGTATGCGAGTCACCATGACTTGGTTTGAATATGGCACTTTTCCGGTGAATGTGTGCCGTTAAGACACCGGCACACGTCTCCAAAACACAGTGCAGATTGTACACTTTACAAGGCATACACGGTCCATTGCGTTAAAAGTAGGCTTAACCAAAGGACTCCATTAATCAACAAAATTAATCTAATCAGATTGCTGTCGGGCAAAGCGCTCTATTCTGGTCTTTTAGTGTAATCCTTGCTGCTGTGGAGCTGTCAACAAAAGTCAGGTGCGATTACTCAGCTTCCGTTTCTGAACCACTCATCTGATGACATCCGTGAATTAAAGATAATTAAGTTTGAGAATTATCTGCGTTAACAGAGCGGCTAGCAACCGACGGGTAGGTGGGCTGGTACTTACTTACACCTGAGCTTGCGTTATTCCGACTGAATCCGCTGTGGATTAATGCGCTTAAAAAATCAGCTGTTATACAAAGTATCATGGTGCTTCGCATTACGTATACTTACTTATCGATCGAACATTATGGTTACGTAATTTTGCCACCAGCCGCCCAGTGATCTTTACAGACGAATAAAACGATAAGACAACGATTCTGCTGTTTTGCACGCGATTGAATGTAAGGGGTAAAACTATCTTAGTCGCACCAGTTCACGTCACTGCGGCCGTCACCCGGCTGGAATGTGACGTTATGGCAGTACATATGGTTAAAACCGGCGCGGTGCATAAGCGCCCTGTTTAGCCACAACGTCCCACTCCGGCCGAGCGACGGCAGCCGAACAGGGAAATGTTTTGAGTAAAGCTGTTTTCCCCTTACGTATATACAGCAGTCGTCGGAATTACGTAAAAATCTTGCTTTTAGCAAAAGATCATTTTAAAACTTGACGGGATTACATCATAATCTTGTCCTTGCTCTGTAATCTCCAGGTACTTCATTTTGTTCAAGCTTCTAGCTTATTTATACCAATACCTGCCGCAAAACTACAAATTCGAAAGACTACCCTGGCGATGAGGCTGAAGGATTTGTTTAACAAAGTTGCAGGAAGCGGAAACGAGTTGTTTGGCTGTGGTTTTGTTAAGACTTATCTGTCCTTGTTGAGATCTAAAAATTACCTGCGGTATCTTATTTTTGTTTTGTTCAAGCAGTGTGCCGACCGGACTTGTGAGTGCCTCAAGAATTTGTCTGCTCAGTGAATAAATTAAATATCTTGCACTACTCTGATGTTGGTCTAGTGAAAACTTCGAAGGTGATGACATTAATCATAACCTTTAATTCTCAAGCTCAGAGAAGTTACCATCGCAGACCATAACTATCTGTAGACAGGCTAGGCTGTATCCGATTTTTCCTTTAACTGCACTGCTATGAGCATAACGTTTTACTGAGCCAGTACGTGGTCATATCACCGCGACCTTTGATCTGTACTAAACCTCTAAGTTCAATAACATAGCCCTGATCGTCATATTCCTGCAAAAGTGCGGCTGAAGCGCAGCTGAGGTGGATCCGCCCCGGCAGCCCTTGGCTGCACATTCGCGATGCCACATTGATCGTGTCACCAAACCTGTATAAGGCGCTCAGGTCATGTTACCGCTTTGCACACTTTTAACGGTTGCGAGTCTTGCGACTTTACGGAGACGTACAAGCAGTAACGAGGTCTCTTCATTCCGATGACTCCGGCTGCACATGGCCCTACCACATAATCGCTATCGGCCTGTTTTACAACACGAAACTTCCCGTCTAACCTGAATGCAGTCCAAGCATAAGGCGCAACTCGTCCGGAAAACCGAGCGACGGCTGCAACTGCAACAAGAGCAAGGCGAAATCGGCCATTCGACTGATATGTTCCGAGCCGATTGGGATTGGCAGTCCACTGGCAACCTGTAATTCAGCCGAATCAAGCATATCTAGAGACTAGCATGTACTGCGCTAAAATTCCTTATTTAATATATATCTATAAATGCGATGAAGATTGAGTTGGGCTAAACGTAAAGATATATTGTTTGCGCGTACCAAGACCGAATCAGAAACAGCCTCGACTTTGTACACATCGCACTCGTCAATCGGGATCTCCATGGAATCTTCCATCTTAGAAATGACGGCAATTAAATGTTCAGGAGATGCATCGCGCATAAAACCGGCGAATCCGTGCAGCTGAGTAAAACTGATGGTCACACAGTCAAAGATCTCGGGCGCGACGAACTTTCCAGCTCGTAAAGTGTCCACGATTTCTCTGTTATAGCGACAGCATATATACGCAACCCATGTTTTAAGGCAGCACCACCAATATGTTATACTTTGGTAAAAACTGCCTGACCAGGGCATCACAGCGCCGGCGAGCATCCTGCAGCGCTTTGGTCCGCAGGATCACATCCAGCTCCAGCTGATTGGAATACAGACACAGTTGCCGGTATATTTTATCGAAAAGTTTATACTGATTCATTTCCGGCGCTAGCAGCGGCGACAACTCGCGTAGTTGCGAGCGCAGCTGCTTGATACTCGGCCGATCTTCAGGAAGTGCGCTTAAGCACGTATGAATGACACTGGCCAGTTCGGCGATCTCCATGAAATCCACCGCGGCAATGAGTGGATTATCGAAAGCAAACTCCATATCGACGACAGTTGATATGCCTAAGATTTATAAACTGTAAGAATATAAGTTGAAAAATCTGCAATCGGTTGCAGGTACCGAACTTGTCCTGCATTTTCCGGTATAACGATCCGGCTGTCAGAATATCGTAGAGAATCAGTCCCGAGGAGAATATATCGACAGCCTGCATGGACGTGACGGCGCTGTCTGATTGGTCGATTTCGTCCAATTCCGGGACCAACCAGAATAACGGTTCCCAGCTGCAATGCGTCGGGCCAAAGCAGTCTGTGACGTTATCCACACTTTCCAGCTGACTGCAGATCCTGTCGCTGGCTATGTTCATCAGCTTCAGCGTGAAATGCTTGTCGATCCAGCAGTTAAACGTACTCAATCGACCGTGATAACGCAGCCGCGAATGATGGACGTAATTTAATCCCTGTATAATTAGACAAAACCCATGTGAAATTGTAATAAGAAAATATTTCCCAAGATTACCACCTCAAGGAAGTCCATGACGAAGGAACTGGTGAACGTGAAATCCCTGCCGATGGCGCTGCAGCACACCTGCGGTAGGCTGCCACGTGATGGGCAGCCGAACAACACGAAAACGTTACACCACCCAGCACCGCTTCTGGCGATGCTTAATCCATAAAACTGCCCGATATTCTGGTGTTCGATTCCTCGCAACTATAAAAAAGCAGTCTCGATATAACTTTTCACGCTTTTTGAAGGTCTGTTTTTGTTATACCTTTTTAACAATATGATTCTGCTTACTTTTTTAAACAGCTTGAGTAAATTGTAGATCTTGAAGATGTCTTTAAAATTCAGTGCCGGTTCTCCGCGTCCACACGGAAAACATACCGCGGGTTTGCCCTTCAGCGAAACGAATCGCATCGTTGTCTCCTTTTACGAAAACCGTATAATGAGCAATGTCGGGAATTCACCACATTAGCTGAATTATCACAAAGAAGCTTTTACCGCTCCTAAGGAAATCGAGCCATTGTACGGCTGTGCGGTTGGTGCAGTAAACATCGAGGAAGCATTGGCTGCTTTCAGATCGTCTATGTCCACTTGCCACCAAGGATCGTGCAGAAGTTGTTCGCCATCTTTCAATTTTTTGTACCTGCATTTTGTTCAGACTTTGAGTCAGTCGATCTCGAAGTTCCCAAAAAAATACCTAGCTTTCGCTACTTTAATGTGAAAATTAATTTTGTCGCAGTGGGGCTTACCGCCAATAAAATACACCGAAAATTCCTGCGACGACGGATATTCCCAGTACGGTAAAGAGGCTAATCCACAATGATGTGTTGGTATCTAAAACAATAAGGACTTTATTTCGTAAACCCTCTCAAAAAGAATGTTGGGCGCACATACTCTTCGATAAACATTTATTGTTCAAGTATCCGCACTGCGGTTCATTCGGTGGAGGAAATGCTTTTCTGGAGTTGGTCCACTCCGTTAAATTTATGGCCTCGTTCAGCATGTCCTCTGTGCCGATCTTAACTAGCAGTGGCTAAAATTAAAGCGTCTAATTTGAGGACTGATTTCTTGATTACTGTAGCGAATCCTGCGCACTGTACGAATTCCCAGTGTCGTGAAGTATGTGACAACAAAATCCGTGCGTCGTTGTCCAGTGCTGTCCACGTAGAGACTCCCGTACTGGTCATCATAGGTGTGATTGAGGAAGAGGCGCGCCAGGGCCCTACCGTTCTGGAAATCTGTACGATCCGTTCGAGAAAGCGATTCATTGATGAGCTAATGAAAAATCCAAGATGTACATAATGTTTAGCTTCGCTTCTCTTGTTGTTTTCGTACTGAGGCGGTGGCCACAACTGCCCAGTAACTGCTGACAAGGTTTGGGAAGTTCTGGGGAAAGAAATCCACCTCAACTTAAGATACAAGTATCTTCTTTACAACAAGGAAATAGATTTCGCACTCTGAGGTAACACGTACCTGATCTGAAATGTTGTAGGTGAGGTTGTAATCTCGTGCGGAGCGGCGAATAAACTCCATTCCCAGCTGCATATTGGGTGGCGTATCGATGTTTTTTGGTTGCAGGAGCAGCAGCGATTGGTACGCACGAAATGCAATCTGGAATATTGCAGAGACGGTCAAGGCACAACAATTCATGACTACCGTTAAAGTCAGCACCTGGTCGTTGTCGTCGTTGTAATGCCAGTTGAAATCGCCGATGATCGGTTTATTGCGCATAGTTTCCAGAGCAATGTAAACCTAATATTAGCATATTAATACTACCTGTTTTTTAAACAGCGAATATCTATGCAAATACAACGGGGAACCGCGATTTGTGTAATGGATACGATCCCCGATCAGGATAGCATAGAGGAAGTGTTTCTTTTGTAAATGCCGTTTTGTTCTGGTGCATAGTTTGTACTCGTACCATGATACTTATTAAAGGTTAATATACGGAAAAAAAAATATTGGCGTCGCACACTGCTTATCTTTTAAATAGCTTGGTCAAACGCTGCGCTTGTTCTTTTACTTACGTATTCTCCATTCGTCATGCCTAACCATTCTGCCGTAATCTGAAATAAAGACACTGACGGCACCACACAGCCAAGATTTTATTTAGTTGTTAGCGAAAGCGGTTTTGAAATTAGATTACCAGAAGCTCCCGTAGAAAGAAGGCGTGGCCGAAGAATAAAACCACTACAGCGAAAAATAGCGCCAGTAATTTGGATACTTGAACTCCGACGGATTTAACGGGCACTACGCACCACGACTAACTGCAGCAACGTCCCTTAAAACCGATTCAAAGTTTCCGTACGCTACACCGGCGCCTTTTGTCGATATGCGCCGCGCAGTGTACCGGATACTCGGCTGCCTGGCCAGCTCCTTCGAAAGCATCCCTGAGATAGCTCCAAAAACGCTGGGGTCTCCCGGATCAGTAATCAGGTACACCGTGGTCCAACGATACTTCGTCAAAATGTCGATGTACAGATGCGCACATTGGGAGGTGGAGAAGTCGTTGACAGCGATCCATGTGGGGTTCATAATGCGGTCACTGATTTGCGAAGTGACCGAAAGCCTGGAAAATATGTATATCATTATGTTCTTGTATCTGATTACAGTTCTGTACTCGTAATTGAGATGAGCCTGAGGATAGTGGCTCAATTTACGTTGAAATCCAGAGGGTGTTCCAAAGTCGCATAAAATGCGGGATTTCCGTGCTTACTTCAGCCCCGCCTACAACGTTGAAACAAAACACTGTCTTTACGATAGGCGCACAATACTCTCTCTCTCTTCCATGGTGAAGTACTCTAGGGTAGGAATATTCCCACCGTTAGTGCTATTCGATTATGCTAGTTCAACTGTCAGGAAGTGTGCTCTTGCTGGCACTTTTTCTCATTTTGATGGCTGTTGGCTAATGCAGTTGTCCTGTTTGTTAGCAAAAATTAAACGATAAAAGAAAATTCGCTATTCAGTATATTTTGATCCAGTTAAAATTTTCAGTTAAAATTTTGATCCAGTTAAAATTTTGATCCAGTTAAAACCTTTTTACAGATACACCGTTTATCGTATACACAGTAGACAGCATAATATCCTCTTTTTTTTAGTCTGGAATGGAAATGGTTTCTGATTTAGAAACAAATTATACAGTAATATTGTACATAAAGTGTCTTATTTGCGAATAAAGTAGCCCTGTGTAGTGTATACCGGAAAAAAGGTAGATGGTAATGTCGCTCTCCTTCCGTTTAGTATAATGCCATTCAGCCGCCAATCGTACAGCATTCTCAGCCAGTTCCGGCGGTGCTTGGCCGAGACGCAGCGGTTCGTACAGGATGTTCAAAGTAAAGTTCATGGTGCCGGCGTATTTCTGCTGAACATATTCGATGCCAACCGACAACGGTGGACCAACGTACGGCAAATTCCCGTACGTAGTCAACGGCGCTATGCGTCCAATGGCCACAAAACTGATATTCAGGATGGAAATTACCGGACCCGTACGGAATATGACAAGGAACCACATTGAGATTAGACGGAACATTTTTTTCAGATTACCCACAATTTGACCGGTTCGGTAACAGTACTGTGCTGGTAGGAAATGTGTGCTGTCAAGGAGGAACGGCACACGTTTTTCCCCAACACGGTGCATATTGTTGTGCCCCTAGGGCAAGTGCTTTTCATCTTCAGGTGTGGTCATAACCAAAGAGCTGATTAATCAAGCAAATGAAGCCGAGTGCCGTCGGCCGTGGTGCACTGCGAGAACCTTGGAGTTTTATACTTTCTTCCGTGGAACTGTCAATGAAAACAGATGCGGGAGCAAAGACTTCGTTTCCGGGGCATTTATTTGATGACATCTGCGAAGGACGATGTATTACGTAAATTATTACGGTTATTAAATTAAGAAAACCATAACAGACATCAGGAAACTTGCAGTGCTATGCATGTTCCGGTTGCATGTGCCATCTGCGGTTGCGTAATGCGCGTTAATTAAATTAAAAATGTTCATAGACACGTATGTTGTCATCTGACTGCGGATAACGTACCTATCAAGTGTCATTTTTGATTGGATGACCGGATGATCTCTAGACGCAGGGTATTTATCACGTGCCTGTGTAAATTGATAAAGCACCGTTTCTGTCCGTTTATCTGGAACAACGGGCCACATTAGTAAGCAGACAGGACGTTTCCGGCTCATTTCAAGCCGACAGTATTGTACAAGCCCGGTGAATAATTCATGGGCATGCAGATTCATGGGGTACGCTGTTACGCTTAAATGCGTAGGGTCGGTTAAATACAGGAGGTAGCGCAGTAAAAACAGAAGCTTGGTTACAGTTTATTAGGCATTTCCGGGAGCGGTAACCCCATTTAACTAAGAGAGCGATCCACACTTTGAAACACTGGATAACTTCCGCATTGTACGAACACTGGGACGCTGATCCAGCAATGACGACAAGCAGCATACACTCCCATTAAGAGCTCATTAAGCAACTATTAAACAACACTTACTATAAAATATTCACGCGCACTTATTCATTCACGCGCACACATTACTATAAAATATTCATTAAGATGGCTTATTCCGCATTGACAGTTCGTGTGATATCAGCATTATGGGAATCAAACAGCTTCCGTATGGTGCGTCACATTACGCTGAGCTCCCTGCAACGCCACACTGTTTACACGTTACGTGCTTTTGGCAAGGCTTTTTTGGCAAGATACATGTCGAATATTCAGGGACATTCGTGTGGCTATGTAAGAATAATCGCAATTGCCTGGAGTATGGTAGCAGGACAAAAGTCGCAGCAGTACGGGAACATACGTATAACTGCGGAGAGCAGTTTTGGGGTAATGATCATCCTTTCAAGGCAAGTACAAAGTATGGTACTAAACTTGAGTACATGTGAAAATTTTCGTTTTCGAGCATACGCAAACACGATTTTGCATTACTCTGTAGCAGTCTATAGTCAAATGATTTGTATACATAAGTACAGTACAGCACGTTGTCATGAAACCGTTTGTGCGCGCAACATCCGCTTGGAGGGTGATGGGGAAGAAATTCGAGAAGTTTAAATGAAAGGACGTGTTCCAAAAGACTCATTATCAAAACTTCTCTCCACATTCTGCATGAAAACGCACATTACCATAAAGATCTGAGAATAATAATTAAAAAATTATTAATAATTTTAATATTAATTTTAAATAATTTTTAAAATATTTTGAATTAGTTTTTAAGTTTCAGAAAGATGGTGGAGACCTAGTTCGATGTAAAAACGATCTTCATGCTGCTGTGCGTTTCTTTGCAAAATCTCAAGGAAGGTCGCTTGATAATGAGACGCTTATTTGACCGCCATGTGATAGACTTTTGGAATTATATTTTAGCCATAACTCCCCAACCGGATTTTGGGCGTACAAACGGTTTTCACGCCAATGCATACAAATGATTTGACTGCAGAATGCAAAAAAGGGTTTGGAAGGGCGCGAAAGCGAAAGTTTTCGTAGGAGCGTACAAATTTGGTACTACAGCTACTGTAGCACATACTGGAGTACAGTATGTACCGGCAATCTTCCCTTAAGCGCTAACATCGCCCTACCTGTACGGTTGTACCTTATATGCAGAAAATCATTCACCGGGCTTGTATACTCACATTAAGTACAGTACAGATACCCAAGAAGAAGGCCGCAGAGGACTAACTTTTAGCACGAGATCCTTCGAAATTGGTTAGCATACTCTGTCCAACAGACGTCAAAATCTGTTCAGTGCGCTGGCCGTATGTGTGTCAACAAAATTCTGTGCTGGTAAGATACACAAATCCGGCATTTTATTAAAATAAGCCAGTGCAGGGACATATCCAGTATGAAGAACATAGAAGACCAACGTAGCTGAAAAGCGGTTGCACATTGCGGCAGGCACCGGAAATTTGTTGTTTGTGAAATCAATCTCGTGTGACCTGCCGGACGAGCGACGACAATTACAGCGTCGTGCGCTTATACTCGTTACAAGCATCCGTTTTCACAGGGTCCTGTGCGGCTTCCTCCCGCGCCGTTGTCGGCGTAAATAAACGTGATTATAGCACTCGTAACACGGCGGTATAATAAAATTTGTACCGCTACAGTTTACTGCACTATAACTGCAGTGCCGTTATACAGGAGATAGCCGCATGATGCAGTAACCTGGATCAGAAGTACGTCGTTATCTGCCTACCGCTCCTGTAATTATCATAGAAATGGATCGTCTGTGCAGCCAGTATCACAGCGGGAGCCTATAGCACGTGCGGTCATTATCCACAAATGCTCAGAAATCAAGAAATGCAGCCGCTGTCTCATTCGTACGTGCATCTTGTTGCGTCTTAACAGTGGTCCACGGAAACCCTTGTCCGACAACGTCAGCCGGTTTTCCTGTTTTGCGACCTTTCCTATTTATGATGTTTAATAACCGCGTAATTTATGGGCGCTCAGCACTTTGTGCAGTGAACCTTCGCTGTACTGCAATTTTTGAAGGGAAGAAAATGGTTTTACTTTTGTCTAATGAGCACATCGTACAAGCATCATATAATACAATCAGCGTGACATTAATATAAAAATATTATATAATATTGGTCTACTGTTTTTCTTCAGCTACTCGTAGAAGTTAGGTACTAAATAACGACGCGCTGATGAAACACTAGATGAACAAACGAACTCGTTGGATTTTGCAGTCACTCCGTATGAAAAAATCTTGATTGCAATCCAAATTACGTCATATCCCAAACCCCGCTGTACGCCATATATTAAGGAGCTAATGGCAAATAATTATTCCAACACGTATTTGTTGAGCATTGAAGTGCTATATTTTTGATACCGCCATAACAGCAACCATGGGTGCCTTTATTTTTGTTTTTCCACTCTTTGGTGTTTTCCACGGTACGGCGCAAGGCACCAGCTATCCGCGAAAACCTGTGAAAGAGTGCCAACCGGACGGCACCATCATCGCCAAAAATTCCGACGACCGCTGCGGCGACTGTAGCCGCGGTACACCATACTGCGGCCCCAGTCGGTGCATTATCCTCGTGTGAAACTGCGATGGCGGCTGTCGTACCGGCCGGTAACGGAGATCGCGACGAGCGGAAGGAACGCGAGGTCCCCAATGGGGCGTGGGTGGATCACGCGCGTGGGTGGATCACGTGCGTGTGCTGCAAGGGATGGACCTCGATCACGATGGCCAACCTTTACAAAACTGTGGGGATGGTTTGCGCAGAAAGGACATTGCTTGAAGAGCGTGCTGACCCGGTTCGCTGAATTGGACGTGGATGGCGATTGGCGATGGCGGTATCCGTTGGCGTGCGAGATGGACTGATTTCACTGACCCTGAACAATTTTCATGCTGTGGATATACTCTGCCGCTTTCTTTATGGGTTTTTTTAAATTATTTTATTACACTGTATATCTGCGCTATTTTTTTACGTTGGCCATATCCAGACCGCCGTTCGATGTGACAGTTTTAATGGAAGAAATCGAAATAAATACCCTTGGCATCGAACTCACTACAGGGTATCTCAAGGGCTAGTTAACTACACTAATTCAGATCGCGTGCGGTAATTCTGTAGGTTGAGTTTCTTCCACTTTTCAAAATAGGCAAATAAAATGACGCTTTCAAAGCCACTTGCAACTGATGCTTGCTGAGCATGAAACCTGACTGAACTTTGTGATGACAACGCGCGAAGACATCCAGTCAACGCGTGGGCAGCATTCTTAATGCCGATTGTTGTGTGCCACCTACCGTCCTCAGGGTGTTTGATACCGTCGCGAAGACATGGGTAGGAAAATCGCAATACATATTTATTACACGGCAGCAACAAACTGTACTTAAACCCGTACAACAATTGAGTGCTCATAAATCCGGCGCAAATTCTATTACAAAGTCAGGAGTTACGGCCACTTCGATGCTGCGGCCCGTCACATGCATTTGGCAATAGCAGGTGCACACTAATTATTGATAGCACGAGTGTATCATCAAAATGATCAAATGTAAAGCCTGTTGTAAGGGTAGCTGGACGAAAGTCGGTGCAATAATTTTAAGCCGAACATACAGTACAGGCACGATAAGAACTAACCGTTGCATGCGTGAGTAGGTACCGTGTTCTTTCATTTTGTACGCAGCACGTGAAAAACATCCAGCGGGTTGCTCCAAATGTCACTGTGCGGTAGGTAGTCAAATTACAGACGATATGCGGGAGAATGCTGTGCGCACTGCGACCATAATTGTCGGGCCATTGTCGGGCCCGCGCTCAAGCTTTGACTCAGACTCTGACCGCTCAAACTCTGACTCTGACTACTCAAAGTCTGACTCTGACGGTACAAAGTCTCACTCTGACCTAAGAATCCTAAGAAATAAAAAGAAACCTAAGAAACCTAAGAAAAACCTTAAGAAACCTAAGAAACCAACAAAACCTAAGAAACCTAAAAAAACCTAAGAAAGCTAAGAAAACCTAAGAAACCTTCACAATCAGAGTCAGACTTTGAGCGGTCAGAGTCAGAGTTTGAGTAGTCAGAGTCAGAGTTTGAGTCTGGGCCTAATTGTCGTAGTGGCCAGTTGTAGCGCGCATTATATGACAGCGAATTTATGTAGTGTTTACTTTTCTGCCCCTCCGTAATTCTGCATGGCTTAATTAATTATCAGAAATCTGGAATACTTAATCTGTTGCATTAATCACGATGTCGTCAAATAAGTGGACCAGTAACGGAATATAATACGTCGCACCTCTCTATTTCGGCTATCACTCAAAGATCAGGCCAGAACGGCGATGCCGACGTCACTCATCTTAATTTCATTTTCTTGATGACCAAGCTTTTTGGTGGCAAGTACCTCTCAACGAGATGAAAAGCGCAATATTATGCCTTGGGAGTGCACTATGCAGTACAGAGATATTACACTGTTGGCTCATTTGCGGTGGAAATCGTGGGCCGCTTGTCTTACCGGCACCCGTTTCCCACCAACAATCCTAAACACCTTGTAGAATCTTTCTCAAAAAAATGGTCCATCTGGTGCCCGTATGCTTCCTTCTGATATCGTGTACTGGTTCTGTCATCTCCATCCTAAACATTAGTTTTGTGGCCATTGGGCGCATAGCACCGTTGACAACGTACGGGACATTGCCATACATTATTCCCGCGTTGTCGGTTGGAATCGAATATGTTCAGCAGAAATACGCCGATACATTGCACTGTACGTTAAACATCTCGTACGCACCGCTGCGTCCTGGCCACCCCCCGCCAGAACTAGCCGATACCGCTGTACAACTGGCAGCAGAGTGGCATTACACCAAGCGAAAGGAAGGAGACATCACGATTTACCTCATTTCCGGTAATGCGTATAGATTGGCCCAATTTTGCAATACACAGTTCGCTATTCGTTTGGTTTGTACGCGAAGTGCATAGGTTTCTTAACAAATCTGTAAATTACACTTTTTCGAAAATCAATTTTCTAAAGGTGATATGCAAGCAAAAACGCGACAAAACGTTTCATATTAATGTAGGTGAGATCTCTTGAAAAGATCTTGCAGAACACAAAACGAAATAATTGCACATGCGACCTAGTGCTAAAAAGAAAAATGAAAAATTATTGTACGTACTGGATTTGATTGCGCAAATTCATATTTTTAAGAGCCAGTTGAGCTATGGGTTTCTTAATAAAGTTTATCAGGAAATAATGTCGATAAATAAACCAGAGCACTTTTTTCTTCCTGAGAAATTGTTATCTGAGTAAGATTGTTAGTTTACTTCAGTTTAGTTGATTTATTGAACAGACAAAACATAAACGTTGTGAACTTTATATAGGCGGGGTGGATGCCACCGAAATCCCGCATTTTATGCGCCAGTGGAATACCTTATGGATTTCAGCGTAATTACATTACCTTCCAGCCCCCTTCCCCGATTTATATAACAAGAATCCGGAATACTTTACAGATTGTCGGTCAGCTCGCAGATTAGTGACCGTGTAATGAATCCCACATGGATCGCCGTCAACGATTTCTCCACCGCCCAGTGCGCGCACTTGTACATTGAAATACTGACCAAGTTTCGCTGGACAACCATATACATGGTTATCGATCCGGGAGATCCTATCGTTTTCGGGTTTATCGCAACAATGTTGTTGAAGGAGCTGGCCAAACAATCCACTTTCCGTTACTATGTGCAGCGCATATCGACCAAAGGTGCCCGTGTAGCTTACGGGGGCTTTGAGTCGGTTTTAAAGGACGTCGCTGCAGTTAGCCGTGGTACGATGGTATTTCAATGCCTGACTTTGAAATCACTGACCATGCAGTAGCATTCTATTAACGACATTATTTCGTCTGTAGTTGTTTTATTCTTCGGACATGCCGTATTTCTACGGGAGCTTTTGGTAATCCGCCGTTTGAAAACCTTTAACTACATTTACTCTGTGTAATCTTCGCAGTCAGTAGAAAGTTGTGTGATGCATTCACTGTTCGTTTGTTTTCAGATTACGGCGGAAAGAATGGGCATGACGAATGGTGAATACGTAAGCCATACGGGTCTGCTCACAAATCTTCCCAAAGAGTTGATAGATTTATGTCGCACATTAGGTATACATGGGTCTGGAAACTATGCGTAATAAACCGCTCATCGGTGATTTCAACTGGCAATACCACGACGATAACGACCAGGTTTTGACCTTTGCAGCAGCCATAAGTATTGTACCTTGACCGCCTATCCATGATTCTAGGTCGCCTTTCGTGCGTACCAGTCGCTGCTATTAATTCAGCCACAAAACATCGATACGCCACCCAATATGCAGATGGGAATGGAATTTATTCGCCGCTCCACACGGGATTATAATCTCACCTATAACATTTCCGATCAGGCATGGTTACGCAACTGCATTCAAGTTCCTGTCTAAATACACTTAATTCATTACGATAACAATAGTCGTGCGAATAGCGTCTTTGGACATCATATTCATATTGTGCTGTTTTCTGTTCCACAGAACTTTCCGAACCTGGTTAGTAGCTACTGGGCAGTTGTGGCTACCGCATCGGTAAAAAAAGATTATGTAAGAGATTGTAAAACGTTGTGGACGTCTTGAATTTTTTCTTAGCTCATCAATGAATCGCTGTCTCGAGTAGATGGTATCGATTATCAAGATGGAAAAGCTCTGGCGCGCCTCTTTCTCAATCACACCTACACGGATGAGTACGGCAGTCTGTATGTGGACAGCACGGGACAACGACGCACGGATTTTGTCGTTACATATTTCACTGGACTGGGAATTCGTACAGTACGTAGTGCTGGCTATCCATAAAGAAATGTTACCAATTGGTGTCTAAATTTGGTAGCCTAATTTTAGCCGCTGCTATCTAAGATCGGCGTAGATGAAACGTTGCACGAGGTCACGCACTTAACGGAATGGGGCTATGGAAAAGTATTTCCTCCGCCGAATGAACCGTTGTGCGGATATCTAAAGAATAAATGTTTGGCGAAAAGTACGCGCCTTTGGCAATCTTCTTCTCAAAGTTAAACGAAATAATTGCCGCCGGGTTGTAGGTAACAACGGATCCATATGGATTATCGTTTTTACTTTACTGGGGATATTCATCGTTGCAGGCATTTTGGGTGTATTTTACTGGCGGTAAGTTTCTGATCCAAATTAGCGTTATACCAATTTTAATTAAAGTCAAAAAAGATTTTATAACATGTGCTCTTGAAAATTTCGATTGACGTTTTGTGATGAATCACAATACAGGTATAAAAAGTTGAAAGATGCTGACAACCTTTTGCACGACCTTTGGTGGCAGCTGGACGTGGACGATATGAAAGCAGCATCGTTTTTTCGCTCCAACGCTTCGTCACTATTTACAGCACTCGGCAAACCGGACGATGAATCTGTTTCAGCTTCTTTTAAAGCGGTAAAGTCTGATTTAGACCAAATAAAAATAACGTCCCAGATTAACGATGTAAAGTTAATTCAAACATTTTTTCCCGACAGGAGAGAATGATGCGATTTGTTTCGCTTCTTGACAAAGCTGCGGTGTGCTTTCCGTGTGCACGCGGCGAAGGGTCACTGGATTTTACGGACATCAGCAGGAATTTTAATCTACTGAAACTGTTCAAAAATGTAAGGAGTTTACATATTTCTGAAAAAGTGGTTCGATTGGGTTCCGAGTAAAGCGTAAATACCGACAAAAAATCATTTGCACAGTTGCGAGGAATCGAACACCAGAACATGGGGCAATTTTACGGATTAAGCATTGACAGAAGCGGTGCTGGCCGGCGTGACGTATTCGTGGTGTTCGGCCATCCATCACGTGGCAGCCTGCCTCAGCTATACAGCAGCACCATAGGCAAGGATTTCACTTTCACTAGCTCCTTCGTGATGGATTGCCTTGAGGTATTAATGTATTAAATCCAGCATTCTCCAACAAATCTTGTTCCGCAATTAAAGCAGCGGGTTTTCTAATTTATTGCTACAATTCAACAGGGATTGAATTTCGTCCATCATTCGCGGCTGCGTTATCACGGTCGATTGAGTACGTTTAACTGCTGGATCGACAAGCATTTTACGCTGAAGCTGATGCACGTAGCCAGCGACCGAATTCTCGGTCAGCTGGAAACTGTGGATAACGTTGTGGACTGCCTCGGTCCGACGTATTGCAACTGGGAACCGCTCTTCTGGTTGGTCCCGGAATTGGACGAAATCGACCAATCAGACAGCGCCGTCACGTCCATGCAGGCCGTCGATATATTCTCCTCGGGACTGATACTCTACGATATCCTAACAGGAGGATCGTTACACCGCAAAATGCAGGACATGTTTGGTAGCTGAAATAAAAAGGACTACTGCTGCGGAGTTCGCCATATTTCTTTTATTTTTAGGCAGATCGGCCTTTGTCACCGTGGACAACGCTCGCCACAATCCACTGGTTGCCGCAGTGGATTTCATGGAGATTGCCGAACTGGCCAGTGTGATCCATGCCTGTCTAAGCCCGCAACCTGAGGATAGACCGAGTATCAAGCAGCTGCGCTCCCAATTGCGCGAGTTGTCGCCGCTGCTGACGCCGGGGAAAAATCAGTATAAGCTGTTCGATAAGATCTACCGGCAGCTGTGTCTGTATTCCAGTCAGCTTGAGACGGAGGTGATGCTGCGGTCACAGGCGTTGCGGGAGGCTCGCCGGCGTTGTGATGCACTGATCAGACAATTCTTGCCCATGTAAGTACAGGATTACCACTGTTTCAGTAACAACTAACAATTTTCTGATGCACGCATACCCGTCGTTTATAACAGGGAAATTGCGGAAACTTTACGAGCTGGACAATCTGCCGAGCCTGAGCTGACTGTGTGACCATAAGCTTCACCCAGCTGTATGGATTCGCCGGTTTTACGCGTAATGCACCTCCCGAAAAAGTAATTGCCGTGGTTTCCAAACTGGAAGATTTCGTTGACGTTCCGACTGCCGTGTGCGACGTGTATAAAGTCGAAGCCGTTGCTGATTCTCTTTTGGTAAGCGCAAATACCCTCCTCCATCTATTCCATGAAATAATGACCGACCATTGCGTTTTCTTCGTCTTTTTGCAACGGGAATAATTTTCACAGCCGACTGGATTGTTAGAACGTTATAATGCTGGCGCAAAAACATTCGGAGGCGCTGTTACTATAGGGTTCTGTAAAGCCGTTAGAAAATTGTTCGTCTACATCGAGTAGCAAAGGTCATAAGCCAAAATTGTGGCGCACACCGCGCTTTAACGTTAAAAGTTGGTAGTACTTTGTGGAGGCGTTTATTGTGGCTGAATTACAGGTGGCCAGTTATTGTGGCTGAATTACAGGTGGCCAGTGGATTACCCAAGCGCATCGGCGCGGAACATGTCAGACGAATTGCCGATTTCACCTTACTGTTGCTGCAGATGCAGCCATCGCTGGATCTACCGGAGGATCTAAGCATCATGCTGGGAATGCATTCAGGTTGATTGTTTGTAGTGTAAAACAAAATCAGCCTGACATACGAAGACTTTAATGTAGGGCCGTGTGCAGCCGGAGTCATCGGAGTGTGAAGAGACCACGTTACTGTTTGTAGGTCTTTCAGTCGTTACCATCACGAACAGTATTGTGCGAAGCGTTAAAAAACCGTATGTGTGTGCAGATTTGGTGACACGATCAATGTGGCCTCGCGAATGTGCAGCCGGGGACTGCCGGGAATGATCCACCTCAGCGGCGCTTCCGCTACACTGTTGCATGAATTTACTGATTTTGGCTATATTATCGAACTCCGAGGTGTAATGCCAATCAAAGGCCGAGGTGATATGGCTACCTACTGGCTGAGTAGAACGCACTAAACGCACGGCAATACAATTAAGAAAAGTAGAAAATGCAGCTTTCACGTACGATGACGTTGTGCGACGATTTAGGACAGTTGCGAGAATAAAGTTTTTGTCGGATGTTATTACATGCGATTCCGCTTACCATTAGAAATATGGTTGAAACTTGAAAGTGATGTCTACCAGTCTGTAAATACTGTAAGTACTTTCTTTAACGAACGGCTATTCGAGTGCGGTTGAACGAAATAGGCCATGTCATCTTGCGGCCCGTTTCTCTTATGCAGTGCTTCACGCTCTTCACAACTCAATCACAAGTACTAACCGCGCATCTTGCACACACTGATTATTATTAGTAATAAATGTGCAAGATGCGTTAAGCGATTTTGCCATAAGTTACGTTAACATAATTGTTAACGTGACTTATGACAAAATAGCTTAAGGCAATATATAAGGCAAGTGACCGCACGTACAGATACATGTGTGATTTGGTCACCTTCAAAGAGACCTGCGACAGATACAACTTTCGTCGGAAGCAGCGTACGAGTATTAATGCAAGTGCGAAGATGAGCATCAAAATGACAAATTTGGCAATGCGGCTGAAAAGTTTGTTTGATAGGATTGTGGGTGGGATGGAAGATGTTTTCGGCTGTGGTTCGGTGAAGTAATATTTGTCAGTACTTCAATCTACAAATGTTTTGTAATTGTTGAAGGGTAGTTAGTTTTTCGTTCTTACTTTAGCTACTGCATTTTCTGTTATATGCAATTATTTTATGTGTTTTGACCAGACTTGGAAGTGTCTTTGGGTTTGTCTGCTTACTGAATAAACATAAACTAAACTAAACAAAACAGCTAAAGGTGGTTGAAATACAATTTCCGGTAAAATATCTAAAGGCTGTTCGCCGCGGCCATACTGCGGCAAAACAGCCAAAAGCTATTTTGCGGAAAATACTGCGGTAAAACAGCCAGTTCTCTGGTGTACCCGAATATGATATATCCGAATACTAATAGAGTAGGATACAGGTGAAAGTTTATTAGGACAACAGCATAAGGAACAACAGGAAAGCTGTAGGAATATACAAAGTACTACAGAAAAAAAATACAAACCAAAAACTACACAGATCTTCAAATATTTTTTTGGATATTTTGCCTGTGATAAAAAACTGCGAAATAAAAGTACAAGGAGAATTGACGTGAGAAAAAGTCTACCCTTAGAAAAATTTTTTTGCAGGCAGATACTGAGCGGTCAATAAATATAGCGGCTGCTGTATCGCAGGCTGTATCGCAGAGCGTTTGTACCAGCGTGTGTTTTATTAGAAGAGCAAAAACAAACTGCTGCAACAAACACCCTTAGATTATTTTTAACATGGAGCAAAAACACGCCATTTTTGCACATTTCGGGAAGAACGGATTCTTCCGCAAAAACATTCTAATGAGCAACGCTAAATCGTTTAATCTGGTCAGAAGTTGTACCACAGAGCGAGGTGTAAGGATATCTGCACTTCCATGGCTCGCTGTTTAGCGCAGCGTGTGCAATGCCCAGCAGGGAGAAGGCAACGGCCGGACCAGCCAGTTGTACAACTTGTGCGGGCGGCTACACTATCCGTTTGTATGTACCGCATGCCGTTATGTACGAGAATCAAAATATGCAAACAACAGTTCTGATTTGCCTGACGGTTTAACATTCATGTTTTGTTTTGGCCGTCTTCTGAAAGTATTTAAAGAAGTCACTGCTGAGCAGTCCACATTATTAGTTTTCTTGTTAATTCCTTTTGATCTGTTGTGATTAAAAATGATTACGAAAAATATTCTCGTTGCCCTTGTGGTCCTCGTTTCGTGTGTCTATGCCACTCGTTTCGTAAGTTTCTGGGCATCATAGCTGAACAGAAGCCTTGTGTAACTGGCGTCTTCATGTTTGCACCCCTTTTGCAGAGAGTCAATAAGGGCTGTGTGACGTTTCAAAGGGGAGATGGAAGGATCTTCGGACAATGCAGCGGCAAAGGCCTAGACGTAAGTCCGCCCATTACGGTGTGGGGACGGCTGGAAGGCGGCAAAGGGCAGAAGACGAAAGCCGGCTGCAAGAAGGAATTCCACTGGCCTTCTAACTACGGGGAGGTCTTCTATGGAGCGGACAACTGTCTTTATGACGCAAAAAGTACGTTTCTCATTGATGTACCTGTTACCAATACAGGGCATGCTTTTAAGCTGATTGCACGAATATGGAAGAAATGCAGCTTCTACTGCAGGAGACATACGGGCGAAATGAGCGGATTTATTGCTTTTTGCAGGCAACAGAATTGACGGCCAGTGTTGTGATGGTGGCGGCGGCGACGAAGTGTTCAACCCCTATCGAGGCTAGAAGCAACGTTTCCCAAAAAACCGCCTTGTGGTTCGGTCGATAGTGAAACAAAGAATGAGGGCAGTTTCTCGAGACTGCAGTTTTGAACACAATTTTACATTTAACGATATTGGTACAATAGTAAAACTGATATCCTCTTGTGAAATGAGCATATACTGGCAGCGTGACATGCCTGTCTCTGTACATTTTGCCCACACTGTGTAATTTACCATTTAGCTATCATTTTTAGTTTGTTTTAGTTATGGTCCCTTACCCTCGTCAAAAAGTATTTTCTGAATTATATCGAAATACTACATTATATCGGTAGCCTTTCACAACATATATCCACGGCAAGATTTGGGCAGCCGGTTAGAAACCAGGTTTTATATCCAGCACAAATTTTTATCGAAGTTACATCCTTCGGTCGACAAAAGCAAAGCTTTTAAAAAAGCCAAAAATTTTTATGTTGCTAATTTTTTCTGCGTTGTTATAAAATATTAGTTACATTAAGCAGGTTAATATATGAAAACGGAAGCTCTGCTGGTCGTTTGGCACATAATGTCTCAACATAACAAGCTTGCTGTGCAATCAGTAACGAGGATTATAGCTTCCGTGCAAAAACAAAAGTGTCGGTCGACCGAGATAACTTACCAAACATTGCAGCAATATTTGTATAGTTGCAATTCTTTAAAACACTGATAACGTTTAAGAAAGGCAGTTGTTTACAAAATAATTAGCGTGCAAAGACACGAGCGTCGGCAATTAAACTTTTGCTGCAAAGCTTAATCATTCAAAGCTGCTGTTATGCCTCCTCTGATTGGTTAAGTTTGCTATTTCAGTGTTCACGTTCAGCGCCGTTGTGCCGTCGTTGCTTCTGAAAAGTAACTTCAGAAACCACATTTTTAACTTTCTGAAAGTCATGCTTCTTAATAATTATGATTCTGCTTAAACAGCCTAGGTTATTGTTATATGGCTGTCGACAGCCAGATCGATTGTTGTGAACAATGATAGTGTTTGTTCCGCAAGGCTGCCAGGCGCAGCGCGTTTTTGACAGTGCACACAAGAGCACGATCTCGGCTGCGATGTTAGGAAGACCCCCCGGAGGTTTCTGCTGATCTTACGGTGTGAGCTTCATTGTCAACCTCAAGTGTAAAACACTAGACTAACGAAAAATTTATTCCAGTCTTGAGTCAATTTATTGGTTTACAGGTCGCTGGAAGGTGTTGCTCAACGGGACCAATATGCATGAAGACATGCAGTAAGATAGCAGGTCCTTGCAAGATAAACGACCGTAAAAGACGCGCATTTTATTAACGGTTTTATTTAAAATGAGTTTACTTTACAAAAAAGATTGTGGCTAAATCAACTGCCAATAACATAACGCAGTATAGTTTCAAACTTTTTTAAGACGAACTTTCAGCGAAAACCTTAATTTTGCATTAGTGCATGTCGACATGCAAGCGTTCTAAAAATTCAGTTTTTAATTTTATGGTAAATAACAGTTTTAATTGCCTATGGGGGCAAACTGACATTCATTTTAATTTGGTTAACAAAAAACAAATTACGAAAATAATATAGGTTTGTTGTTAGCGGTTTGTCAGTTTTAACTTGAAAGAACATAAAAATAATAAAAGCTTTTTGAAAGCTTTAAAAAAACCAATGTTTTTAATTTTGATAATTATTTTGATGATTAATGATTATTGGTTTTTCTCCGCATAGTCGCTTGCAACACTAATTCTAATTCTGTTGACGTGCAACTTCACTAGAATTGCATGTCATCATGCACGCTGCACAGAACTAATTTGAGAAATTTTTCAAGGTGCAGAAGAATTTATCATGTCACTTGAGCGCAGCGGAACGTACACCAGAAATGTGCTTTAAATGTAATAGTGCTTTAAATGCGCTAATTAATTGTTTTGCTGGATGGAGGTGGGACTGCCCTTTTGCGTTGTTTTCCAGAATGCGGATTCGCCTTGGAAGGCATGGATGTCGACATTCAGAATTTACTACTGATTGCTGCATGCTATCTTTTTAACGATTTTATGCTGATTTGCTAGAAGCGTTTTTATTCATGGACTATTAGCTTTTGCGTGATGAACGTGTAAAAGATCGTGTTATATTGCTAATGGCATCGCCGGTGTGCTTTAAAACAAGCTCGCTGTGATCTACCTGAATAAATATATTTTACATCTATTACTCATATCGAAATCGGTCATTTTGGTATAAATGTAAGAATTATTACATGGCCTATAATATCTACATTTAATTCAAAAGCTACCATTAAACTATATCACAATTCTGACGAGGGTTAGTATATGCGCCTAGCCATTTGCCTTTTACAGATATGCGAATTAAATAGCACGGGTTGTGCATGTGCCGGTCCTGTTACGGTGGAATTCTATTAATGCATAACAAAAAGCGTTTGTCATGGCAAAATATAGGCGAAACGTTAATCACGTGCTCTGTTCGTTATCGCAGCAGTTGAACTGGATATTATTGTTTTCTCTGGTAGCACCGATTTGTTAGCTACGATCGATTGACTGCAGTCTGTATAAAATCGATAATAATTAATCTTTCAAGCAAGTCATGATTTTACATCATAGAAATATATGTCTACATACCTGCCAAATTACCAAGCACTATAAAAACTAAAGAGCGCATGTATCTGCATGTACGGTAGCGCGTCTGCTGCAGTCGCCGGTACATGATATCCAACCGCAATCACAATAACTAATATCAGTCTCACCTTTCGCCGCACAATATACTGACCGACCCGTGGAACGCTTTTTTCGCATTACGCATTCTTAGTCATTACATTACATCATCCCGTTGAACTATACCGCAAATAACAGCCGGCATCACGGGGATTTGTATTGGACCGCGAGCGGTAATCTAATTCCATCCGCAGTGTTGCAGTGCCTATTTATTCATCTCTCCCGGCGCGCTCGGGTCTTTTGTGCTGCGCAGCGCTCTCTCCTACCGTTATAGCACAAGAGAACTACCGGAAAATGCGCCGACGCCGGCAATATCTACCTTTTGTCCCGAGTGCACTCAACGCGGCCGGGGTAGAAGGCAAAATCAATACCGTGACACAAGCCGGCTGCTCGGCAGCATCTACCTTTCCGCCTGCAACAACAGCTACTGTACCTGACTGTGTTGATTAGACGATCTCACGGCCAGATTCACACCGCGTTGAAAAGGATCACAAGCCATGCAAATGCTATTTGCGTAAATCAGCGCGGCGAAGTATTAACTGTTAAAGGACGCTTTTTTGGAATCTAATCATGCCTGCTTTACCGCACGAACCGGTGCATCCATAATAAAACCAGTGTCTTCTTATGCTGCAGAATGCGGCAATTGTTACAGTCTGCTTGGAAGACACTTATAATATTTAATATAATTTTGTTCTTCGGATGACCGTTTAAACGAGAAAATTAACTTCTCTCTTTGCCGAATAATGTGAGCGAATTTTTATATAACCGTTTAAAAAAGGAAATTTCTGTTTCTTATTTGTGGAATATTGTGAGTCGCTTTATTCTCATGGACCTTCCACTACGCGCCGTCCCCCCAGGCTACTACCCAGCCCCCCACGTCTACAAAGCCGACCCCACCGTCAACCCCATCCGCGAGAACCTCTTCTTCCTATTATGCCGGCCGTTCCTCCGTCTCATGCGCCTGGGCGGGATGTTCTTCATGCCGCTATCCTTCGTCCGCGGCGAACACAGCGCCCTCATCAACCAATACATGGGGAACCGGTACGCGCGCGGCTGCTTCGAACTGCTCTCCCACTGTTACTGCGTTCTCGTCTTCGCGATCATGGCGCTCTTCTGTGGGAAATCCCTCTTCACCATCCACTACGCCATCCAGCACAACCACATCAACATCAGCAACGAGAACCTCGGAGGTCTGGTGCAGGCCGTGGTCTACGGAGTGTGGATCATCCAGATCCTGCTGACTCACGTCGTCTTTATCTACGCCTGCTGGAAGGATGAAGGGATCGCGCATCTGATGGCCTTCTGGGAGCACACGCATTTCCGGTGTTTGGACCCGAATTGCCGGTATCTGTACCGGAAACGCGGACTGTACCGTTCGCGGAATAAGTTTATGTTCTTCGGGGTTCTCAATATTGCCGTCCAGATCTGTACGTTGCTCTTACCGATGCTGGTGCCGGCGCCGATCTATCGGACCCTCCGCGGAATGCTGTTCGGGGGGTATATGGAGGATAACCCGCTGATTATCACCCTGGGGGTGCTGGGCGCCGTGTACACCGCGTTCGTGTATATCTTGCCGATTTTCTTCTTTGCCATGGTGTGCCATTTTATTATCTATGATTACAATCATATTTGCTACGAAATAAAGAAGTTACAGACGACCAGGGAGATTTATCCCTGGATGGAGTGGATCCGGCTGAGGCATAATGCCGTGTGTTTGTTTGTGGAGACGGCCGACGGGGTGTTTGCGCCGTATATCTTGCTGACGCTGGTCTGCAACGTCTTTCAGATTTTGATGGGGATTTTTGTGGTGTATCAGGATTCGATGAAGGAAGAGGGAATAGATTTGATGAAGGGGTTGTCGTCGCTGTACTGGATGCTGCAGTATCTGTTACAGCTAATTATTATCCTGGGAGCGGGAACGGCGCTGAGTAATGCTGTAAGTTATTTTATTAATAACTAAACTTTTATGATAAAAATAGTAAATTAAACATTTGAGCGATATTGATTCATTTTGGGCAGACAGCGAAACGCTTTTCTCACGGTTGCAAGTTATGAGAAAGTTGATTGCCGCGTCGCGCCACCCTAGTTACGCTCTACAGGCGTTTGCCTGCTATTGAATAATGCCAGCCAAAATCGATCTAAGTTATAAACTATCGATATAAATTATAAAATTTTAACTTTTCTCGTTCCTAATGGCCTTAAATATTGCGAGAAGGAAGTTTGTAATTGTGATAGATGCAGTTTAATGGCAATCTTTCATCGCGTTAAATACGTGCGATCTGTACCTTTACGTTAGAAATTACGGGACAAACTGGTATTTTCTTTGCATGATATTTAAAGTTTTCTGCAGTGTCATCACTGGCGCACGCCGTACTAATCTGCCAAAGTGCACCTTTATTATGAATAATGAATGCATTTTATAGTCCATCATTTTAATACACCGTCAAACCGGCAGTTTATCAATAAATATTTATGTCACTTGCAGCTAGTATCATCGACTATGTAAATGTAATACGGTCGGCTGCTGCAAAGTGATAGTAATCATAATTGTAAACGAACAAAGTTAGCAGCCCGTAATTGAGAGGGATATTGATCGGTGTTATGTGCCCATTGTATCCCTTAGGCCCGATCCCCGATGGCCCATGTTTACAAGATCAGTCAAGAGCCAGCTGCCATCCCTTCCTCACCGGAGCTCTTTCTGCTGCGTCTGCAGACCTTCCTCAACAAATTGACTTGTAAGGAGATGGGATTCACCGCATGGAATCTCTTCATTATTAATTACGAAGCTATTCGAACGGTGGGTAATCGATACTGCACCGGCGTTGTGCTCCCATCGATCAAGTAAAAGTTAATCCGTTAATCTTGCGCTGGCCAGACAATTTGACGTTATTCCGTCTCTTCGATTTGGAGATATTTTTGATAAACAAATTTATATAGCAAAGTGCTAGTTTTTAATCACACCGTTACCAAGGCAAAACTTATACAAAATTTGTACTGAATTCAGCAGAATTATTTCTGCTAGTTTTATGGATGATTTAATTAAGTTTGCTGTTATTATAATTAGGAGTTATTGCCACTACCTAAATAAACCTGTCAGGCAAAACTTTCGAAGATATATAAGAAAAAATCTGGAAAAATATTTGATGTGTGGTGTTGAGTCTGTTGACCTAATTGCAGATGTTTGGAACGTTTGTAACCTACGAAATCCTCATATTTCTTCTGCAAATTGACCTGAAACGAGATGAAAGGATGGACGAGATACCGCTATGCGATTGCGGAGGCAGTGAACCCGGCCATGCTGAATGATGACGTGGCGTCACTGCTGTAATCCGTCGCAATTAATTATTTTCTACGAACGCATAAAGCAGAAATTGTGTTACCTATTGCTCTAATTTCTCAGTGTCGATAGAAAAAAAGGAATTGATTACATTTTTTTCAGAAATGAGAAATGAATTGCGTGATTTGTTTTAATTTTTAAAATAATTCGCTGAATCGCTGGCGCCTGTGATTACCCTTTTTCCGGCTTTACAAATACGAGTACTCTCGTATCTTTTTGCAATAAAAACATTTGTTGAGCGCCTTCGTCGATTGCATTTCACTTCTCAGGCAGGATCTTTGCGCCACGTAGTCCTACTACCAGATGCGTGGAAATACGATCCACTATACATGCATAACTAGTTAAATCATCCCGCATTCTCAACTGATCGCTAATGGGCAGAATTACGTATGTACGTAATTTGTGCCAGCGACAACCTCAACACTTAGCGTGGTATCTGTATATTGCGGTTGTTAAAGACCGGCATGTGATTAGAAACACCGGAATGTGCTGTCGGCATCTGATTCTAGTAGGGTGCATTGGTGTATATCCATGCACTGCACTTGCAGTTTCGTTCCATCAGCAGGGTTAAGTGGTACTCCCCGTTTTAATCACGCCCACCGAAACCGAATGTGACTTTTTGATCTAAATAACCAGCCTTTCGAAAAGACATCTTGTTGGCACGTAAACACGTCTGTGCACACGTTTGCCTCGCAAAGCAAAAATGGAATCCGACAAAAAAAAGGCGTGTCTCTCCTTCATAACAGTCAGAGTACAATGTAGGACTAAATGGTCGCATAGCCCCATACTCCAGCATTCTGTGCACCAACGTTGCAGTGCACTTGTGCGAAACGGATATTTTGAACTCAGTCGTACAGTGCACTGCGCTGCATTCGTACTGAATGTGGAATATTGGGCAGACCATTTTGTCCTAAACTACGTAGCTGTTATGAAATAATATAGATACTGTATATGGAAATATGTTTGCCTAGAAATAGTATGCTGCCAAATACCAGCGATTTTATTGAGCTTCTTTTTCAGTCTAAATTAGTAGTCAGCAGTACTGTAGTACTGGTACAGATACCTGACCACTACATCATTATGCCTTTTCTGTTTTCTCATCAATTTGCGCAGGAGCACTAATCCTGTCCAAAAAATTAATGAAATTCTCCTCATTAAATAAGGAATTGTTATAGTTCAGCCGCAGATAGAATTCTTCCGAGTCGGTGCTAATAAGATCTCTCAAATATGCAGCTAGCTGACGAAAATCGCCTCGCTCCATTGGTGACAACTCCCAGCATTGATTTAAAATGTTTGATCTGCAAAATTAAAAAGCATATGTACTAGACAAATAGTTTTGTAACTTTTTCGCGATGTGTGCACACAAATTTAGCACCGAAAGATAAATACGAAATAAAGATTCTGTCGGATCGCTTCACTAAGTGGTTTACTTCGAAAAATTTGAACATAGCTTAACATCTGTTGTCCGTGTACATCTGAATGTTCACCTCCGACTGTCGCACAACTTGCAGCAAAAAAACATTTCAGGGCGCTGCCGCAACCGAATCACTCAAGAAAGGTATCCAAATAGAGGAGTAAGTAAAATATTATTCATACTTATATACTTTTGTTGCTATAATTTTATCTTTTACTTGTACTTCTACAGACGGGCAATCAAACAAAACCATCGTAGTCTAACGTCTACGTGACTTACATAGCCAGCGGACAGGTGGATGGTCGCTCCAAGCGTAATCCGTTCTTCAGCGCTTTTACGAAATCGGCAACAGTACGCTTCTGTGCAGAGCTAGCATCAGCATAGGGATCAGCGCCTAAGCTGAATATCTCCCATAATACCACACCAAAGGACCATACATCCGATTTCTGAGAGAAAATCTTTTCTCGATAGCTTCTGGTGACATCCAACGCACGGGGAGATGTTCCTGCAAACACGGTCTCGTCGTCGACTGTAACTCAGTGAATGTACGAGTACCGCAAAGTTGCCAACGATCATCGTCTTAATAGATTGTAGTCGGTAAGGGTACGCTGTGATGGCGCAAGAGCCTATCGTATATCGTGTACCGTCTATCGTAAGCCTTTTTTTTTGCGTGCGACTACAATCTAATGACGTAGGTTTCGCTATAACCGTACCTGAAGATCATGCAGAACGTACACAGTCCCCGGCTTTGCCATTCCGAAATGGGAAATTTTCGCAATTCTCCTGAGAACAGCAGAATATTGCGCGCGGCCAGATCTCGATGGAGGACAGCCTGACTGTGCAAATACTCCATACCGCGGCTGATTTGATAGAAAAGCGCAGCAGCGTGAGCGTCGACGGCGCTGTTAAGTCTCAGTTGTTGACTTCCGTGTTGGGGTGGAGTTTCTGTGTCGGTTGGTTCTCTGATGACCTCGATATTGTCTACGCCAGGCTGGCATGCAATGGCCCCGTTGCAGTCGACCTGGTTGACAAAGTTCGTTCGGCAAGTGCTTCTGAAAATTGGTGAGAGTCCCGAATTCGGCGCACTCCAGCAACAGCAGCACCTCATCTTTAAGACATTGCTTATAATTATTCATTCGGTAAACTACGGCAGATCATACCAGTGATAACAACCCCAAGCAGATTGACAATGTTAAGATGGCGTCCAGTTCTAGCCAGCATATCGAGTTCCTGGATGAGTTGACGAAGTTGTATACATTGTTTGATAACCGGACACTCTTTACTGCGATTTTTCTCTGGTCTTGACCTTGTGGTTGTGGTAGAGACCGTACGCAAATCCTGCTTTGACAACACTATTAGGACTGGTATTCAAAACCAGGTCCGCTAAAATGCAATACAAACATGTGAAAATCGGTAATGCTTTTTTTATTGCATAAAGTTAATTTCGTAGGGTCTCTCCGGATTTATTGGCGCTCTTTTCAACTCTTCAACATCCGAGTTTGAAGGGAATTTTGTAAGCCTGTGTATGGACGGTAATTTTTAAACGTGACGCTTAGCATGACGGTAAGTTGACCCACGGCTGCATGTTTATTGCCAACTGATTTACTTTCTAGTTTCTTCGCAACGCGAATCTCAAGACATTCTGTGTTACCACGATCAACTGAAAAATTTTTCACGTATTCAATTGCAACTGGCTCATGGAATCGCTAAGCGACGGGCACAGGGATCGGCCGCCAAGTCTTTAATGAGGAGCCCAGAGTCGAACGGCGAGAAGTCGTGTAAACGCTGTGTTGCGCTGAGAAACTGATGTCTCCGCTTAAAATCGGAGCCTTCCTCTAACGCGTTTTCGGTATCGTCGATATAAGAGTATTGCAGTAACTACTGCAGTCGTCAGTACTGCAACGGAAACGGCGATTCCAGTGCTGTTGGCAATATAGAGGCTGAAAACAATTTGAGCATGGCATCAATCAAACTGGTATGTCTACAGCGTCGTAATAGCGTAACATTATCCGCTCTGGACCGCTCATGATTATTAAAACTAATGTCGAAGAAGATTGACCTACCGGCACCGCAAAGCAACCAAACCAGAACTCATACTCGGAACCTTGGTTTTCGTACCGGCATGTAACCTCGCAGTCTTTTCGGATTGCTTCAACGATATAGTCGACGAGAAATGCCTGATAACGATGCGTCTCTATCGAGGGCTCACAAATCCTGTAAGTGGTGACATCCAAAATTCTATGGCCATTTTGGGCCATCGTTCCAGTCCAGGTACAGTCAAATTCGAGCGCCCACTCCTCATCCACATACCACACTAAATCTTCACTCACCTTAGCATATGCGTATGGTAATCGAGGGGCAGATAATTTGTGCCAGCGACAACCTCAACACTTAGCGTGGTATCTGTATATTGCGGTTGTTAAAGACCGGCATGTGATTACAAACACCGGAATGTGCTGTCGGCATCTGATTCTAGTAGGGTACCTATGAGATACATTGGTGCTTATATCCATGCATTGCACATGCAATTTCATTCCATCAGCATTGTTAAAAGTGGTTCTCGCCATTTTAATCTAACGCCCACCGAAACCGAATGTGACCTTTTTGGATCTAAATAACCAGCCTTTCGAAAGACATCTTTGTTGGCACGTAAACACGTCTGTGCACACGTTTGTCTCGCTCGCATAGATGGCATCCGGAGCAAGCAGGCGTGTCTCCTTCACTTAACAGTAGAGTACAATGTAGGACTAAATGGTCGCATAGCCCCATACCCAGCATTCTGTACGCAAGCGGTGCAGTGCACTTGTGCGAAACGGATATTTTGAACTCAGTCGTACAGTGCACTGCGCTGCATTCGTACTGAATGTGGAGATGTTGGGTATGCGACCATTTTGTCCTAAGCTGTACGTAGCTGTTATGAAATAATATAGATACGAGTATATGGAAATATGTTTGGCTTGGAAAAGTATGCTGCCATATACCAGCAATTTTATGGAGCTTTTTCAGTCTAAATTAGTAGTCAGCAGTACTGTACTACTGGTACAGATACTTGACCACCACATCATTATGCCTTTACTGTTTTGTCATCAATTTGCGCCGGAGCACTAATCCTGTCCAAGAAATTAATGGAATTCTCCTCATTAAATAAGGAATTGTTATAGTTTAGCCGCAGATAGAATTCTTCCGAGTCGGTGCTAATAAGATCTCAAATATGCGGCTAGCTGACGAAAATCGCCTCGCTCCATTGGTGACAACTCCCAGCATTGATTTAAAATGTTTGATCTGCAAAATTAAAAAGCATATGTACTAGACAAATAGTTTTGTAACTTTTTTCACGATGTGTGCACACAAATTTAGCACCGAAAAGATAAATACGAAATAAAGATTCTGTCGGATCGCTTCACTAAGTGGTTTACTTCGAAAAAATTTGAACATAGCTTAACATCTGTTGTCCGTGTACATCTGAATGTTCACCCTCCGACTGCCGCACAACTTGCAGCAAAAAAACATTTCAGGGGCGCTGCCGCAACCGAATCACTCAGGAAAGGTATCCAAATAGAGGAGTAAGTAAAATATTATTCATACTTATATACTTTTGTTGCTATAATTTTATCTTTTACTTGTACTTCTACAGACGGGCAATCAAACAAAACCATCGTAGTCTAACGTCTACGTGACTGACATAGCCAGCGGACAGGTGGATGGTCGCTCCAAGCGTAATCCGTTCTTCAGCGCTTTTACGAAATCGGCAACAGTACGCTTCTGTG